TCTGAAGACGTAGTTCAGATCGCCTACCTCATGGACTCCCAAATCATAGAGGCCCTGGGCTCTGGACTCAAGGCTGAGCCTCACAAGAGCTCGGATGATCACCGGATCCTGGATGGATCCCAAGCTGCGAGGGAACTGTTGCCCTGACGAGGAGGAGGATCCCAAGGATGAGATCTGACCCTCAGATATGGTGTTGGCCTCTACATCCGTCACCTCATCCGGTTCTTCGCTCTCCTCCTCACTTTCTTCATCCTCTTCTTCTTCTGGCTCCTGCTCCCGGAGAGCAGCAAGGCGTGGCCTCGGCCTCAACCTTGGACCCTTTCCCTTTAGACGGCTAGGTGGAGGGAGTTCGGAGTCTGCGGGTCCAGGGTCTATCACTCCTACGCCTGCTCCTATCACCTCCTTTAATGATCCCGTGGGCTCCCGGCCATCGGGGCCGAAGAGTTCCGGAAACAACTCCTCCTGGCCTCCTTCCGAAAGGGACGCATCTGCAGCTACCTCCGCTGCCTCCTTTAGCTCCTCATCCCGCTGTCTTACCAAGGCCTCAGGGTCAACTAAATCATCCCTGAAATTCTTCACAACCGTGGTATTGCCATCCGGTCTGAGGATAGAATGTCCTCCAGGCACAAGGATGGACGGGGAGAGGTATCGACCTTCGGACCAATGGTCCCAGGGTTTGAAGTTGCCAGGCAACATCGGCCTTTTGAACACTATCCTTTTCCCAAAGTGGGGGAGCGGAGTGTCTCCTATAAGGGAGGCCTGGTGTGAGGCGGTGGCATGAGACATAGCGTAGGGCCAGAAGCTTGGCTCGAGCTCGGCACTGTTCAGCAGGCAACGGGCTCTCTGCTTACACCACCCTACTATGCGTTCTGCCAGGCCATTGGCCTTTTTGTCATGAGCTTCGCTCATGGTGACGCGCACTCCCATTTGGGACAACCACAGCCTCAAGCTGTCGCTCAAGAATTCCCGGCCCTGGTCGGAGTGAACATTCTTCACTGGGAAGCCTAATTTGTTTATCTCCTGAACCATGGAGTGGATGGCCGGCATGAGGGAAGGGCCCTTGCGGGAGGTCATTGGCCTAACAAACCGAAGCACGACCTGGGGAACTGGGTCTTTGAGGGTTTCTATGGCCTGTTGGAGGGTCTCCCCAGAGTGGGACTCGGCCTCCAGCTCAACGCTCACGAGAGATTCCTCAGGCCCCCTTTCGGACTGGTCCCATTCTTCCTCGCGCATCTCCTCCTCCTGCCCTTCTTGGATCGGAAGCAAAGGGTCCGACGGCGCCGGCTCGGGCTCGGCCCCCTTCAACTCGCCACCAAGGTACTCATTCGCGGAAGCCAACTCAAGCGTGGTGTCCCTGAACAAATCCTTCAGGTCCTTCTTAGGATCCCATCTTCTCCGAAGGACGTCCTCAGGCACTCTGTACGCCCCCACAAGGGCATATTTGTGCCTTGGCTGGGCTGCAACTGAGTCTTCAAAGATTCCCTTCTGGATGGGCCCCAGGACATCTAGTGAAAGGGAGAACGAGGTTGGATGGGCCACCTTGCGGTGCTGCAGTCCTACCCCTGACCCCATAACGCAGGCCTTGCACTTCCTGTTGAACGGGAGGTGTCCGCTCTCGATGTGGCGTCTCCACCCTTCGACATCTAGCGCGGCCGCGGTCGGTACCGCTTGCTTAACACCTTGGGCCTCTGGAACCTGGCCACCTGAAGCAATTGAGGGCCTGATTAGGCGGAGTGACTCACGCACCTCTTGATCGATCCTTCTCAACTCCTCCTCGGAGACCGGTTGCGGCCGTTGTGGCTGAAAGGATTGCACGACCCTTTCCGGGAGAACGGAACGGTTCTCACATGTCTCGACCAAATCGGTCCGGCAGTTTGTGAACACAGTCACGGCTCCTCTTATCGCAGAGGCTTGCTTTAAGTGGGCCCAACGCTGGAACTTCGGCCACCACTCATCCTTGAAGAGCTTAGCGGAGTCCGAAAGGGTCATTAAGGGAACCGTATAACCCCTACCGGCGGAGGCCACTGCCCACAACCATGAAACCTGGACCAGAAGCTCGGATCGAGAGGCGAGGTCAGCTGACAGACCGATGATCCTTCCATGAAGGGCTGCCCAGGCAAGGGAGGCTCTCAGGGGAGATCCTGGCTCAAGGTTGTTATGGGGCTTGGACAAGTCGATGTGAAGCACTTGAGCATCGGGGCACGCCGAGAGCACATTCTCACTGACCGCCGCTGGCTCCTTCCCGAATTGAAGGTTCACAAACCAATCCTTGGACTGCTCCAGCGCTCGCCGGCGGCGCCGGGGAAGTGACAAGCCTTTCAAGGTGTGCCGGAGCTCGCGTTCCTCCCTGGGGATTGTGGTAGCTATGGACTGGAGGTGGTGGTGCTCAAAAACACCACACGAAAGGGCCGTCTGCATCACATCTGCTCGCGTACCTTCCTCCTTAGCCCTATCTACCGCCTTAACCAGCGGCACCTTGGAAGTGAGGGCTCGGAGCACGGCCTCCGTCTCATCCACTTGCCCGCGTAGTTTCTCAAGGCGTCGCTCCTCGAGTTGTTGGATCAACTCTAGAGCACGGGCCTCGGCGAGGACTGGACACCCCTGCTTAATCTTCACCCTCAGCTTCCCAAACACCGGATGCTTAACCACTAACCGCGTAGGGGTCCAGTTGACACTACAACCCAGAAGTCGCACTAAGCTCCCGAGGGGCACTATGGGCTGCGAGGGACCATTGGTTAGGATCGTCCCACCCGGGTTTTGGAGCAGGGACTGGGTAGCTCCTCCCGCCAAAACAACCTCCGTTGCAGTGAGATCCTGGTCTCTTTCCTCGCGCGCACGAACAGCATGCGTCGCACCGCTGTCCAACAAGCCCACCTGCTCGTCGGGGTCTGCCTCCTCCAGCGGACCTTCCTCCTCCAAGGGCATGGCCAAGCTTGCAATGGCCTTGATCGAAGGCTTCTCAGAAGTCTGCTGGACCTCTGGGATGGCCTGCCGAATGGCATCCAAGTGGCTCTGGAGAGTGGCCACCGTCACAGGGGTTCCTTGAAGCACTGGAGCCGCCTTTGGTGTTGCTGCCTCCGCCCTCGGTGCAACGGGTGGATCCCTCACCTGGCTCCCTGGCGCCTGTATGGCCTTCAAAACCTTCGCCGCATCATCCAAGAGGGCCTGGACCTGGCTCGAATTGGCGTCTTGAGCGGTTGCAACCTGGGCCGCCACTGCTGCTGCCTTGGGCCTCTCGGGTTTGTCAGCTCTTCGAGGGGGAGCTGGGTTCGGAGCCTTCGGCGGGCCTGAACCTCCTGAAGCATGCGGGCATGACGCCTTTTGGTGGCCGGTGCCACCACACGACATACACCTGGACTTCTTATCCTTACTGGGGATGTCTTGCCAATTGTGGGCGTTGCGGCACTTATCACCCCTGTTACACCCAATGCCTTGGACATAGAACCTGCAGGCACCTTGAGGGACAGTGATTGTGGTATCTGCTGTCCGGCCTCCAGAGGACTCTGACTTCCCAGAGCCTTTTCCTTGGGAAACCGATGAGGCCCTTTGGTTTGCAGCTGGCACCTCAGGAACATTCACTGCGGCTGCAGAGGGAATCGCCTTCGGCTTCAAGGTCTGAGTCCTAGCTAGGCCTTCCACCTCAGAGAGCAAGGCCGCATGGAGCTGGTGAACCACTGCGACGGTAGGGGCCGTCTCAGCTCTCAGGGCTGCCTTCACAAGTCCCATTCTAAACTGCACCTCAGCATTGCCCTCCAGCACAGTCTTAACTATGTTCAGCAGTGCTTTGATAAGGATCACCGGGTCTGGCAACGAACCTCCAAGGGCCTCGGTCCTAGAGAGCCACCGTCTCCATTGGCGGAGCGCATCCAGAGCGGCCTGGGGAGTGGTAGCGGAGCTCGTGTGCTGGAGGCTGCGCAGGGCGTGCTCCCTCTCTTGTACACCTCCCGGGGCGTACAGCACATGAAGGCGGTAGAGAAGGTGAAGTGGAGACTTGAGTCGGCTCTGGACCAACTCTTCGCGCACCTGCTTCGGAGCTGCCGTGATCAAAAGAGCCTCCAAGCGCTTGGCGAGTCTGGACCAAACCGGGGACTTAAGCTCCGGGGTTTCCACTGGATTCAGTGAAATCCTGCCCATGGGGTCACTAGCTAAGTACCTTCGGTAAACCTCTTCGGCCTCTCGCGTGAGAAGGGCCCAGTACTGAGCACTCGTGGCTGACATGTCCTCAACCAGTGGGGCTACTAGGTGAAGCCAGTCCGAAAACGCAAGGGAGGACTCAGGTCCCAGCTCTGGAAGCTTCGGAAGCTCCGACCAAGAGTGTTTCACCTGTTCCGCCTTCCCTTCAGTCGGAGACGAACTTCCGTTCTGCTGAGACACCAAGGCCTGGAGACCTGCCAGAATGCCAGCTGCATCTGGAGAGAGACCTGACGATCCAAGTCCTTGATTGACTCCACTGGCATCCCACGCTCTCTGGAACAAGCCATGCCAAGGCCACTGTTGCTGGGCACTCGAGGCCTCAGCGGAGGAACCTGGTGGCACACCTGAAGCCTGCGGAAGTGCACCTGTGTGCAACATCTGACCTGACTGCACACCTGAAGCCTGCGGAAGTGCTCCTTGCATCGGTGGACCTGACTGCACACCTGAAGCCTGCGAAAGTGCACCTTGCATCAGTGGACCTGACTGCACACCTGAAGCCTGCGGTAGTGCACCTTGCATCAGAAAGCCTGACTGCACACCTGAAGCCTGCGGAAGTGCACCTTGCATCGGTGCGCCTGACTGCACACCTGAAGCCTGCGGTAGTGCACCTTGCATCGGCACACCTGACTGCGCGCCTGAAGCCTGTGGTAGTGCACCTTGCATCGGCACACCTGACTGCACGCCTGAAGCCTGTGGTAGTGCACCTTGCATCAGCACGCCTGACTGCACACCTGAAGCCTGTGGTAGTGCACCTTGCATTGGCACCTGACCTGAATGCACACCTGCCGCTTGCATGCCCTCCGAGGTCACAGGGTGACCCGTGCCCTGAAGAAGGACCTGGGCATCTCCTGAAGTCTGCGGTCCAAGAGGATTCGTGCCAGGACTTACGGGGTTAGGGTTTCTCGGCACGAACGACGGGAACGCACCCTGCCCTAAACCAAACCACTCCATCACCTTCGCGGCCTGATTTCCCCAACCCGCACCAGAGGATTCTACCTGTACAGGCCTTCGGCCCTCAAACAGCAGAGACCTATTCCTCAAGGCTTCATTCTCTGCTGCCAATGCTCTCATCTGAAGTGCATGCTCCCTCCGAACAAGCTCAAGCTGCCGATGTACCTCTGCCTGAATCTCCCCAGCGCTGAACCCAGAAGAGTCCGATCTGGCTGCTCCTGAAGTCATAGGGATCCCGCCTCCATACAAGTGAGGGGCTTCCCTTTCCAGTTGCGCCAGCCGGAAGTTGGCTTCCGGTCCAAACAGCTGTGGCTGTCCTTGGACCTGAATCATCTGAGCAACCTGAGCAGTGTCTTGCGGCGTCGTCCTTCCAGCTGAATAAAAAACATCCCTGCCAGAGGAACTTCCCGAATCCGCAGCAGCACCGCTCGGAGGGGCCTCTGTACTCATGCCACTGGTGGCCTGAGGCATATCCGTCTGGCCCACTACAGGCCCTTCCACAACGACATCCGGAACTTCGGTCTGACCCTCCTGAACTGAACCTTCAACAGCCCTTCCAGAGAAGCTCCCCGAAGTAGACGTCACTGCTGCCTGAACAGCCCCATAGCCACTCAGCAGCCCTGCATTCCCAGAGCTCTCTGCAAGTCTCTCACTTGCCTGAGCCCCTTCCATGCTCCCAGAGTTCCGCGAGGGAGCGTCTTGGGAACTCATAACCTATAGAATCCAAAGAACAGATAGGAGTCCTCAAGAGTCCCAGTTCCAGGATAAAGATGGTACACTTCTCGATTTGTGCTCGATAAAGATTGGAGGTCTCCAGGCCTTCGCCACTCACCGGTGGCCCATGAACCCTCGCACGCTCCTAACCTTTTCGCAACACAGCAACGAAAGTACGTAGGTCCTAGCAAACGTGCGATTACGCACTTGTCTAGTTGACGCTACCTTGAAAGACTTACGCTGTGTAAAAGTCGTGACCCAAGGCATACATTCCGAAGCCAAGCCTACGGGCCAAACGCAGCGAAAGACTCAAGTCTGAAAACTCAAGAGGGGTCCTAGGGGCAGAATTCTACAGGGATCTATAAGGGTAATATAATGTAGGGGCCTTAATAATCCTATATCTTACCTTTGGTTAGTAGGGAATGAAAGAATGGTAGTAATAGTAGCTATAATGGTACCCTATTCCTCCATTCCCTACTAACCAGAGCTAAGTGATTAGAGCTTCCACGGAATATGTTTAGGACCTTTTGGGGCTTTACGCTGTCAGAGTCACAAGGTTTCTGATTGGGTTTTACAGAGTTTTTTGACGGGCTTGGTAGGATGTATATATGTGTCAGAGATGCAGGCCACTCTGTCTTGATTAGCTTCTTGTATGAATTGATATTGTCTGTTCTGTTGGGTCAAAGTCGCTCTTTTCCTTGGATTAAGTCTGCCGTGTTACCTCGGAGCCTGATGTTCCCATGATTTCGGGTTGGGGCTCCATGGGTGGGTTATCACGACCTTGAGCCTGCAACATGCATCCTAAACCTAAACCCTAAACCGTACACCTGTAGATGCCTGGACCCTGACTGTGGCTTTGGGATTGCAAGGAGGGTTCAGGCATAGTCCCCCCCTCCTGGCCGTATCACTTCTCTCCCACTCCAAATCCCTCCTCCAATCCCACCTCCCTTAGGATCCTAAGCACATTTATCGAGGATGCCTACGAAAGTCATGCATAGTCATACTTCATAGCATGTAACCCTACTTTCCCTATGCAGGTCCTACAACACCCCATTAAGCTTGAACCCTTTGACAACACCTCCAAGACTTATGAGAACCTCACCCTCCTTGCACAACCCTTGTCAAGCCCTTAAAGGAACCCCAAAACCCCGTTCTAACCCCTAGACCACGACTAAAAGCAAAAAACGATAACCTTAAACCCAAAACCCCAAATAAGCCTGTTCAAGATCTGTTGGGCCTGCCATCTCCCGACGCAATTCGGCGAGGTCGACACGGAGCTCGGACACGGCAGAGGCCAGCGCCAAACTCTCCTTTCAGGGGGTTTCGCATTGTGGATTGAATGATTAATGTATGGGCCTCAATCATTAGAATAGGGTGTTTGGCCAGGTACATCTTAAGTTTACGCAGATACCAAAATTATACTGAAGAAACCTAGTGAATCATGCCGGTAAGTCCTCACCGATGTAGGGACTCAAGTTTGCATTACGGTCTCAGCGACATACCACTTCCCTGAGGAATTTGATTATACATGAACTGTACATCTTCGTTGCAGGGCGTATAAGCAGCACACGTATTACCATTGCTTGATCAGGCTCCAAGTAGGAATCAGTAGGAACCTCCGAAGCCTGCAATGGCTCAGCAATGTTCCGCTCCTCCTTCTGAGAACTCGCCTCTGTGATTGCGGCACGCTGCAAGGTTTCCAAGCGCTCCAAGCGCATTTTAAAATCATCCGGGGGCTTGATCCTGGCGAAACAAGGAGGCTTGACTGTTTGTTTGCTTGAGGCTCGATTCCAACTACCTCTCTTATCTGGGTTTCCATCAAAAGGTTTTTTTGGAATAACAGAAAGTAAGGAAGCCCAATATTAAAAATGTCCCTAACTTGATGATAGACCCCCGAATAATACACCGAATGGACGGAGATCCTCAATGCAATTGGCATTTCGTACAATGGTCCCCAACTACGCCCGAACTGCCCCTCGCAGTAAATTGAACAACACGCACTTCTGATTAAGAACTAGAAAGGATTTTGTGCGTATTTCGTACCATGAGTATATCTTGGTACTTCTACAGGGGGATACTACTATTAGTTATTCCGACTCCGGTTTTGCTTCGAAGAGACTTGTCGAGGGGCTGATCGGTCGGCGATGTGCTGGCTGTCGCCATGCGTCCTGCCAGACAGTCACTGCTTGGAGGGTCGGGGGACTTAGGAAGTAGGTAGTAAAGTAGACTCAAAAGTACCCTAAAAGGGACCCAAAGTGGGGTTATGGTACTTATACGTCCCTACAGCCACCAGTTACGAAGTCCCCCGACCCTCCAAGTGTTGCGACATGGCCCAAGGTTCAGGATTTATAAGGCTGCTCGAATCCTGACAGTGCTCCGGTTGCCCCGAAACCCACAGCCTGAAACGACTGGGCTTAAGAGGGATGCTGTCAATTGCGATATATAGGAACACTTGAAAATTGGGTTTGCGATTTATTGGATGCTGGGCCGTTCGTTGCAATGAGACATATCTCATTATATAAGGACCTCGCCCCAGAGGGCATGTGCTGCCACTTATTCGCCTATACTATATTAAGGTAGGGGCGTGACACCGTCTCGACTGTTGTCTAATTGGAAAACCACCTCCTTACAAATGTCAGCAGGCGTCCAGTTCTAGTTGTCTTAAATTCAGGACGACGTACACCGACATACACCCTAACAAGGCCTACAGTTCAGGTCTCACGTGAGGACCGTAGCTCCGGGGTCTTGAAACACATGATCTGAATGGCAAGTTAATCCTTCCGGGAAAGGCATCTGTTCACCTCAAATTCTCAAATAGCACAAGAAGCACAATGCTCAAGACTTCATGAATAAAAGGCGCTGGGAATTTGAGATGTCAAGGGCGGGGTACTGCAGAACTTTGGCCAACCATGCAACAGCTTGCGGATGGCCACGCCCCATGCCAAACCACACCCTTTGCCCAACAGCACGCAAACACAACATCAACCCTGAACCCAAGAGCCCTGGATACCCTGCCTTCATTAATTATTTGAAGACTCAACCAGCTTAAGGCTGCTAGCCAGGCCGGGAGTTCAGCTTTTCAACCGAATTAGCACCACCAAAACCACACTGAAGCTCTACACCCGCAGAATACTCCGGCCCCTCCGCCTGATACCGTAGCCTGAATCAAACAGGTCTACACGTCCCGATCCAAAAAGTCAAGAACTGAACTCCACTGGATAGAAACCTTTAAAGATCCAAAAACGAACTTAACCCAGACATAAGCCACGAGGTTAAGGCTTAAGGAAACTTGAAAGCCCCTCAACAACAGCGATCTGAACGAGTAGGAAATGCAACGTGCAATTGCCCAAGGTTTCCTAATATGAACCGAAGCTGAGATATCCCAAAACCCACTTCTAATCACCCTGTGAAACCCAATACCCCAAACCTATAAAACTCTTCACAAACCGTACTTACACTATTACAAAGCCCATCAAAAGAAAACAAAGAGAAACCCAAAATCCGATGAACCTTAGGTTTTCGGCGGTCCTTGGCCAGCTGCAAGCCGCTCACCGAGCCTGGAGGTGCGGTACCCATGGGCTGCGGCGGTTTAAGGCCTCGGGTGCCTCTACTTAAAGCTTCCTCCCAGGAGGGATTGAAGGTTTTGTGCAGGGTTCCACAGCAGGGAAGGCTCACATACAGGCTACTATTAACGGCTCTAGATTTAAAGTTTTGTGGATTTCGGGACTTGTTGTTTCAAGGGTCTGGGGCTTAGTTAGCATGGAGGAAGGAAGGTAGCAGGGTTTGTGTGACCTGCTACATGAGTCTGTTGTTCGTGGTTCAGGTTCTCGGATGTCGCCCTAGGGATGAAGCCCTGGGCCTTAAGCCTTTACCCTAAACCCTGAACCCTAAACTTTGAGGGGTGGAGTCCTCAGCTCTGAAAACCCAAAGCCCCTCAACCCTCTGCGAGGTGTTGGCATTTATTTGGCCTAGGGTTTATAGGGGTTTATGGCGTCCTGCAAGTACTCGGCCCCCGAAACCGAAAAGACTGAAGCCATCGCCCCTAAATCCGAAGCCCGAGCCCGGCTCAACCCCAAACCCCAATCTGCAGCAACATAGAAGAAGCCTGCACAACTTACGGCTCCTATGGTACCTACAACCCCAAACACTTGCAGATTTCACCCTGAGCCCAAATCGCCAGCGCTGAGCTGTTCCTGAGATCCTTTGCACACTGGGGCATTTCAGGCACCTGTTCTAAGTCCAGGTCCCTCTTTATAGGTCCCGAGTATCGGACGGCAGCCTCATATAAAAAGGATCCGAAAAGGGGCCCAAGTTTAGCAAACTACCGTAAGGATGACTCTGGCCCTTAGCCCCTCAGCCCGCACACGAAATCCCCCGAAAGGATGAGGCCTGGCAGGCTGCATGTCCCTCTCGGACTTGGGCAACTTCGGGGTGGATAGATTCCTGAGCTTCGGACTTCGGAGGCTTCGGGTCGTTTCGATTTTTGGGTTTGGGGATTCGGGTCGAGAAGCCCGGGACTCAGGGTGAGGAATCCCGGTTTAGGGTTTTTTTGAGGGTTCAGGGTTCAGGATTGAGGCTTCCATAACGGACCAAGGCCAAGCTGTCGTTGCACCCACATGTTGTATCACACTGGTACTGTACGCATGTGGGAGAAGCTGCAACAAATGTGCGGCAGGAGAGCTTTACCCTGAAGCTAGGGGGGGATGGGTCTTGGATTTCGTGAGCTGTGCTGATGCTGCTGGTGCCGTAGGGCTGCCCGGAGAGTGGAAGCGCTGAATGCTGCTACGGCTCTCACTGTCTTCTCCAACATTCAGAAGTACTTAACGCAAGCTTCATCACAACTGCTGAAGACGTGTTGGGTTCCAGAAGAATCAGAGCCAGTCCTGCTATGTTGGTGCAAACTCTCAGGCCAACACCTGCAGCTGCGGATGAAATCCAGTCTTGCGGTGGCTCGAACTTGTGGTGAAAGGAAAGGCGTCCGTACTTTAGTGCCCGAAGGCTCCAACCCTCCCTTCTAGCCGGAACACGAGGAGGAGCCCACACTTCGCGAAACATCCGGGTAGCTCCTGACAGCCATTCGGATAAGAGATGTGGAATTTGGGCTTTCGGAGTTTTGAGGCTTAGGGCTTGGTTGTGCAGTGTTCAGCCTGAGGGGTTTTAGGTCGCAAGGCTTAGTGTGGGATGGCTTGGAGGTTCAGGATTGAATTTTTTGAGGGTTTAGTTTCTGAAGGCTCTGGATAGAAGGCTTAAATACTTTAGGTCTGGGGCATTTAGGTTGCGAGGTGTATTGTAGCATTTTAGCTTCAGGCGTGAAGTTGAGACGGGATAGGGTTTAGGGCTTTAAGCGTTGGATGTTCGCAGGGGTTTAGTGGTTCAGGATGTAGGCTGACCATGTAGAGTTTTGTAATATTTTCTTGGACCGAGACCCTCTTGAACTGTCCATCAGAGTATGTAGCACAAGTTGCTACCGCCATCAAGCCTTGACGTCAGTAGAAGTAGGGACAGGGTGGGAGTCAGTGGCAAACGGGCTCATCCCACTGCTCTTAAACCTCAGGGTTGCAGTTGGGATGGTGAAGCAGAGGACAATGATATGCTCAATAATGCCTCGGGATGTTATATGAGGGTTTCCGAATGAGGGGACCCTAACATAGTACCCTAAACAGTAGGATCCTCATTAGAAGGACACCAGAGTAAGGTACCCCTCATTTTCGGAAACAGCCATGTTAATAATTCTCCCATGGAGAGCCAAATGCTCTTCTTACAAGCAGGATAAGCTTCAGCTGGCAGTCCTCCTCACAATGTGGAAGTCTTCCTCCAAACGCTGCATGGTCGAGGATGGCGAGGTGCCAGCCATGATAAAAACAAGTCCTAATCCCTGAACCAAAATCTCCTGAACTCGCAATGCGAACTTCTAGCGAGCGCCTGATCCCATAAAGCCAAAGCGGCCAGCTTCTGAATTCAGAAATCCTATTCCTAGCCTACCTAGCCTTCGAGCTTTGGCTTTGATTCGGCCGAGACTTGTTATGACGACGAGATTTCGAGTTCGCTGTGGGCCTGTGGAACCCCGGGTGACAGCTGGCACGAGCGCATCTGAACTCATCGTACAAATCCACAGGAACCGCGAGACAACCTTGATGGAGAAGCGGCATATCTAAGTTTCGCCACTAACATGAAGCCAAGTCGGGCCCTTGACATCAGCTTTGGCACCGTGTTCCCAGGGGAAGTGTGCTTCTGCTTGAGGCTGGATTTTCAGAGCGCGCCGAATGTAGATTTGGGGCTTGGGATTAGGATGTAGGACTTAGGGTTCAGGGTTTGGGGCTTTTAAAACCTTGCGTTCTAAGTCATGTGGCCTGGAAGGGCTCAAACCCATCAAATCCTAAGCATCCAGCCGCAAGTCTGAAACCTGAGATGCCGTAGAGAGTAGGACTTTCGGAAGTTTAGAATTTAGCTGTGTTGGCTTCAGGGCTGGGTGGCCAATACGCAGGACCTTCAAGTAATCGACACCGAAGGCACCATTAGCACGAAACCTCCAAGGGTTGCCAACCCGGGAACCCAAAGCGTTAAACCCCCGAAACCTTCAATCGCAGGCCTACGAGGACCCTCAACCCTAAACCCCTGCGAGCAACCAACTGATAAGCCCAAACCCCTACGCTTGAAACTAGTAGGTTGATACGTATCACTACCCGCAAGTTCGAGGACATCCACTGCCACTTAGAACCGTCTTCACCTTGACCCTCTACATAAGACCCTTAGCTCCTCATCGCCTTCCAACAGCCGATTGAACTCCCTAGCCCTAGCCGTTGGCCCGCAAACCCTCACACTTCAACTCTGAACCTTCAACCAACAACCACACCCGACTTCCTAAACCTCCAGTCCTAAAAACCTCGCAGCCTCCCGAGATATCCCGAAACCCTCGACACGGCTTAGGGTTTGGGGTTGAGGGCTTAGGGTTGAGTGTTGAGGTGCAACAACAAAACGGAAACACGACAAACACAAGCAACCTGGAGACCTTGGAACCAGGCAGTCAATCCCCAAAATACACCCAACATAAACTCACGAAACCCGGCAACAAGCCCTGTAAAACCCTGTGTGACGCCCTACATATAATTCAGCAATAATGATCCGACTATTGTATACTACTATCAAGCACAACTATACTTATGACAACAATAACGATAACGATAGCGACAAAAGGAATGAGAATAATAGCAATAACAATAGAAATAAAAATGGTAAAAAGTAAATCATAATAATAATGCTCATAATATAAGCACAACAATAAAAAAATAGTCATCGTGCTGATGCATGTGCTTCGGATGCAGGGCACGGAGGAGCTCGCACCTGGCCGCCGAGCCTGCTCGTGCCTGGCATACGTAGGGCTTCATAGGGGAGTTTCGAGTACATGGCTTTTAGACTGTAGGTAGGGCTTCATAAGGATTTCAGGAAAGAGTACATGGCTTTAGAAGGGTGCAGGTGGGGCTTTAGGAAGATTTCCGGAAAGACTAGATGGCTTTAGAAGCTTTCATGGTGCGTTTCTGTAGAGTTTAGGGTTGGCAGGTATCAGGATTCTATAGGCTTTTAAAAGGCTTCATCGGGGTTCTCATAAGGCTCTTGCAAGGTCCAGGCCTGTAAGAGGGCTTCACAAGGGTTTAGGGCTTACGTCGTGTTTATGGCTTCGGGCAGCTACAGGTTCTATGGGGGCAAAGGCTTCTTTTAAGTCTCCACCTGTGTCGAAAACATCTGTGTGCGTCGCCAGCATGTTTTCATCGGGACAGATGTGCTGCACTTACCTTGGGTGAATCATGGACCCTAAACCCTGCACCTGCATCCTAAAGGCTGCCCCTGAACCCTCAACCCTAAACCGTATACTGCCTGTCGTCAAACCACAGACATGACAAGTGCAACAGCTGCCCTAACACCCTCACCCCTAAACCCTGATACTGGATAATGCCCTAAACCCTAAACTCCAAACCCCTAAACCCAACCCCGGAACCCCCAAACGCTAAACCCTAAACCCCAAACACCTAAACCCCTAAATCCCCAAAACCTTAAACCCCAAACCCGAGGACCCGGCCGGTGGTGGAACCAGCAGAGCATCTTCCGTCGGAGTCCGCTCGATTGCCTCCTCCGTCGGTGTGCCGGGGACCCTCAGTCGATCAACAATAAAGCGAAGGCTTCTGGGTGGTATGAGGCCGGGATTAAGGTTGAGGGAAAATTAGGGACTAAAGGGCATATAGGGCTTATAGTATACTTTGGGGTGCATCGGCGAACAGGGTAAAGTGATGGCTTTGGGTGGTATAGGGCTTAGGGCATATAGGGTTTATAGTGGGACTTTGGGGGTCTGTAGGCGTATAGTGTCTAGGGTTCAGGCTCTTGGGGTTTGGAGTTTGCGCTTTTAGGTTTTAGGGTCCAGGTAGAGTCTAGGTGGCTTCATTGGGTTTCTTGCTTAGGGCGGCGTTAGGCTGTAGTGTTAAGGCTTGGGTCTCTTGGGTTCACGTAGTAGAGGCCTTAATACTTCAGAGTTACAATTGGAGTTAAGGGTTTGGAGGTTTTTGAAAAGATTACAAAAAGGACCATAAGCGGGTGGCGGACTTTCGGGTTTATGGGTTTCAGGACGGGTTTTTTTGGAAGGGGGCAGTACAACAAAATACGGATAGTTGAAGGTGGCAACTAGGGTCCCGGACGGAGGTGCGCTCCACCTCCGTCGCGTGGGTGTACTTGTGCCAGCCACGGCGTCCTCACGAATCGATTGCTGTGGAGAAGAAGGTGCAGAGCTGATATTTTGGGATCAAGGTTCGCGATTTCCGGGTTAGGGTTTATAGTGTAGGGTTCCTGATTCAAGGACGAAGCAGCCCTGGGTTCCTTTAAAGGGCCCCAGACCCTAGAACGAAACCCTGAAACACTCCAAGGGCCCAAGACCCCAAAACAAAACCCTCGAACCCCCAAAGGACACAGAGAGACCCTAAACCCTCAAAGAAAACACTCGAACCCTCAAAGGACATAGATAGACCCGAAAAGTGAAATCCCGAAGACCGAAAGCCCCCCTTGAAGCCCCTGGGTCCTTTCTCTGCTTTCGGCGCTTCCAGGGTCTCAAATCCTGGCCGAAGCTCCGGTGTGCAACATAGGGGCCTTAATAATAATAATAGTAATAATAATAATAGTAATCATAATAATAGCAATAATCATACTAATAAACTAATGATAGTAAGAATAGTGATGATAATAATTACAGTAATGATGTCAAAAGAGCCAGTTGTGAAAGAGGTCAGGGGTCCAGAAGGGTTGTGGTATAGTACACAGGCACAGGGCGCTGGGATGACATTATAGTTCTATCATGTTCTATCATGCACGCCTGTACTTTATGGGTAAGGGACTTAGGATTTTAGGGCCTGTGGTGTAGGGTGTGCCACAGCTTTTGGCATGTGTGTGTGTGTGTGCGTTTGTGTGTGTGTGTGTGTGTCTGTGTCTGTGTGTGTCTGCGTATGTGTGTGTGTGTGTGTGTGTGTGTGTGTCTGTGTCTGTGTCTGTGTGTGTCTGCGTGTGCGTGTGTTTGTTTGTCTGTGTCTGTGTCTGTGTGTGTGTGTGTCTGTGTCTGTGTGTGTCTGCGTGTGTGTGTGTGTGTGTGTCTGTGTCTGTGTGTGTGTGTGTTTGTGTGTGTCTCAAGGATTTAGTTTGCAGCTTGTTGAATGTATGTGCGCATATGGTGTCTCAGGGATGCAGGCCTATGTCCAATCTGTTTTTCGCCGTTTCCAGTGCTGTTAAAGGTTTTGGGTCTAGGGTTCCAATCTTCTCGTCAAGCTCTCATTGCTCACGATTTTGGAATGAAAGCGCTGTTTAAGAAAAACTCTTTGGAAATACGGGCTTTGGGGTCCTCTCAGGTTCGAAAGGCATTCATCAGGAACGGGCCCCTGGAAAAAAAGACTTATACCCTGGAGCTCCAGACCCGCAGCTTGGGGTTTTGGGCCTTTAGGGCCTTTAGGGCCTTTAGGGGTTTAATGTTTGGGGAAAGTTTGAGGTTTAGAGCACACAGAACTTTGCACCTTAGAAGCTCCAGACGCGGAAACTCCAAAGCCCCAACCCACAAAGTCTGATACCCGGAGCCCAGAGCCCTGAAGTGCAGAAGCACCGCAGCTTGCGCCGGCCTCCTGACCCGGAGGGCCCTCGAGGGCTTGATCCTGCGAAGGGAGGTTCCTTGTTAAAGTATAGTATAATATAGCCCCAAAAACCCTATTCTAACTAGTAAGGTACTGTAGTACACTTCCTTATACAGGCTTTTGCTGCTTTGTCTTGGGTCAGAGGTGCCTTCTCGGGACTTCCGGGCCCCTGTGGGGCCTAAAGGGGACTTTTCAGAATGTCCCTGCTGATGCCCCGGAGGCACAGGACTATTCTAATGGCGGACCGGTGTAACGCCGTGCACCGCGAGCCACACACAGGCCCATGGCCAAGAAGACTGAGCTCCAAACAATGAGTATGGCAAGGAGGTGTGGGGAGTGCATTATCTTCGGAATCTATGAAGTTATCACTAATGACTGGTCATGCATACGCCTACGGCCCTCAAAGGGAACCTCTGCACTCCAGAACCCTACGACCTGAAACTGGAGCCCGAAGCTTGTGACCTAAAGCGCTGAACGCCCAGGCCTTGAAACCGATGCCGAAATAAACCCTTCCCACGCAACATCATGATGATAGCACAAGCAATGACACTACTCACAGTAGTGGCGATCATGTTCATAGTAGAACACAAACACACAGACACACACACACACACACACACACATGCACGCTTCCATGGGCTGGACATGCCTCGGCCAACGGCGAAGCCGGGGATGTTGGAGCCACCACCGACTCCTGGAAAAGTGAAGGTTGCCAGTCGCTGCGAGTAGTGCTTGATTACGAGATGTAGGCTTGACAAAGAGGGGGGCCGTCTAAGTTTGGCACTGTAGGTTTGTTTGAGACTCTGGCCAGCTTCAAGTGTAGGTTGCTGTAAAGATGCGCATGTCACTTATCGGATTTGCCCTTTGAGAGATCATGTTTCGTGGGAAACTGTGGGGAACCCTAAACCTCATGATGCTAAGCCGCACGAAACAAGCACCAGTTCCCTTTTCAACCAGCGGCCTGCGGCTTTACCAGCTCGGTGGGCTGATGACGTCTTTCATCCTTTAGGACATAGGAGTGCCTTATGTGTAAGAACTGAAGACAACTTGCCTTCGGCGGTGTAGATTGGGATACGTAGATAGAGTTGAGGCTCCCCGAGTTGAAGTTTCGGTGTTCAGGCTTTCGGGTTTTGGTTCTTTTGGGATGCAGGGTGAGCTTTAGGCTTCGGGTTTGGGCTTTTGGGTCCTGCATTCTGGATACAGCAAGGAACGACAAGCTCGCTGTCTTGGGAATGTGGAACTACGACTGCCCACCTAATTCATGCCTGCGCACACCTGATTCATCCAAACTCCTCCGAAACGTACAGAGATTAAGGTAGTCCACGGATGCGGCTACCCCTGAAGCATATGCATCGGGTTCAGGGGCGTTAAGACACCATAAACACTGTACCCTAAACGAATGACCCTACACCCCGAGAAAATGAAACCGAAATCACCAAAGCCCTAAACCCTACATCCCACAAGCCCCGCCGTAAAAAAAAAAAAAAAAAAACCATGGACCCCAAACCCTCAACCCTACAGTAAGCCTGGCAGTAGCTCTTATAGTACTCCCTCTAGTAACACAGTAGCCCTCACGCTACCCCAAACCCTAAACTTCCCAAACCCTTATCCCTAAACCCTAAACCCTAAGCTTCCAAAACCCAATTATACTTCACCAGACCCCAGGGGCCGAAGGCCTCGTAAGGGAGCAGCGTTGGCTCCGCTGTGGGCATCGTGGGGACCTCTCGGTCGTCGTCCTCGAAGTTTTCCACATCAGGAAATAGCGAGCTCGGTTTAGGGCTTCAGAGCTGTAGGCTATGGCATATGGGAGTTTCCGAAAATAGGGGACCCTAATATGGTACCTCAAATAGTATTATCTTTATTATAAGGACCCCAAAACAAGGTACCTCTAATTTTCGGAAACTCCCATATTGAGAATCAAAATATGTCTGAACCCGGACACTCCAACGCCCCCTCATTCAGAAACGAACCCTAGAGCTGATGAAACGGTCCTCCAAGGGTAAAAGGAGGGACCCTTAACAAGGAGCCCTAGGTATATACCCTTAATTAATATAGCTATTACATACCCATTACATAGCCCACTATAGGGTAGGGGTCCCCATTAAGCTTCGCAGTCAGGGATTTCCAACCGTCAGCCGTGAACCTGAGGCCCGGGCTGCCGGAGAAGTCGGAGACGGAACGTCCGTAGGTACCTGGAACATCCCGCAGAAAACAATCTATCGTACATTTCGTGGATTTCAGGATCCGGACTGAACCAGTAATTCTAAACTCCAAGAGTCTGGGATTAGATGGCTTCTGGGCTAAAGGTTGTATAGATTTCGGGCTTGAGGTTTTGGCGTGTAGTTGTGAAGCCCTACGCGCGGAGACCCTCAGCCCCAAAAACCCGCAGCAATGCAATCCTGCGACTGCGGATCTGAAGCCTTCGTAGCGCTGCTTACGATTTGTTCAGTTCTGCGTTAAGTAGGGTTTACGGTTTAGGGTTTTGGGATTTGTTGAGTTGCGCTTAAAGAGCGAAGGGTTCGGGCCTCCGACATGGACCCTTGGAAGTAGAGAGCTTCTTCAGGCTTCTTCCCTTCCAGCTTAGCTATTTATCCTCCTCAAGCCAAGGCGGGCAGATATGTGATATCCGAGGCCTGCGAAAGTAACTAAACAAGAAACGGGTGGCCGTAAAGTGCAGAGCAGTTTTGAGACCCCCAAAACCTCAGACCCCAAATAGACAGCTGCTATGTCCTAAACACCAAATTATCCCAGCCCTACGACCCCAAACCCCGACCCTACCCTAAACCCTAGACCCTGACCCTAGGCGTTTATGGCCTCCATCTCCGGCGCCGTCGGTGAACGAGGCTGTTGCAACTCCTGGGCTTTCAACTTCGGCTGTTGAAGAGCTCCCTCCAGTGGCTCCTCCTTAAAGCATTGCCAGGAGAATTTACAATATGATCTCGTGGTGGGTGTTGCTACTGTATGAGGTCAAATGTGAGGTTGTTACGGAGGTGCCAGGTTTCTGATGTGCTTTCCTTCGAGTATGTGTGTCCCTGGCCCTAGTTGCGCATGCCCGGTCTTAAACCCTCAAAGCCTGAACCCTAAACTCAACACAATCTGAACCGTACGCCCTCAGCCCTAAGCACTACTCCCTAAACATCCCTAAGCCCTGAGCCCTTAACCCTCAATCCGAAGCCATGCTTGTGAGGTTTGCGAATCTTCAGGGTTGAGGGTGCACCAAATGGGAGTTTCACGAATTTTGGTACATAGTAGGATCCTTATTATAAAGACCCCAAAATAAGGTACCCTAAACCCAAAACTCTAATTATAGAGCCCCTACAGAACCCTCAAAGGAACCCTTAAAGGAACCCAAGGACCCCAAACTAAGGTACCCGTAATTTTCGGAAACTCCCAAATGCAGCCAAGCTACTTGCAAGGGCACAGGAGGCTCCTGGAAGGAGGCGAAATTCTGCTACTATAGGGGCCCTAATAGTTAGAATAGAGTGCTGGGCTCCTGTATGGTATGTCTAACAGAAGGAACCCCTAAAATAGTATAGGTACTATTAAGGCCCCTATACTACTAGTACTCGCCGTAATATAGGGGCCCCTCAATAATTCCCAAGGGTTCCTTTAAAAGGGTTCTAGAACGGCTACTTTAGGGGTTACTGTTATTCATACTGTACTGTCATTTCACTCTGAATACTACCAGAACAGTTACAATTACGATTATTTTTGTAATTATGATATTTCTATTACTATTCGGCGATGAGCATTATTGTTACTATTCTTATTCCATCTAACTACGCTTGGAATTTCCAGGCACTGGTTTCCATAGTCTTTGGAGCAAGGTAGTGCTTTTTTGTATGGATTCTGCAGGGGAGTCAACCAGGAGATTTTTCTTCGTGTTCGTCTTTCCGCAGTGGCTCTGTAGAGGGATTTCGAGGCTGAAGAGGTTCAGACTTCCTCACTTTGGAGTCTGAACCCGCGACAACACATACAATGCAAATCTGTCTGTCTGTCTGTCTATCTATGTATCTACTGAACCCCAATAACAGCCCAACAGTACATACTTCAGGGTTCGGAAGTTTTCAATTGCTGTTTCGGGGGTTTCGGGAATTGGGGTTTACTGTTCCGGATGTTGAGGCCTTTACTGTGCCTGTAAGGATGATTTATGGGTTTAGTGTTTCTGCGTTTGGGGATATGGGTTCAGGCTTTGAAGCGTCCCTTTGCTCGGGAAAGCTCGGCCACCATCAGTTGCTAGGTCGGCCACCCTCTGATGACTGTAGTGGCGAACGATTTGATTGTCATACCACTGCTGACTGCAAGAGGTTCAACTATACCCAGTTCGGGATATAGGGCTGAGGGTTTAGAGCCGTACGATTCGGGGCGGCGGTCGCGGCTAATTGAGTGACCTAGGATCCTCACCTAGGGCCAAAGGTCCTCCCCCTCGAAACATGAAAGACGGTATCAGAGTACTACTGTGGGACAGGTTCAGGGTGCAGCCGCACGTTCCGTACCCGCAGCCTGGTCCTAAGCCACTGAACCCCGAAGCGAACATGACGCCCCAAATCCTAAGTCCTAACTACCAGAAAATCCCTTCAAAGCCGATGTACACATCTACAGAATCGCCTGTTGTCCCTGACGACGCTCTCTACTCCTTTTAAGTCCCTGACAAAACTCTCTACTCTCTCCAGAAATCCTGCAAAAACGAAACTGAAACACACACCAGACCCTGGACCGTATCCACCAGAACAACTATAAGCCCTAAACCCTGAACCCTGAACCTAAACCCTGAACCCTAAAACCCCAAACCCTGAACCCTAAACCCTGAACCCCTAAACCCTCCTAAACCCTAAAAAACACTAGCCCTAAACCCTAAAACCCTAAACCCTAAAGCCTCAACCCTAACCTCTAAACCCTAAACCCTAAACCCCCAACTCCCCCACCCCCAGGCCTCGGCAGCTGCAGCTTCGGGGGCTCGGGGGCGGGAGGCCTCAGAAGCGAAAAGAAGCAAAGCCTCCAGAAAGCTGTGCTTGTTTTTTGTTTTAAGATGCAGTGGGTTTAGGCTTGAGGGTTTAGGGCTTTGAGGGTTTCGGGGTTTGGGGTTTAGGGGTTTCGGGGTGTAGGCCTGGTCCGAGGGTTTAGCGTTGAGGCGTGAGGGTGAAGGTTTGAGCCTTTTGAGTTCGTCCCTCGGGATCAGGGCTTGGGTATGAGGAACTTCCAACACGCGTTGCTCTTTGAGAGCGGGGGGTTGGGGTGTCGTTTTTGGGTGGGTCGTAGGTGAAGTCTGCGGGCTTAGAGGCTCTCTAGGCCCTAGGCGAGGTCTGGCGCTTTGGGGGAGGCTGGCTTTGCTGGGATGTTAGGTTTAATGCGCTGAGGCTTGTGAAGTTTAGCTGAAGGTAACCATCGGCCTCTAGGATGTTGTTTGCGATGTTCGACGGGCTTAGGTACCGCCTTGTGGTTTGGGATGTTTTCTAAGGGTGCGGAGGAATTTACTCTCTCCGTCATTGCCCAGCCTGTCATTCAGAAATGCACACCAAGCCTAGGGATTAGGGAATGTGGACATATGAACTGCTATTGCGAGAGGCCATGGCTGGAAAGCCAATCTCAAGCTATAGTACCGACTGCATGTAACATAAGTTATGCTCTTTCTATCTGTTCAGACCGCTATACTGCGCGCTGCTTTCGCGCAAACCCCGAAAGAAGTAATCGCGAAACTCTAACTTCGAAGCCCCACCCTAAACTCTATACACTCTAAACCCTAAACCCAGCCTAAACTCACCCTAAAACCTATACACTCTAAACCCTAAACCTACCCTAAACCCCATAAACTCTAAACCCTAAACCCACCCTAAACCCCATAAACTCTAAACCCTAAACCCACCCTAAACCCCCAAAGCCTAAAACGTCTAAAAACCCTAAACATGGGCATGTGGCAGCTGCAGGGACGTGCATCGGCACAGCCTCCTCCTCGTCTTCCGCCTGGGCGACTCGTTTGGGAGAAGACGTACATGTTTACGGTTTTGGGGTTTTAGGGTTCATAGGATTTATGGTTGAGGGTTTTACGGTTTAGGTTTACGGTTTAGGGTTTAGGGCTTTAGGGTGTTAGGGTTTGGGTTTGAGGATTAATATGCAGCCTCCCATGTAAGTCGCTTAGGTCAACTAACTCTTTGTGGTAAGCCTACAGCATCGAACCTGAATCCTAAACACTAGACACGCCTCATACCCGAACACTCAAAAGCAAGCCTCAAAGGGACCAGTCAAGGAAGTCTCAATGCAGCCGCTAGAGGAAGCCTGACAGAAGCCTCGTCTCAACAAACTTATCCTCCACCCTGAACCGGCCCGAACCCAAACTTTGGCTTCTGCGTTTCCGAACATCACCAACAAGCTTTTTCAGTGCTTCGGGTATTCGAGCCTCAGGAGTTGAGGTAGCCAAAAGGACTTTCCACCACACGTACAAGAACCCTTACCTGCCAGGACATGACATTCTTCATCTGCGCACGGTCGAAAGGTCTCGGTTAGAGTTAGTTTTGTCCAGGTTTAGGATCTAAGGAATCTAGGGGTAAGAGAGAGGAGTTAAGACTTCCGGTAGCAAATGCGATGCTGAGACATGCGTTTCTACCGGGGTATTGCGTTTAAGTCTGCAAGAAGCATGGGACAGGACCGGACAGGATTACTGCCCGTGCCCAGGCTCCTCGCTTCACATAGGGCTTTGAGGTTGGGTTTAGTGTGTAGGCTCCACTGTTGGGGTCGAAAGGGTTGCAGTTCTAGGGTGTGGCACATGCGGACTGGAGTTTAGTTTAACTTAACTATACCGGAGACTTCTGTATCCCATACTCTGTGGGAACCCACTGCTGGTCGTATCTATAAACCACCAAATACATCAGTAAACTCAACGAGCTGTTTCGACCCTGCCTCTGCCGGCGATGTGGGAGACGGAACCGCTGAAACGGGGACTTCCTGTCACGTCGAGACACAACGGCACGTCGTAGCTAGGTAATGCCAAATCGGAGCAGGAGTTCACAAACCGGAGGCTCATGACGGCTCATCAAGCAACCACTCGCGACGTTAAGATCTACGATTTGCATGGTTTGGGAGCCCCTTTCGGGGTTTAGGATTTTCGGGTTTAGACGCGCGGCGGGCTCGTGCCACTCGCATCGCGAGCACCTCCGTTCGTGCTGGTGCTTTATCTTCATTGTGTTTGAGTGCTGTACTCTAGCCAACTCAAACGAACTCCGCCCAAATTAGTTACTATGACCCTAACCAACTAACTCACAGTCACTAGCTTACGAGCCAACTAGCTAGCTAACTAGCTACCTAGCTAGCTGCCTAACGAATTACCTAACTCAGTAGCTCACCACATAAGTCACTGACGACGTAACTCAGTAACTCACCAGCTAGCTGGCTAGCTGGCGAGCTAGCTAGCTAAGTAGCCAGCTGAGTGCCTAACTAGTAACCTGACAAACTGATTATTTCGTCAGCTAGCTATCTACCTAACTAACTAACCAGCTGGCTAGACAAACAAGCTAGCTAGCCAACCAATCAAGCTAGCTAGCTAGCTGACCCACTACCTAGCTAGCCCACTGGCCAACTGACCATCTGACACACTGACGACTAACTCACAAAAAACAAGCAAGAAAGCAAGTACACCAGCAGCCAAACCAACCAGCCAACCAACGAACAAACCTACATATCTAGTTAACTATCTATCTGACTAACTAACCGGCTAACCGACTATCCAAGTAACCAACTAGCCACATAATTATTCAATTAACTACCTAACTAATTAACGTACTTACTTACTGACTAACTAACTAACTAACTAACTAACTTTCTGACTATCTAACTAGTTAGCTAGCTAGCTAGCTAACTAACTGTTTACTTAACCAGCCAACTAACCGTCCGACTGACTGACTGACTAACAACCTACCTGGCTACAGTGCAATCACTGTACAAGAAATAGTTGGATAAGAAACGTAGGGGCTACGTCAACCGGATAGCACCAAAAAGCCCAAAATTCAAAACGCCTTCTAACTAAGAAATGAAGGGTACCCAACGTTTTAGGGTCATTTCTTATTTGGCTGGGCGGTTAATTTCTTGATTCGGGTGTTCTCAAGCCTCGAAAACCCGTTTGGGGGTTTTCCAAGAGCCAACAAGAAACGTAGGGGGCTACATTTCTTATTTTGGGTGGTTTCCAACGCTTAAGCTTAGGGCACACGACAGGAGCCAAAATAAGAAATGTCGGGGGCTACATTTCTTGCTTTGGGTGGCTCCCAAGGCTTAAGCTTAGGGCACACGACAGGAGCCAAAATAAGAAACGTAGGGGGCTACATTTCTTATTTTGGGTGGTTTCCAAAGCTTAAGCTTAGACAACACAACAGGAGCCAAAATAAGAAACGTAGGGGGCTACATTTCTTATTTTACATGTTTCCACGTAGGGGGCTACATTTCTTATTTTGGGTGGTTTCCAACGCTTAAGCTTAGGGCACACGACAGGAGCCAAAATAAGAAACGTAGGGGGCTACATTTCTTATTTTGGGTGGTTTCCAAGGCTTAAGTTTAGGGCACAGCGCAGGAGCCAAAATACGAAACGTAGGGGGCTACATGGGTTATTTTGGGTAATGCTGCCTTAGTGGTGTCTGTCTAGGCTAATGGCAAAGGCATTGGCTTAGTAGAGTGCAGCTGAACTACCATGGGCTCGAGCCCCGACTAAGAAATGAACAAGAAACGAAGGGTACCCAACGATGCAGAAGTTGGGAAATGTGGAAATATAAATGTAACAGGAAGCTAAGAAATGAAGGGTACGCAAGGCTGGAAGCTGGCATTTCTTATCCGTAGAGGCACTGTAGCTAACTAAACCAACCAGCTACAACTACAAGAAAAAAGCTAAACTAATTAGCATGATCAAGCTTGCCCTAACCTAACTAGCGAAATCAACTAAACTCTAAACTAAGCTAAATTTCACTAAACTAAGGAACTTAATCAACGAACCAACGAGTCAACTACCGAACAGACGAACTAGCTGGCATACTAAGGAACGAACTCATTCTCACCAGCCTTAGCATCTAACCAACTATAACAATAACTCACTATCTTGCCAGCTAGCCAGCCAACCAAACCCAACCAACTAACGAATTGCTCCGGAGCAGAGGGTCTTGTGGAGTTCATGTTCATGACACAAGATGCAGGCTTCAATAGAAAAACACTCATAGTCCACTACGTACCACAGCGATTGCAAGCACAAGCTGCTGCAGCAAACTTCAACTTTAAACCTGACGCTCTAAGCCCTCTATGGAAAGATTGATATTCCGTCAGGCACGAATCACCGGGATTGCCTCCAGCGGCAATTCGACGGTGGGCGCCTGCAACATGTTCGACAAGTCTCCCTGGACACACCCTGAACCGTGAATCTTAAACCCTAAAGAGCCGTACACCTAGGAAGCTCGGAATGCTTCTGATCCTATCCAGCCTTCACCACCTGTAGCGGAAGGACAAATCGCATCGAGAAGCCTATCATATGGGACGCCGAAAGAAATACAAATACAGAAAATAGATAAGACTATATTACAAACATGCGCATAAACTCGTAAGAAACAATATGTAACATAAATGTGTGTGCGTATATATATATATATATATATATATATATATTCTTTGTTTTACGTTGGGTCATTTTTACAATTGCCGTGTGCTGATGGGTCTTTCCGAACCCATCCCCAGAGTTCATTCAGTGCTGACATCGAAAATGCGCTGAAGGCAGCAGGAAGGATGTTTCCGTGTGACGCTGGCTTAAAGCGATTACAAAGGCTAAGGCAGGGTTGAAAGATTAGGGTGTGTGCCAAACGGCTTGGGGCCTAAAAATCAACTACTAAAGCCTAATCCTTACGGTTATGGTGGGCCTTGTTAAGCCTTTCATGTCTGTTACATGGCCAACCAAGGAGTCAATGTTCTTGCTATAGTTGCAGCGGCTGTCTACAGCACTGTTCATTTTAATTCACAGTGAACCCCTACCACACCTACACTGCCAACCCGAGGACCCTGAAACCCGAACCCCCCAAATCCAAAAACCTTTAACCCACAATGCTGAAACCCTATAAGCCATAGCCCCCAACCATAAACCATTCCTGCCTCCGGCTGACGTCTCCGAATTGGCAAGGCAACCTGCTTCAGCAGCAAGGTTTGGGGTTAAGGAACTTTTCGTAGGCATGTACGATTTCGGGAAACGCATTCAAGGGTCTGGGCTTTCGGGATTCGAGATATGGTTTTACAGTTGGGACATCGATGCTCGTTGTGAGATTGAAAACCATATTCCTACAGAGTTTAGCAATCAAGAATATTAATCTAATGGCTGGTCTTTGTTATTTTAGTCTGCGAGTCTCTGGAATGCGAAGAGAGAGCACTCTGAACAAATCTCAGAATTCTCTCAGCACGAACCCGCCAAACTCTGTACCCCAACCCCAAACCCTAATCCTAAACTCCTGATTATATCCGACACGTTGCCTGGTAGGGACATAGTTAACGGGCAGTGTTCCCATTCAGAATTAAGTTATTGTGTGAGGATTCTTTTCCATAGGGGTTTAGGGCTTGAGGTTGTGCGCGTAGAGCTGTGCTTCAATTCGGCCGGCCTTGCATTGGGTTTAGGGCTTAAGCACCCCCTCGCGGCGGCACAAATCATGGATGTGTTCAAGGTTTTAGGGCTACTATAGGGGCCTTAATAATTAGAACACGGTTTTGGGGGCCCATTATACTATAATCACAACAAGGAATCCCCAAAATAGTAGCGTAGGGGTAGGCCATGGATCCTGCGGCCCCGAAACCTTGAGCCCTAAGGCTCCAAAGCGTTGACAAACCCGAAAACTCGAAAACCCGAAAGTGTGGCCTTTTTGGGGTTATCCAACCAGTCCTTCTTTGTATGGGACCGAGGAATCGGAGACTCCGAACCTAAAGCCCTGAAAGCATACAAACTCATGACCCCCTTCCTAAGCCCATGCTCAGCCCTCCTTGCTAAGCCACATATCCCCTAGAGTCTCACTTGCTTGCTGTCCTTGCTTAGCCATTGGCCCAATGGCCAGTAGTCGAAGCTTGAAATGAATGATTTCACCAAGACCTTTTGTGGGTGGCTGCTAATTCAAGTCCTAACTTTCCCACACCTAGAACCTCGACAAAGGCCAGAGGTAGTGCAATACGGCTACAGTGATAACTTTGATGACGCAATTCTGTTGCTAAGCCACATAATCCTCTAACATGACCAAAACCCTACGAAAGCCTACAGAACCCTACAACAGCTGATGCAGCGAGTTACTGAGTTCCTTGGCCAACCACTAGAGGCTGACTGCGGTAAGAACATGCTCGTAGTATTGCCAAAAGATACGAGAACACCTACTCAGCTATTGAGTAAAGCCCCTTGGCATCCTCGACACTCGTCAACAATGCTCTTATTGGAAGCCCTGTACAATTAATATTTTGTTCTGAGACTAGACTCACTAGACTACCGCTTGAAAAGGACAATCTCGAAAGCTGCTGAAACAAACCCGCAGGTCACGAGGATGCCTCTCTGCCCCGTTGCGGTCTGGTCCGGGTGCTGCGCGCGGTGGCGACCGTCCGAGTCTGTTTGCCGGAGCCGAGGTTTCGTGTTGGGTTTTTCACTAATATAGGGTCCTTGATAATTAGAATGAGGTTTTTGGGGTACATTATCCTGTATTTACAAAATAATCCCCAAAATAATATAGGCAATTGTTAAGGCCACTAAACAGGTGTTCATTTGAAGGTTCCGCTGCCGGAGTTACAACCTAAAACCTAGCCCCTCCAAGCTGGGTTCTATTCTATCAAATGTTGCGAGTCAGGAGTATAAGTTTCCCAAAGGATCGCAAGTACCGATAAGGGGTTATACACTTGTCAGGGATCCCAAAGACATGCGGGTGATACTTAGACTCACACAAACCATAATGCAAATCCTTACGCAGAAGCTCTACTGTGTGATCGGTTAGAAGCTGCCCCCACCCTGTAATAGTGACTATAAGGATTATATTAGGGCCCTACTCTATTCCTATTATACCACTATTACAGGGTGGGGGGGCCCCTTCTGTGGGATCGGACCCTTCGGATGGATCACAGGATGCACTGGGTTTCTTCAAGGAAAATCGTAGAGACAAAACCTCAAGCCTCCGAAACCGTAAAGCCCTAAACCCATAAACCCTTGATCCTAAATCCCTAGATCCCTGAACCCCAAACTCTCTACAGCTCCGAAACCCTCAATAATATTAAAAAGCCTGAAGCCGAAACATCGGCATTAGGAACTCGGCCTTAAAACGTTTGTGGTTTGTTTTTAAGGTTCCGTCAGGGCTGTTTTGGGTTCTGGGGTTTCGGGTTCCTTTAGGGTGCTTTGGTGTTTAGGGTTCTCGAAAGCTGTTTCGGGCTTTAGGGATTTGGCATTATGAACTCAACGCTTCAGGTCTAAGATGTTGGGTTTAAAGTTGGTGGTGTTGGGGGTTTCCCTGTTCATACTTAGGCTTCGAAGGTTTAAAGCGTGAAGCTTCGGGTGTAGGATTTTGGGGTTTCAGCTTTGGTAACTCGGGTTTACGTAATGATTTGGATTTAAGGTTTAGAGTCGGGGCTTCAGGGTTTGAAGTCAAGTTTGGGTGCCAAGCACCGGCCAGATCGGCAGTTGAAACCGCGCCCTGCCACAGAAGGTTGCCTGCGCAGTAAGGGCTGGTCATTGGAGACATTTTTTTTTGATTTTTTTTGTCCCAACCATGTCGCACTCGCGTGTGCCGGGCCAGTTCCAGGAGAAGGCACGACCAAGCGCAACTGATCCAGTTGACTGTTGGTGGATGCCACGATGGGAGGCACAGCGGCATGATAGACCCGCCAATGTCCGAGGTCGTGCTGACATCTAAACTCAACGGAGGCACTCGAATAAGTTAGGGTCTAGCCTTACCTAAACTGTACGAGACAAACCCCAAACCAAACACCCCCAGCTTCGGTCCTGAACTGCACTAGCTTCTTTGCTCACTAGGGTCGTGAGTTAGGGATGGGAGCCGGAACAATTAGGACGTAGATTCAAGCTACGCTACGCGTCTTCGACTTAAGTTGCGCGTGGATTAGATCAGAACCCTAAACTGGTGAGCTGCTTAAACCTTTATCATCCCGACCTATCCAGCGACTCTTCCCTTAGAGTCTGCAGACATCTATTCCATATTCGAATAAGCCTAAAATCCTAGGGCCTACAGGCCCAGGTCCGCACCCAGAGTGAAGCCCTGTTTATGGCTTAGAGTTCAGGGTAACCCTTCAAGAAGGAGCTGCCGCGGCCTGCGTAGGTGTCTCGACCGTGGGCGCCGCCTCTCCGGAACAAGCAAAACTTCGACTCCGGACACTAACTAAGCATCTAACCCTTTCCTTTTCAGGACCTCGTAGTTAGGGCCCTGGACTTAAGGACCCAATAATAGGGAACCTGGAGGCGCAGCGTAAACCGCTCAACCAGTTCCAAGACCTTAACGGCCCCAACAAGGCATAAAAGAGCACATCGTCCATATCATATAGAGTTAAGTTTGGGGCGTTGAAGCTTTTGGCTTCAAGCTTTATTCTCGCAAGCCTATAACCCGAATCTGTAGACAACCTGAAGCCCCCAATTCCTAAGCCCCTCCACCTCCTGAACCATAAACCTTAAAACCCCTGAAATCTGCATACAACACCTATACCCAACTGTCAACGTTGAGGCGACGCAGTGGTCGGAACGTTTCAAAGGTTGAGGCCTTGACTTAGTGTCTTTGCGACTGAGTAGGTCAGTTTCTAAGTATGTTCAATGGGACCATGAAACTACCAAGCCGTTCGATCTGCTTAGATTGGTTTAGGAGGTGTTAGCAGGGCCTCCTGAAAGCTAAAGCTCCGCCCGCTTGCGCAGCCTTGCTACTGAGAAACTTGAAAGCTCCCATGGAATTTAGTCACGGCTTGATGTTTCCTTTTAATAAGTTGGGCTTGGCTTGCAGCTTCAATTTGTCTATCCATCTATCTATCTACCTGTCGGTCTATGCATACATACAGACATACATACATACTTACATACATGCAGACATACTTACCTACATACATACCTACATAGATACATTCATGCATACATACAGGCATGCATACATGCATGCACACATACTTACATGTATGATGATAAGTCACTGTATGTTAATGCATATTAATGCATGTATATTTGCAAGTTTGAATATGCATAGACTTGCAGATACATGTATACATATATATATATATATATATATATATTATATATATATATATACACTTGGGTTGCATCCGTAGCCAAAGCGTGGTTTGTATCTGACCCCGCTGGCTAACAAACAGCCTAGCCAAACAAGACAGAGTAAGCCTGCCAAAATCTTACAGGCTGACTTAGCAAACAAGCCACACGCCGAGCAAGTACTCTTCGGGCATATTAGGATTTGTGGTTGAAGGTAGTCATGCCGATGAAGAGGCTGAATACGGTAACGAGGGAGATGATAATGGAACTTGCTAGCTACCAGGACGGATGCAAATACTGAGTTCAACCTTATGAACGAGAATGCGACGATACTCACGCAAAACCACAATGATAGTCTACCTGCAAGCACAGTCAAAACAACGAATACCGTTATGCCCATGTAGATCCTCAAATAAAACGGTGACTAGCCCAACGACTAGTCGCCATAGCAATAACAATCACGGTCACCGTACTGATGCTGAACAATAACAATGACAGCTGTAGTTGGCATAATAAAGATAACAGGGGCACCTACAATGCAAACGGGTTTCAGGGAAACAGCTACCGCTAAAACCCCAAACCCTAAACTTGAAGTCCTAACCCTAAACCCTTCAGCGTATATCCTTACCCCTAGAGTATCGTAGCCTAAGAGCTATTCCTCCGAACCTGTGTTGAAATGGCCTCGACAAGGGTCCTGGTCGGTGTCTCGGCGGTTGGAGGAACCTCGTAGCATTGAGGATAAGGGGAAACGGCTCTAGATAGGAGTCTAGGGCCTAGGATATAGGATCTAGCATCGAGTCAAGTGAAATAGCCCTCTGAAATTTAGAGCTATGAGGGGTTGGGGATGTAGAGCCTAGGGCCTGATGGTTTGTGGGTATTTAAAGCTTACTGCTTGCAGCCGTTTGGGGTATAGGTTTTTCAAAAGTATACGTAGGTTGGGTGAAAGTTTTGGGATTGTTTGAGGTGTGGGGCCGTGTAACGTTTTCTGTCATTCAGGGGCTTCGGGTTCAGGTTGGACGGGCTTCAGCTTTTTTCTCCGGCAGTCTTCTTTCGCAGCGCTGTAGACGCAAAAGCCTTCAATGCCCTTGCACGTTAAGTTTAGCAGACCAGCAGCAAGGACTTTGGCAGGCGGTTCGTTGTTAAGGATTTTCGGTCTTTGGGTTCTGGGCTGGGCTTCTGGCGTAGGACTGCTTCGGGTTCTCGACCTTCGGTTGGGGTTTTTCTTGGGTTGACGAGGTTCACAAGATCATCGCTCTTCGGTTTTGAGGCTGGGCTTTAGGACTAGAATAGAGCTGAAGGTATATTGCCACTGAACTATATAGGGGCTATGCGAGACAAAACAGCTATGACAGATTGTTCAGAGCTGGATATATATATATATATATATATATTTATGTATTTATTTGTTTATATTTATGTGACATCTTGACCCAAATCTAATCCTGCGAGGATGGCCTCCGGTGCCGTGCGCGTAGGCGAAGCTGTGGGTGCAACGGCCTGCCACTGCAGCGTTTGGGGTACTAGGGTTCTTTGAAGGTTCTCAAAGGCTCCTAAGGGTTCCACGAGGGGTCTATAAGTTTCGTTAAGGGATGCGGTAAGTGATTATACGGGCAGGCATAGTGGTACCCTTGGGGTTTAGGTTTCGGGCTTCGGGTTGGCGGCTTCCAGGAGCAGTGGTTCTCACAGAGCTTGGAACCGGCCTAATTCAGGTAGCTTCCTGCGTAGAATCATGAGATACGTGCCAAAGCAAACAAGTGCCGAATCGTCCCCCCAAACCATATAAGCGCTAAGCCCTATGGGCCGCAAGATTGGGTCTGTGTAGCATCAGCACTGCATGCCTCTAGACTCTGCTCAGACCTTGGGGCCAGGGAGTTCCGAACACCCAACTCAGTAGAACCTAAAACTTGAACTCCCCGGGTTTAGGCTGTAGAACTCCTTTACCTGCCATAAAGACCTGGTCAAATGCCGTACATGTGGGAGGAAAGAGTATGCATGTTCCTTCACACCGCGCTTGATTCTTGAGGCAGAAAAGGACCGCAAACCGACTTAAACTGATAGATTCGATCCCTCAAGAGCTTTATTTAGGAGGCAAGAGCTTCGGGTTTAGGGTTCACCTCAAACCCCCAATATCCTTCCTTTTTGAAGACGTACCATAGGAAATCAAGAGAGGGATCGCCCTGAAAGGCTTAGGATTTCTGGGGCTGAAGCAAACCCGGAGGCGAAGCCGCAAAACCGAAAGCCTGGACTCAATCGCTCGCTTCCCCGGCTGAAAAGGACGGAATAGGGCACATCTGAATATGGATATATGACACTACGAACGAGAGAGAGAGAGAGAGAGAGAGAGAGAGAGAGAGAGAGAGAGAGAGAGACACACACACACACCCACAAGGGTGAAAGGTCACATACCGAGCGACGAAAGTTTGGAAGCCTACAGCACCCAAGGAACGGGACACGCCTAACCAACAGACTCAAACCTACAGTAGAAGCCAGAAAGTTGGAATGCCATTATCCTGCTTCTAGGGTAAAGTACCGGGGATCCCAGCCATCCTAGATCCATGTTCCAACTGTCTGGGTTCCACTATAAATCCGGAAACCCATTGAGAGTCTCAAGATCCTGAAGCCCGAGATGGCAACCCCAAAGCCTCAATTCCGAACGGATTAGAGTGTAGAGTTCAGGGATTATAGGGTGTAGTATAGGGGCCATTGTAAATGCACGATACGTGGATATTGCAGTATCACTATCGCTTCGACTCAGCCACTGAGAAGGAAAAACAGCAGAACAAGCCCTAGACCCTCAACTCCCTCAACATCCCTGAAGCAACCCTGATTCCCAAACCCTAAACCCCAAACCCTAAACCCTGAATCCTAAATCCCTAAAATCCCTAATTAACCCCTAACGCCCGGAAGTCTGCCTCCACCACGGTGCGAGTTGGGGTCTCCGCCGTCGGAATGGTGCCCTGGCTACTTCCAAGTGTTCGGTGATTACAGCCATGGTATGGGCATTTCCATAAGGGGTACCGTTTGTAAGGTCCTTATAATAAGGAGCCTACTCTTTGGGGTACTATATTAGGGTCCCCTATTTTCGGAAACCCGTATGCCGTATGAGGGCTTCGTGTTTGGGGTTTAGGGCTTAGGGAAGTATTGGGGTAAGATGTTCGGTCGGAATTTAGGTGTGTCCTTTGAAACCTTGGGGGAACCATAACATAAGGGCTTTGTTGTGGATCTTTCGTGAACAACATGCTTTGTCTAACGCTCTCGGAGTAGTAAGGGCTCTAAGTTTGAACAGTGTTGCCCCCTTCGACGAGAACAGACTAGACCAGATTTAGGATTAAGGGCGTGTCCTTCATAGGAATCCTACAGATACAGTACCTCTACGGATCTGTTGTGTCATTCTTCATTGGACCTCTAGAAACAACAACTCTGAGTACAGGGAGATTAAACACGCTTTCTGTTGACCCTATATGCTGTCAGTATTGACACCTTAAAATTTAGACCATGAACCTAATACAAGTCTGGATCAATCGGTTAACATACCGTTATAGCCGCTGTATTAGAATTGCACCATCATGTACACCCCCAAACCCTGGTCTAACTTACTAGATATGCCTTACATAACCCCCTGCGGTGAACCGCTCCGAAAATGATACCTTGGCGAAGTATTGCGACCACTAACCTCAAGTCCGTTTTGGGGTGAACTTCCCAAAACCCTAGGATACAGCATTTGGGCACCTTCTGCCGTGTAAAATCGCTGGCTCTGTGGCCGTAAAGTCCCAAGCACTAAGGATCCGAAACAACCAAAGCCCAAGAACCCCCCGCAAGTCCTTAACGTAGGCGCCTTAGTGATTATCATAGGCTTCGGGGCCCATTCTACTATAGCTAACCCCAAGGGTCCAAGTACCTAAAAATCATATACTCTCCAAAACCCTAACCTACATAACCACTATCCGACAACCGAGTACCCAATTATTGGGTCCTTTGGACCCTTGGGGTAATAAGGAAACCCGTAGAGTAGCGCTAAAAGGAACCCTGGAAGCTCTGCCTCTGCAACTGTCCGTGTTGGGGTCTCCACCGTGGGGATAGCCTTGTACCAAGGTCGTGGCTCAGACTTTGTGGGTTGAGGGTTAGGGTTCCTTTAGAGGGTTCTTGAAACAAGGGTCCTAGAAGGGTTACTACAAGGGTTACTATTACTATAGGGGGTATTGGGGGGTGGGCTTCATATACGAGCCTTAATATATAATTAGAAAGGGTTTGGGTCACATTATACATTGCAACCAGGAAACCCTGCCAAATAGTCTTGGTAATCATTTAGGGCTCTATGTTAGGGTTTCGGGTTTAGGACTTTGGGGGATTAAGGTCTATGGTCGCGGACCCAAAGGCGACTTCGATAGTCAGCAGCCATTCTCGAGGCTGCATGGTGTTGAATTTGCTCTTTGGGAGCCGTCGTCAGGGACCCTACACCCTGGACCATTCGCCCATTGGACTTTTGTCGTTTTAGGGTACGGTTTAGGCGTTCGGTCTTCAGGGTTGCGTTTTACCGTGGCGTTGCTTTCCGGCTGAGGGTTTGCGGACTTTACTTTGGGATCGTTAGTATCCCCATCCGGGCACCCGAAAGATCTGTTTCCCAATATTGCTGAGGAGTGGGGACTGCCATAACATAGATGCGTCGGAGACTACTTCACATGTACTTCAGTCCTACTTCATAACAAACCTAAACCCTACATCACCTGCGAAACCCTACCTTCGAGCCCTATTCTAAAGCAGCGAACAAACACACCAGAACCACACCCCAACACAAACAAAGCCCTACACCGCGTGCACAACCCTGCTAATTAGAAGCCTTTGAAACACCCAGATGCATGCCTTCTGCTAAACTTCTCCTTATCAAGGATTCTGGGAGCCAGGCAGTAGGAGCCGTGATAGTTTCGCCTGCATGCACATGAGAGTGCTTGGCACAAGGGAGCAAGAGTCACCATAAGGAAGATAGAGAGGAACTCGCACGTTTACATCTGTTCTAGATTCAGGTTTCTACAAGGTGTTGGTAAACGTTCTATCAAGATTCGCGATCAGCGGCCTTCGTAAGTAGGGTTAGCAGGTGGCTATCTATCACAATAGCCTACACCGCTTACTAAGGTGATCTAGAGACCTTAATGATTCGAAAAGGCTTTTGGGAATATTGTTGCTGAGTCTGAGTATAGTTATTATATGGAGACTTTGAAGGGGTGCTATTATCCAGAACCGCGCCCCTCTAGTACAGCAATTTCTGGTCCTAGAAGCATGAGAACTTGCGACTTCTTGGCTCATGGCCCTTCGAGCTGGCCGAAGGCCTTAGGGGCGGGAGGAAGGATAAAATAGAGGCTTTGGTTGTTAGAATACGGTATGACATGCAAACTGTCTGTAAGGACTATACAGGGATAAGCTTCTGAAATAAGCGAGACTGCTTTGAAGCTCGTTGGGATTAGGGCTGAGGGGTTTGAGGAATATCTATGTTGGCAATTTTCATTCACTACAGCAAGGGCGCAGCTAAAACGCCAAAAACATGCCCGACGATCCGCTCTCCCCCATCCGCGTTACAAGGCTGAAGGCTAAGGCTTCACGGTCCAATCCACGACCGAAACCATGGAGCGTGAAACCCTGAATCCCGACCGCCGCTACATAATTCCTAGGTCTCTAAACCCATCCTAAACTCTAAACCCTAAACTCGATGCCCTATGTTGTAAACCCTAAACTCTCATGTCCAAACGTCTACAGTAAGAAGCTTGCAAACCCTAAATGTCAACGGGAACCTCCCGAAAAAAAGGAGGCCTAGTCCAAAATGGCAGGACACTTGTGATCAATAGAAATGAATAAGGTAAAATAGAGGCCTACATGGTGAAGTTATGACGTTTTTTTAGAACTTGTTGAATAAACACATATATATATATATATATATATATGTATATATATATATATATATGTATATGTATGTATGTATATATATATATATGTGCAATCGTTTGAGTATAGTCAAGATTTTTAAGGAATAATATCGTTAGTGAATCAGGCGTCTACACCCTAAAACCAAATTGCCGAAACCGCACTTCTTCCGGGCCTTCGGGCTCCCGCGGGCTCGTTGGCGACGGCACCTGGGGGGATTTAGATGTTAGGGTTTAGGGTTTCGGGGTTTGGGGTTTAGGGTTTAGGGTTTAGGGGTTTGGGGTTTAGGGTTTAGGGGTTTGGGGTGTAGGGTTTAGGGGTTTAGGGGTTTGGGGTTGTGGGGTGTAGAGGATGTTGAGTGCGTCAGCTTAGGGTCTGGGGTTTAGAAAACTTAGGTGTTGTGGGGTGCAGAGCGTTTTGGTTTAGTATGTAGGGCTGAGGGCCCAAAACAGGTTCCCTTACTGACCCCTTAATCCTGAATTGGGAGTTTCTGAAAATAGGGGACCCTAATTTAGTACCCTAAATAGTGGGATCCTTATTACATGGACCCAAAAATCAGGTACCCCTAATTTTCGAAAACTCGCAATTCCACGGTAAGGGAACGAAGTCTGTACGATGCTGTAAGTTTCTAGCTCAGGGAAGCAAGCTCAAGCCGCGCTGCACCCATATTACGGGAGGCATTGAAGCTTCTCAACAACAAGCCCGAAGTTCAACTTAAACCTCATGCCCAAAAAGTCACCAAACCTAAAATCCCAAACCCCAACCACAATAAATCCTAAACTCAGAACCACAAAACCTGGCAACTCTGAGGCCTAAAACCCTGGACCTTAAAATCTAAAAACTTAAAGCCTGAGCCCTGCATCCTAAAACCCAACACCCCAAAACCCCGAAGCTATCCAGTAAATTTCTGATCTCGGCCTGGAGTTGCTCAAGCACATCTGGGCTATATTGGTGTACGGTTTAGGGTTAGGGTTTAGAGTTCAGGTTTAGTGCGTATTCCAGCAAGCCGAGTTGAAAACAAAAAAGACAATACCTAGGAACTTGAAATCGATGCCAAATAGTCAGACTTCGTGACATCATTACGAAAACCGTCATCGAAATCGCAGCTTTCTGAGCATCGAGAGACTGACTGAGCCTGTGTCAAGCCAGTTCCAAGGTGAGGACATCAGCTCTGCACGAAGCACTGAGGCCACAGGAGACGATGGGCCAGCGGGAGTGGATGCATTGACCAGAAGCGTCCTACCGCTTGGTGCGCGGTGGAATTTCAGCGTCTCGTAGTACGACGGGTATAGCATCATGGCGGTACCTTGCGGCTTCCATGCAATGGAGCAAAAGGCCCTGTGCTTGTAGATTTCGTGCTTCGGAGCACTTGCCGCTCCATGCTCTCAACTGTAATGGTGGCTTCTCCTTGGCCAGCGTCGGCTGTCGCCGCATGTCCAGTAGCTCGCCTTGATCAAACCGAATCTTACATCTTGCCCGCCAAGTCCCCAGGGATTATAGGTTGTAATTAATAACGGTTTCTACAACTAGGGGCTTTCTTGAGGTCGCAGATGATTTTACGAGGCGCTGTAAGGTTGTTCGTGGCTTCAAAATCCAAAGCCCTGCCACCCAACTCACCAGGCGAGCCCTAAACTCTATGCTATACTTGAACATCCGAGCACTAGAACCCTTACAACAAAGCTTGAGCCCGAAATCCTAAAAGCCTGCCTTGCCCTAAATCCTACATCCTAAACGCCAAGCCCTCGACACGCACCCTAGAACACCAAAAAGCCTTTAAATCCTAAACCCCATGCTTGCAAGCTCGCGACTGGAAAACAACTAAACTCTAAAGGCCACGATTAATCCAAAACCCCTAAACTCCAGACCCTAAGCCTAAAACCCACCATCCGAACTGCCGCTTCCCAACCTGCAGCGAAAAACTGAACCAAGAACCCGCCCTCACAAGATCTTAGGCCTTGCAACCCACCTTCTCACCACACCGAACGCTGAAACTATTTTGGGTTTTGGGGTTTCATGCTCTTGAACGCAGCCGGGCTTTTCGGGACTAGGGGTTCAGCGGCTAGGGCTTTTGGAGTTTGGGGTTTCTGAGCTTGTTGGGTAGAGGTGTTTGGGTTTGGGCACTTTGGATTTCCGAGTTTGGGTTCCGAGTTTATTTTAGTTTCTTCCATGCAGGAGCCTATTTTCAGGAAGGAAGCTTAACCGGCTTAACCCTAGATGATGGGAGCCGCAATATATGAGGCACGCCCCAAAAAGGATCCTTAATTTCGAGAATATCCCGTGGCCTAGACAGCACTTCCTAGACGCTGGACCCCCAGACCCTGCACGCTGGAACCCGACACACGAAACTGGCCTACGTAAACCTTAGACTAGACCCTAAACCCTGGCCCAAAGCCCTATATAAACCTTTCCAACACCCGCATCCCGAAAGCCCTTCGTGCAGGCTGAAAGACGTCCGTGGGCACAGGCATCTCCGTCGGTGACTCTGGAGGCTGACCTTTTGGATTTCAACATACAGCGGCCATAAGCATACGAATAGGCTTCCTTTAAAAGATTGGCTCACTAAAGGCTTGTAATTTAGGGGCCGCAATCGTTAGAATAAGGTTCCTTTAAGCGGTTGCTTTCAAGGTCTTCATGATTCATAGGGGCCTCTATACTTCGAAAATCGTTCCCTGGGGGGCCTCCTTTAAAGGCTTCCATAAGGGATACTTGTTGCTGTTTCGTGTAGGGCCACTTCAGGTGTTTATGAGGGCCGGGAAGGTTCGTAGAGGAACTTATGGAACTTTAGGGATATAGGCATAGTGTAAGTTGAGCATTCAGGGGTCCACAGTTTCGGGATTTAGGGTGTTAGGGTTAAGGCCGTCCAGTTAGGGGTTTGTGTTTTAAGGATTCGGAAACTTACGGCGGAGAGAGGCTGACTTCTCCGAGTTTTAAGCAACCACCCCTAAGTTGCGTTAGCCTGGTTGTGCTGATCTACGGATAAGTCCTTACATTATTAAGCCACACCTACCGTGCAGCCTAGCGTTTCTGATTCTTCCCAACCACAGGGACCCGGTGCGCGCGCAAAAACCTGAGCTGTAAATCCCGAACCTCAACATCCTAAAATCTTAACCGCGAAACCTATGACAAAACGAACCCCGCATGAACCATCAAACAAACCCAATGTTCCAGTTTAAGGGCTCTTTTTGTGGTGACCCTAAAATGTATCCTTGGAACGGCTGGGGCTTTTCAGCCATCCTTAAGCCCGGAAGTACGTGAACCTGCAACCCAAAAGCGTTGAATCTAAAGGTGTAACACTTGGAACCGTAAAGCCCGACAGCCTCAAAGCTGTCACTCCGAAACCCCAGCGTCCGAAAACCTTGCAAACAAACCCTGAGGCAAAAACGGCCAACCCTTCACTGCTCACTTTGGGGTTTGGGGTTTCGGGCTTAAGCTTGTAGAGCTAGAACCTTAGCCCTGGAACTCTAACCCCACAAACCTACAACCTAAAGCTTTCAAACCATAAGGCCTTAAAGCTTTCGAACCGACACCCTGAACCCTGAACCCCTAAACTTAATGCAGGGCATAAACGCTTAAACTACCCTAAACACGGAACCCTAGTTCACTACTAGTAAATCTAACCTCTATACTCTAAACTCTAAACCCTAGCAAGACCGTTGTCATCCAAGAAAATCGAGCACCTTGCTTTCTCCTTACGGCTTAGGCTGGCTTAGGCTACATCTTAAGAAGCTGTGGCCCAGGGTACCGCGGCCACAAAGTCCGATAACCCCTGGATTCAGGAATGTTCCTCACTTTATATCGCAGCACCTTAGGATACACGGAATGCTCCTTAATTCAAGGACCTCAAAAGCATAGAACGCCTCGAGTTAAGCATAATGCGCTGGAAACTCGTGCAAAACACGTACTGTAGACTGTCAGCTACTCCATCACGACTTAAACATTTGAAGCCGAACCCCCCTTTGAGGCATCTGCCTGAGGACATCATCGCAGAGCTGTCCATAACCTGCGAACTGCCCTGGGCGCCGACGGGGGGTTTTCCTAAGCCCTAAGCTTTGAGGTAGCAGCGGAGCCGCTTGTGGCTTTGGATAGTAGTAACATTCTAAAGGTATCGATTTGTTCAACAGCCCCTCAAACTTATTGATAGTTAGGCTTCTCTGTCTTACTACTTAACGGTGTCCAGTCTGTGTTACGATTTTGGGGAGGCTCCCGTCAGACGGCTCAAAGCCTGGAGAGGAGAGCCACTGGCTCAGGGTTCCGGGGCAGGGATTCGAGGTTTCATGTCTTGGGGATAGTTTCTCTGGTTTAGGGTTTAAGGCTTTGGTTGCGGTTCAAGTTTAGGGTTTATGCATGTCCAGGGTTTGGGTTTCAGGTTTAGGTTTGAGGCTTTTGCAGTTCAGGTTTTGGGCTTAGGGCTGCTTAGGTTCTATGGTTTCAGATTTACGGCGTAGGCATCTTGAGGGTTTAGGGCTCTAGGCTTAGGGTTCTAGGTTTTGGGGTCCACGTTTTTGGCACAGGGATGTTTAGGGTTTCGGGTTTCAGGTCCGATGCTGGTCAGGGTTGCGTGTTTCGAGCTGAATGGAGCTTCTGCTTCTACCGCCCGCGCTTGGGCTTTTGGAAATGGCTTAGGGTTTAGGGAAGTTAAGGGGTTAGGGAATTTTAGGGTTTAGGGGTTTAGGGTTTAGGGTTGGATGCGAGGCTTCAGCAGGAATGAGCCCCGCAGCCTGCGTCCCAACTAGGCCCGAGAATTCCCATACTACACTCACAAGTTCGACAACCAACACACCCTAAACCGAATGCCCGGCTCAGACTCCCCAGCTGCCCTCTAGTATACCCTAGACAGCTGAGGTCTTAACCCAAATCAAACTCTCAACCCCTCAGCCTGAACTCGTCGTTCTCAGCTAAGACCCCAAGTGCAGCAGGAGCCTCAATAATCAAAGCAGAGCTCCTTAGGGTTCGCTGATATATGATCAGAGTATGCTGCACCCGAAACTCTTCTCTGCTAGTTAAGGACCCAGTACCTCATAGCTCACCCTTATAGAGCCCGTTAAACGGAACCCTATTCTAATTATTGAGGCTCCTGAACAACCAGACTGTTGCTGGGCACCGCACAACATCTGCCGACTGAGGGGCCTGGGCGTTAAGAATCAGGCTGGGGGTCCGGCGTATGTTGTGCGATATGTGTGTATCAGGGCTATAGGGAGATAGTGTTGGTATTAGCAATTACTCCGACGCCTACACTAGACGCCTTGAGAACCTTAGATAAGGGTGCAGAAACCCGGGAGAAAAAAAACAGGCACCTCTATATTGTGATCAGCCTTAGATGAGTCTTGGGGTATGTGTTCAGGAACCCTGCACGAGCCTTACGGTTGGCCTAATGGCTTGCATAAGAAGCGCTCAGTCACCATGCCGCCCCTCCTTCAGGACAAATGAGGTTAGTAGTAGGAGTAGTAGTAGTAGTAGGAGTAGTAGTAGTAGTAGTAGTAGTAGTAGTAGTAGTAGTAGTAGTAGTAGTAGTAGTAGTAGTAGTAGTAGAGTTTCCTGCAAAAGACCCCAGTCTTAGGCGTGTCCGAATGACTGTCAACTGTGGGTCTACACTACAGTAGTTGTCACTGTTTTTTAACTGTAAGGGTTTAGGGTTCAGCAGGCTTTTCAATTATTTTGTGAGCCGAAAACTGCCCTAAGTCCCTAAGTCCATACAACCAAACTACCCAACCCTACTCACTACAAGCAGCTACTGAATCACCTGATGGTTTAAGTAGGGGTTGAAGGTTTCAGCGTTTATGCAAGCGGTTTGCGAGTACGGCTCAGTCGGTTCTTATGTGAGCTGTTCTCTTGGTTTTGAATTCGGGCGCAATGCCCGAACCCTCAGTGGCTGGACCGTCGACCCTGAATTCGCGTAATTAGTACAACCTAAACTCAAGATCACGAATCGCGGGCCTAAACTAAACCCAGCTCTGTGCTTGTTTGTGGACTCTGTTCACAGCCTCGGACCCCTTACAGGATGCAAGACTGCATTTTTCTTGGCACCATCTTCACAGGCACACTGATGGGATTCCTTTGTTGAAGTCCGGGTCATAGGTGTGTTACAGATATCTTCATTGGAAGGGGGCCTGGTCTCGCCGCAGGCCTTAACTCTTAAGTCACGCTCTTTAAGCCACTATATCCCTACACAGCAAATCCAGAAGCCCTAACTCTGAAGTCGTTGAAGCCCTGCGCCCCTGAGCTTCCTGATATCAACGAGGACTGAACAATCAGTAGGACGCGCCTTACGCGGCTCTGAAGTTCAGGAACGTGAAGAAGAAGAACAGTATCCCTTTATAATATTACCATGGCGGCCCGATACCGATAAGACCCCACAACACTCCCAACACCCTACAAACCTGCATAGGAACTCTATTCTACATATTAAGGTCTCTGCGCCCTAAGCCCTAAATACCAAAACCCCAAAAGCCCTACGGCCTTACGATGTCAACCCTTCCAAAGACAACCAATATACAAGAACCCCAAACCCTACCTAAACCCCTAAACCCTATAAACCCTAAACCCTATCAACCCCATAAGCCCCATAAACCCTATAAATCCTGTAAACCCCCTAAACCCCAAACAACCCTAAATCCCTAAACCCCCCAACTTTCGCAACACCCGCAGTGCTGGGACGCGGACGACGGCCGAGCCGACTCGAGGCTCCGGCTGCACCTCATATGGGTGGTTGTCAAAGTTAGGGTCCCTTTTTGGGTACCCCAAACCTTAGGTGCCGTCCTGTATTCGGGACCCAAAAAAAAGGGGGACCCTAATTTTGACAACCACCCATATCTTAAGAACCAGAAAAAAGGCTCTGTTTTCGGATTTAGGGGTTTAGGGTTTGTAGGGTGTATCGGGTTTAGGGTTCGTATCTTAAGCACTAGGAAAAGGGCTCGCTTTTAGGGTTTAGGGGTGTAGGGCTTAGGGGTTCATGGTTTATAGGGTTTATAGGGTTTAGGATTAACATCTTAAGAACTAGGAAAAGGGCCCCTTGTAGGGGTTTAGGAGATCTTCAAAGCTTTGAAGGTCATCTCTTAAGAACTAGGAAAAGGTTCCCTGTTAGGGGTTTAGGGGCTTTATGGCTTGCAGGGTGTAGGGTTTCTGTAAAGCTTTAAGGGTCATATGGGCTATCTTAAGAACTTCCCTTTTAGGGGTTATGGGTTTAGGGTTCCTTTGAGGCTGTAAGTTTAAGGGTCATGTAGGGTTCAGTTTATAGCAGTATCGGGGACTTATGAACTAGACGAGGGTTCCATTTCAAGCTTCCTTTAAGGGCTTCTATCAGTAGATACGGCTTCTAGAGGGACGTAAGAACTAGTATAGGGTTCCTATCTGAGGGTTTAGGGTTCGTTTGAGGCTAAAGGGGTCATGTAGGGTTTAGTCTACGGGAATTACGAACTGGAATGTGGCTCCTATGTTCGGGTTTAGGGAAAGATAAGAGTCACAGGGTTCAGCATAAGGGCTTTCATTACTACGCAGGATGGGGGTCTTTTACATCTGGGTTCTTTCCAAAAGTTCTTCTTACAGGGTTCCTTAAAGGTACTCGAATATGGGTCTTGAAGGGTCCGTTTAGAGGGTTACTGTAAGGGTTGTATGGAGTCCTAAAGCCCTATTCTCTAGATCCCTGCCCTTAAACTTATCCTCAAACCGTAAAACCTTAACCCGATAACCTAAACTCGCCCGAACTCTTACGAACCCAGGATTTCGGAGCCGCAAGGTTTGATAAAACCAGAGACCCCCCCATCTCCAAAAAGAGCCCTGGAAGGTAATGAAATCACAGCATCGTTCTAATCGTACTATATGGTGTTTTGCTTCATGTGCACAAACCTGTATGGCACCAGCAATCGGCTTTTTGCCATTAGCTGGCATGTTATGATTCCCCATAGTGGCTATGCGGGTTTGCGAGAGACGCAGGTTGGGGAGGTCTATGCCAACCGTGTATACAGCCGTAAACCTACAATGCCGCCTCCCTGAAACCCTCACATCCGAGTGCCTCGAGAAGGCTTCAGCTAATAATGTATGCAGGGTTGCTAGGCGAGGCTAATCCCACAGGCCATCTTGTCGCGCTGAATCATCACATCCTAAACACAATCTCGATCCCTAGCCTCGCAACTCCGTGATGCCTGAGAGAATCAACCATAGGAGGTTTAACATTGAAAGCGCAAAGTCTAAATCCCAATCCGCTGCTGATGCTGCAGAAAAGCAGAGGCTTAACCAGTGAAGGGACAAATTGCCAAACGCTTTGAGTTGTACTTCATGAGGATCCGAGTGATCGATAAAAGTCCCCTAAGTCCTTCATCCCTAGAGCCTCCACCCAAGAACCCTAGACCATTGAATCCAAAACCCGCTAAACCCGAAAGCCGTAACTGGCATAAACCCTAAACCCCTAAACCCCCTAAACCCCCTAAACCCCTAAACCCCCTAAACCCCCTAAACCCCCTAAACCCCTAAACCCATAAAGCCCCTAAAATTCCCGGGGCCACAACGGCCAGTGAGGTCGGCGAGGGCTTGTCCGTGGGGACCGGCAGCTCGCTCGGGGATCGTGTTACGGCCTGGGCGGAGACTTGGGAAGTCCCGACTTGAAAGCGGTCCACTGACTGATGTCATGTGTATATATGTTTACACTATATGTCATATGTAATAGTGGCACCCACACGCAACCAGTGTGTCCACATTAGCGAATAAACTATCCCTCTTTATAGACATTTGATACCGTGTGTTCTCTGTTCACCATGCGCAATCAGAAAACCTCTCTCACTGAGCAGTGCTCCATGCTCTTAAGGTTCGAACCTGCAGTAGACACTTGGCTCATCATTCCCCTGCCTCAAGCCTCGTGATCTGCAGTGTGGTTATGTCCTCATGATGTGAAAGGAGTGAACTAATCAGGGCGCTACATCTGAGCCCTTGTCCGAAATCGCAATGTCTTCGGCGCAGCCATGGTCGGCCACGTAAGGGTCCGGAGTTCACAGGCTTAAGTTTCGTCTAAGCCCCACAGAAACCTGCGCGGTTGAATGAATCGTAAACTCTTAACCCTGAACCATAAAACATAGGCCCTGAACACCAAACCTGAACCATTGAACCCTAAACCGCTAAACCCTAAACCCCTATAAACCCTATAAACCCTGAACCCCTAAACCCAAAAAAAACCTAAACCCCTTAACCCAAAAAAACCTAAACTCAATACATCCTAAACCTTATAAACCCTATACCCCTAAACCCAAAAAACCTAAACCCCCAAAACCCTAAACTCTATAAACCCTAAATGCCTAAACCCAAAAAACCCTAAACCCAAAACAAACCTAAACTCAAAAAACCCTAAACCCTGTAAACCCTGAACACCTATTGCCAAAAAGCCCTAAACCCCAAAACCCTAAACACCCCCAAAACACCCTACACTCAAAAAACCCTAAACCCTATAAATCCTGCACCCCTAAACCCAAAAAGCCCTAAACCCAAACAAACCCTTCAGTCAACAAAACCTAAACCCTATAATCCCTAAACGCACCCTCCAGGAGCGCTTAAGATTTCGTCCTTCGGATGTGTCGGGGTCTCAAGCTCGGGCGGAGGCGTAGGCTCTCGGAGCAGATCGACTTTGGACTGTGGCACCAGATTCTCGTCCTCGGCCGTGGTGCACCGATGTGCTCGCGCAGCTCCTGGCATTCCTCATCCGTCATGTCCTGGACCCACTGTCCACAGAGCTCGGCCTTCGTCACAGGCGTCTTGCCGCTGTCGTGCGGGCGTGGTTCAAGTGCGACAGAAGTGTCGCGACCAGCATGATGGCATGCCTCCGGCTCCGCCTGCATGCGCATCTTCACCTTCACTGTTGCAAGCCAGGGCTCAAAAAGGAAGCCCTTCTTCCTCTGGCGCCTCCACTGAGAAATACTGAATGGCTGCGTATGGTAGTACGAAATCCCCAGGCCCACGGGTAAGGGGGCTTAAGGTTACTTTAAGGCTTTACGGGTCATATCTTAAGAACTAGGAAAAGGTTCCTTTTTAGGGGCTTAGAGGGCTTATAGGCTTTGAAGCTTTCAGGGTCACATCTTAAGAACTAGGAAAAGGTTCCCTTTTGGGGGGTTTAAGGGGTTTGTAGGGCTGATAGGGTTTAGGGTTCCTTTAAGGCTTTAAGGGTCATGTAGGGATCCTAGGAACTAGGAGAACGTTCCCTTCTAGAGTTTCTGGGTTTACGGTTTGTAAGGTCGTAGAAAGGTTCCCTTCCGAAGGTCGCAAGGTAGGGTTTACGAGCTACAGGCTGCAGGATTCGGCTTGACAAGGTCCGAAGTACCTAGGTATTGCTTTGAGGCTTCCGGAAGAGGTGCCGAGTTCGAGGCCTAGGGGCTGGTATAGGCTAGTAATAAGGTACTTGGGGCTTCGTGAAGTATCGGGTTCAGGGTTGTTTGCTGTCTGTGTTGGGTTGAGGCTTCAGCTAAGGCACAAGCGTAAGCCTCAAATTCACCCTAAACAAGAACGAACCGACTGGGCCCCGCACGGAGGATGACATTCCGGGTCCCGAGACCTGGATTCTAGGATCTAGGGGTTAGGATGTTAATTACTATTGGTGTCAAAAGTTGCTTTTGATTTACATAGGCGTTGACAACATTGAGGATAAGGGGCCCGTAGTTGTGGAGGTATAAGCAGCTGCTGAGTCAGACTTGTCCATGGCTGTGCTAGTTAGACACCCCGTCAAAACCACTCATTTCCACGCAGTACCCACGAAAGTTATTCAACCCACATTTGAAATTAAATATTGTTCCTGTAAATGCCATATGATTCAGTGTGTTGGGTTTAGGGATGTTTGGGGTTCTGGCCTTCGCACCCTGTTCACGAGGGTAGTCCTCTTTACAAGCTTACCCCAAAGATTTTCCTAGAGTCTACCGGTACTGTACCCGAAAAATATCTGAAAGATGCGCCGGTCTCACGGGTTGCAGGTCGGCCCATACATCCGCCCAGTTATCCTCTGTAGGTTTAGAGTCAAGGGTTCTTGATTGAGGGTTCAGCGTCCCTCTAACGTGACTATACCTCACTTTTAAAGGCAGCAGATGACTTTTTAGCTTGCGAAGTCTGCTCACAGCACAAAACAGCAAGATACTTAAAAAGGATAAACCAGCCTACATGCAACTAATTTAGCAATTCGAACAGTAAGCCCTTGTAGTCAACACATACTTTTGCAGGGTACATACTCTAACATACCCCAAAACGCTGTTGCCAAACGAAGCCCCCCCGAATCAGATTATACGGCAACGTGAGATACCCCTCTATAAAACCCTTAAAACCCCGAGGATCAACCTATGAAACCATTTAGGCACGAAAAACATGTTTATCGAACTGTTAAACTCTGTGATAGAAGCCCTTCAGGGATCCCTCATATGCACGGATGTACGGCCTAAGCGCGGACGCCATAACGTAGGAGTCGTGATAATCAGATGGGTTTGGGGTTCTGCGATGATTATCATAAGGAACCCTGAGGAACCATGTGATTAGCTATTCAGGCTTGTGTATATGGACATATGTATATCTACACAGCTCGATAGATAGATAGACCCACAGGTAGATACAGATGTAGATATAGGTATGTACAGATACGGGTGGTTCCGAAAACAGGGGACCTTAAACTAATACCATAAATAGTCAGGGCCCTAAATTAAAGAAGGTACTCCTTATGTACCCAGACCCCCGGGAGGATCTAGAAAGTAGATCCCCTAATTCGGGGCCCTATACTACTATCAGGGTACTTTATAGGAACCCCAATTAAGGGATCTACTTTTTTGCATCCTCCCGGGGCCCAAAATCACTGGGCCCCTGGCCGACACCCCGGGAGGCGCCGAGGCGGCGCTGCTTCGGGGCACCTCGGAGGCCCGAACAAAGAATTTGGGGGTGCCCTTGGGGGGGTTGGGTGTCAGGTTTAGAGGTTTAGGCTGAGGGGTTTAGGTTTGTTTCTTCAAGGCCTGGTTTTTGAAAGGTTCTAGAGGGGTTTGGGGTTTCAGGTTTGGTGGTTTTGGAAGCTTTAATAAGGTTGGGTGTAAGGGAGCAGTCGTGACCTTCTGGTACTGCACCCTGACTACACAATATCCTTCGTATGTGCCCTCTTCAAATGGCACTACGTCGGGCAATGGTGACGTGTGGCGGATGAAAAGACCGAGGATGAAAACTGTCATGTTGCGTAGCAGGCAGAGCTTAAGTTTTAAGTAGGGCTTCGCTGGAGGGTTTAGAGGTTTAAGGAAATTTAGGGGTTTTGGGGCTTTGTTTTGTGCTAAAAACCCTTTCCTCCGACTGTGCACTAGTCGAAGTGCCAACATCGGCTGAGCTCCGTTCAGTGTTCGGCAGCAGCGGCTTATTATTGGGGATTTCGGATTTGGGGTTTGGGGACCGAGGGTTTTGAGCACCGTTAACCTGCATACCAACTCCGAAGCCACGAAGTTTTCTGTTTCAAGACCTACGTGGTCTTTAGTCTGTTCTTGGAGGCCACTTGTGACTATCATAATTATTCACGCCTTCTTTACATCATCGTATGCTTGGATTTAAAATCGTTGACATGTTCCGGAAAATTAGGCAAACCGTTAAAGCTGGATAAGGTTCATCATGCGCACCGAAACCAGCTCTACGTGTCGATTGGCACAGCAACCCTGGATGGAAACAACGCAAATTTCAGGTCACCCTGACACACGCCTTGTCTAAGTGCCCACCGGACCCAAACAAAAACTGGTAACCACGAGCCATCAAACCCTCAAACTCCAAACACTCGGCGCATGAATGAAACGGGCAAACCCCAACCCTAAACTCAGCACCCTAAACCGAAGCAGGGGATCCGCACATCCGGCTCCAGCATGCTCGAGTATGCCGCTGAGTCTGGTGCCAACTGGGCAGACAAGTTGATAGACATCAGGGCGTGTAGGGTTCAAAAAATCGTGGGCTCTGGAGTTAGAACTTGGCTTCTCAGCGTTTATACGGGATTTTACAGACTCTCCGAGCAGGTTTGTGCCTTGGTGGTTTCAATTTATGGGGTGTAGGGTTGAAAGCTCAGGCCTTCGCCGGAAACCTTACCCTACCACCCAACCTGATCTGTAGAACATGTTGTATTCCATTTTCATGGAACTCAAGCTATACAAACAGCAACAGGAAGCCCAATAAGAGGGAGCACCTGGATCAAGCACGACCATCTGAAACTTTGTGGTGCATGAGAATCCCTTGGAATACCATGAGGCATTAATGTATCCTTCATGAGGCACTGTTAACTACTGTAGTGCAAGTTGTCAGGACGCAGGCTGTCACACGTAATGTTCAACGCCAAAGCCTGAAGCCGCATGCCACAAAACATAAGATCCTGACCTTCCATTCCGGGTATGGCCGCGAACTTCTGTGTCAAAGCTCGGACAAAACCCTACAACAAAGCAGGCTCTAGTGGCCCAATGTCGAACTAGACACTGAACTTGGGTTGGTTCCCAGCAACTTTTCAATAATAAGCACTCCAGTCCTACTGCTGAGCTCCAATAACGAGACCCCTAAACCTCAATTAATAAACCCTAGATCTAAAAGTTTAAAAATTCTGTAATACCAGCCCTAAATCCAGAATCCCCTAAACCATCAACCCAAAATAAAAGGACAAAGGGGTAAGTACTATCGGAGATCCTAGAAGCGCACTAACCCAGAGAAACACAGCTCTACTTAACGCTCAGACCGGCTACTTCAAGGGTAGCGTTTAGGGTTTTGGGATTTTGAAGATTTGGGGTCTGAGGCCTTTGAACTCCAGATTTAAGGTTAGTGTAGGGGGTTGGTGTATCCGTAAAAAATAAATCCTAAGTCTGGAACCCTGAACCCTGAACCACGTCCCTCGCGATAAGATGATATTCGATGTTCACATGTCGAAGGGCACTTTTCAGTGCTCATAAGTATTAGAACAGGGGTTTCTGATATATTGGCTTGTAGAAGACTTCTTTATGCACGAGTTCTCAGACCGCTATATTACCCTGTGAGGGTTAGGTTTTAAGTGGCTTCGGCTTCAGGGTTTATCACGAACAACTACCAACACCAGGGGCGCTGTTCTGTTCAACATGCTATTGTTCAGGCTTCTACAACCACACCGGCTACATCTACCTCAACCTCCGCTCCTCTTGGAAGGCAGGCAGAACACTAATTATTCAGCAGGCCGAACACTAATTATTCAAAACCTTGTAAAACCTTAAACCCCAGACCGTAAACCCGAACCCTTAAACCACATTCCGACTATCCTATATAAGTTAAATTCAGGAGCCCAGGCCCAAGCCACAGACCGAGGGCCCAGCCACAGGAACCGGTGGAACGATCGTTTGCGTTGGCCTTTGGCGCAACTTCACGGTTCCGGGGGGCGCTTTCATCTTGGAGGCTCTGAGCTTCAGGGTTAGGTTTTCTTTTAAGTCAGGGTTTAGGGGGGCAGATCTTGCAAGGCTTGTAAGGCATTTTGAGCTATGGAGTCTTGTAGAAGGTGTACTGCTTTGGGCTTTAGGTTTTCAGCGCTTTTAGGTTTCAGGCCGGAGCAACCCCCTTGAGGTTTTGCAAGGAGAGGGTTGAAGGCTTCAGGATTTCGAGTCCGGGGCTTACGGTTCAAGGCGTAAGGTTTGGGGTTTAGGATTCGAGTTTGGGGCTCATAAGCATGTGGATTTAAGTGTTCTTGTTTTAAGGTGTAAATTTTCCGGTTTAGGGCTTGAAGGTTGGGGTTTCGGGACTTGGCTTTTGGTCTTCAGGGCTTGCTCTTTGGGGTGTCGGGTCAAGGGCTGTAGGGGTTGAGGGAATTGAATCCCAGGCGTCCGGAGTTCAACGTTTAAGGTTTCAGGGTTAGGGAGTTTGAGGTTCGTGGTTTAAGATTTGAGGTGCCGGGTGTAGAGTTGTTTGACTGTCGGGGTTCAGGTTTGAGGTCTCGCCATCGAAATTCTCGGAGGTTTGGGCTAAGGGTTCCAGATTTCGTGTTTACGGTGTTAGGGGTTTGGATTTAGGCGTTCCGGGCTTACTCTTTGAGGTTTCTGGTATAGGGCTTAAGAGCGTAAGGTTTCCCTATAGACCCCCCCAACTACCCTCTAATTCAAGGCCATAAGGGCTCTATTAAAGGGGCCTTGGGGGGGTCCTAGTCGGGAGATGGGATTCAGGGATCAAGTTTCGAGGCGTTGGGTCTGGAGCTCGACTGGCCTGGGCTTCAGGGACTTGGATTTAGGGTTCTGCGGTCTTAGGGTTTAGGGGATTTAGGGTTTGGGGGTCTAGCTAGCTTTTCTGTTTGATTTTGGGGCGTAGGGATTTGAAGTTGAGGTGTGTCGCCTAAGTTCTGGAACTGTAGGTTCAGGTTCCAACTGCTCCATCGGATCGGAAGAAGCTGAAAGACTGCCTGACTCAAAAGGTTGCAGTCTGGGCTCATACCAGTGCACAATTGGCAATTGGGAACTTTTTTTGATTTTTTTTGTCCCAACCATGTCGCACTCGCGTGTGCCGGGCCAGTTCCAGGAGAAGGCACGACCGAGTGCAACTCCAAGTGGATGGTGACTTCTGTCAGCGGTCACTGGACGAGTGAAAGTTCATCACTGTCTGTCCGTCTGCCCTAAGCCCTAAACCCTAAACCGTCCCTGAACCCTAAACCCTAAACCCTATAAACCCTAACAGGGCTAAACATTAGGGCCGCGGCCTCGCCTAACGCCTTAGCCCCCGAAACTCCAACCCTGCACCCGCAGCTATGGACCCGAAACGAACAGCCTCTGCAGGGTTTAGGGTTTAGGGTTTAGGGCATAAAGCAGCAAATGCTGGACGCTAACTTCATGACCTGTCTCTTCTACACACTGTAGGGTCTTAATAACCAGGACAAACTTTGCGGGGCAAGATTTTTGACCGGACTATACTGGAAAGCCCTGAACACTAAACCCACGTAAAGCCTGCAGCCCAATTTTCTGACGCGGCGAAAGCCCCACCCAACGACCCTAACACAACACAAAACCCTAAACCCTGCAACCCTAAACCCTGAGGGCGCTAGATCTTAAAACCTTGAAAGCACGCGGGATTCCTCGAACCCGTAATGGAACCTCAAACCCAAGCCAAAGGTCAGTAAACCACAACTTGAATCGTTGAATCTCTACAGCCGGAAAGCCCGAACTAGCACAAGCCTTAGCATCTGAACTAGCCCGTGAAAGCAAAATCCTGAAACTAGACCCTAACCCTATATGCTAAAACTAGGCCCTGAACCCTAAAGCCTAAAATCCCAAACAAGGCCCCCGACCCCGAATCCTACCACCCTACAAAGCTTACAATCCTAAACCCTACATCCTAAAACCACAAGATCCACAAAGTACGCACGGCAAGTCCTGAGTCCCGAAACTCTGAAGTGCTCAACATCCGAAAGCCAGGAATCCCAGAACCTTCACTACGGCCGTAAACACCCTACAAAACCAGCGACACTAAGAACTAAACCCCTGAACTAAACCTGAAGCCGTAAACTCCGAACATCTACAAATCTGCAAGTCTCACACTAAACCTGCAAAACCCTTACAGCCATAAACACGCAATCGTACAGCCCTCGATCACGAAGAATCCTCAAACCCGAAAGCTCTGAACCTTGTATATAGAGCTTACATAAACCAGAGACAGCTACAAATACCAAAGCCTAACATATGTGCAGAACAGATAAGTCAACCTTACCGAGCGGTTAAAGCAAAAGCTTAACCTATTTGTCGGGTATCATGGGGAACTAAAGGTTAACCTTTTTGGCTATATAGGGATTGTATAGGGGCTATACTACCCAGAAAAGGTTAAAGGTGACCTATTCTACTACTAGGTTAATTGAGGACACATCCGAAACCCACCAATCGCACTTTGGCCGTGGCGGCAGGGCCGAGTCTGTCACCAGCGTTTCGGCCTGCAGAGCCCGGAAAGACTAGAGTTCAGGGGACTAAGGGCTCAGGGGATTAGGGGCTCAGGGGTTCAGGGCTTATAGGGTTCAAAGGTCTAGGAGGTCAGAGGTTTGGGGGTCTAGGGCTGTCGTTGCCTGTGGTCTAACGTAGTTTTAGAACAAAGGGCTTTACAAGGACGTTAAGGGGGGTTTTGTTGATGCAGGCGTCTTATCGGGTTGTGTGTCGTGTACTTGTGGAGGGTTATAAGCGTTCACAAGGATTTTTTATCAGCTCAACAAGGACGTCATAGCTAATTGCATAGCCTGCAAGTCATCAACAAATCCAAAGCCCTATAAACCCCAATGCCAACCCAAAACCCCTCTACAACCCTATCACCGTACGAACTTCAAAGCCCTGAACCCCCGCGAAACAACAACAAACATCGCTCCAAATCCTTAAAATTTGATCCCAAAACCTAAACCATAAATCCTAAACCCTGAACCCTAGACCATAAAACCTGAACCCCATCCTAAACCCTAGACCCTAAAACTTAAACCCTGTAAAATGACCCCAACCTGCAAATCCCGAAGCCCTGAACCCCGAGACAGGCTTTCCTAGCCAAAGCCTACGAGCTCTATGTAGGAACCTTATGAATTAGAATAGGGTCTTGGGGCCCATTATAATAGTTATAAAAAAGAGACCCAAAATAGTATTGGTAACCATTTAGGCCCCTACATTATCATGGTCGTTCTATGGGATTTGTAGGATCTTATAACCTTCGTCGCATTAAAAGGAATCCTATAAGTTTGGTTTACAAATGTTCATAGGTATGTTGTATAGATGTTGTTAGGCAAACCCTTCAAGTATCGCAGAGATATATGGTCGTAGTTCGCGGCACCTTTCCATCAGGTCACCACATGCAACCCAATCAAGTGTCGAAGATCACCCTTTCCGGTCCGGGACCATACAGGACAGGGGTCTGAACAGTTTATTCTGCAATGATCAGTGAAACCGAATTTCAGGCAAACCAAACAGTTTGAACATAGTACTGACGAGCCTTACAACTCCCTGAGTGCGTATCCGATTCCCGAAAGACACCTTCTAAAGACCCCTACCGGCAACACACAAACCTTCCAAGCCGGCAGGCTATGATCGTGGAAAATAGCTGGTACTTCCTCAACCCTAAACGCCCCATGCAAAAGAACCAAACAAAAACACATAAACCATGCGCAACAACACACCTGCAGACCTTTGAACTCTTAAGCCCGGGCCCCCAAAACATAAACCCTATGCAGAAAATTTACAACCCTTACATATCAGAACCCTAAAAACTCTCTCCTTACAAAAGCCTTAAGAGACTGGGACATCCCCATTCGCCCACCTCATCCTCTGCTTCCCATGGCGACGTAGGAGATGGCACCTCCGTAGGCACCGGCATCTCCTCCCAAAAAAAATTGTTTGGGGCTTTCGCGCTCTAGCTTCTGCGGCTATGGGGCTTAGGGCTTGAAGATGCCGGATTTCTGTAGGTTTAGGGCTCATAGGGTTGCAATGCTTACGGTTGCGGTTTTGAAAGTTAAAGCTTTAGGGTCTAAGGCGTAACATTGTGCGGTTGGGTTTTGGGGGATTCGGGACTTAAACCATAAGCTTTCTTCGGGGCTAAAGGCTTCTGGGCTTTGGGTTGTTGAGCTTCAGGCATTAGGGTTCTCGGGAATTTGCAACTTTGAGGTTTCAAGGCTTCACAATGTTGGGCTTATGGTTCAGAGCTTTAGGGTTCGTGTCAAGTTTACCAGCTTTCTTCAACTGAATGATTATTGGTTTGTTCCTTCTCAAAGGTTCTTGTAGCGAATTTTACATACCTAAAACCAAACTAATTTCGAGGAAGGGGTTCACGCTCGCATTCGGGTTTGGGATTCAGCATTAAGGGTTGTTAGGGCCAGGGATTGCATGGTGACATATGCAGGCGGTCTTGTCTGCAGCCGCCTGAGGGCGGTGTCGAATTTAGTTTTGCAGACGGAGGGTTGACAAATGGGCTCTCATGATTAGAATAGGGTTTTAAACTCGATCCAGGCATAGTAAACAAGGGGATCATGTTACTAGATGTTCAGGGTCTAGGTTTTACTGGACTAGGAATTATGTCAAGTTTAAGTCTCACAGCTTCTGTCGGACCGGAAAGTGGAAAGAGCGCCTGCCTCAGAAGGCTTCAAGGTCTGGGCTCAAACCAGTAGGCACAGTCGGTGCTTGGGACTTTTTTTTGATTTTTTTGTTCCAACCATGTCGCGCTCGCGTGTGCCGGGCCAGTTCCAGGAGAAGGCACGACCAGGTGCAACTCGTCACTTCTGTCATCAGTCAAGTTGAGAAGTGTAGCGAGTGCAAGGGTTACTGCTGCCTGCCTGCAGCGAAACATATTCAAGCTCGCTCTGAGATCAAAGCTACAGGGCAATCCCTAAACCCTAAAGGAACTAACACATTCCCCGAAACCCCAAACACTACATTCCCCACCATGTTCCTGAACTGCGACCATACACATTTTTGGGTTCGTTCCGTCCTTAGGGCCACTGTCAACTGTGCTAGGCCACTGCGGGTTGACAGGTGAAGCCTTCGATGGTGGGAGCGGAGATCAATCTTGAGCCTGGGGGTAGCAAGGTCTTCAGGCTCCCAAAAACCGGTGTAGGGTGAAGGTCCTAGGGTTTTAAGATCTTTACACTGCTACGAACTATCCAGACCTCTACACTGCCCCGAACCCTGAACAGCCGTTATGTCATCTCCATGCAAAACATCCCTGCACACCTCGCCCTGATAAATTCCCTAAACCCCCAAACCCCGTAAGCCCCTCCAAACCTCTAAACCCCTAAACCCCCAAACCCCTAAACCCCCTAAACCCCCCAAACTCTAAACCTTCTGAACTCCCTAAAACCTCTAAACCCCGAAATTCCCTAAACCCTTGAATGCCTAAACCCCCTAAACCCTAAACCCCTAAATCCCCTAGAGCCTTGAACCCCAAGCGTACACCCGGGACCCCTCAGCTCCAAGCCGGTGCCAGTACCGAATGCTTTAGCCCCCAGCAACTAAGCAGGTGTGGGCGATGTCAGGTCGGCTAAAGATCCCGTTTATGAGGGCCTTAACAAATTAAGTACAATAGAATAATGCTTCCTAAGGTTCCCTGTTACCAGTATACTTTCATATACAGCGGACCCTGAAAAAACCTAAAGTCTTTCCTCCCTAGGGAGAAGTGAAGAAGCTTATGAATCCATTCCACAACCTATAAACCACTGTCAAAACACCTGTGCACAAGGAACCTACTCATATGGTGTCATACTAAGTAGACCTCTTCAGGACTGAACTGCAGGTCTTAAGGCTTTTCGTTCCTGCTCCTGCCAGTCACAGGAGCATTCTTGCTACAGGTTTGTACCAAACTGCAACGGCTACAAAGCCTTAATTTACGGTTCGGGCTACATTGCAACTATGACACGGAATCCTTTGGAATAGTGCTACCTTTAGAGACCCTGAGATTACCCCAGGACCACCCCCCTCCGTCGGAGATTGTTGCGCAGCGCTGCTGCTGGCCATCCTTTGTGGAAGCTTCAGTTCCGGAAGGCTTAGGGTTTCAGGGTTTATGGGGTTTAGGGGAGAGAAATACGAGGCCTTTACGAGTAGAACAGGGCTCCTATCAGAGCTGCATTTAAAGGTGTCTATACGGCTTGCTACAAGGGTTCTGTGATATAGAGTCCTTCACAATCAGAGTATAGTTGGGGTTTCCTAGTCGGGAATACTTTCAGACTGTACTTGTATCACGGACCATACTTGAGGGGATGTTATTACTAACAAGGCCCACCCGAAGAGTCCTAAGTGCCATAGGAGGGAGCTTGCTAATCTATGCTAGGGGCTACTGTTGTGGTTTTTGTAAGTATCCCCACATAGGTGCTTGGGATCCTGTGGGTACGGCCTCCTACCAACAAGACCCCTGAATCGGGTTTAGGGTTTAGGGGTTTAGGGGCCTAGGGTTTAGTGTTTAGGGCGGCTGTCCCCCAGCCAGGACAGGGGTAAGCTAGGGTTCATTGCTTGCTGCTCCAGTGATAAATGTCAACCTCCACCCGACAAACCTTCAACCCTAAGACGAATAAAGCTTTGCACATATACCGGGCCTATACGGGGATATATTCACTATATTGCTCCGATCCCTACTTTCTGCTTTCGGAAGCATCGGGCTTGGGGCTAGGGAGTACGCAGATTGTGGATCAGGGGTTTGGGGCTGTGTATTAGTTTTAATAGAGCCAAGACTACAGTAGTACTATACCGAAAGGACCAGAGCTTCAGGGTTTAGGGCTTTAGGGCTTTAGGGTTTAGGGCTCAAGTTTAAGGCTAAGGGCTTTAGGGGTTACTGCTCTACAGTCGGAACGGCTGCGTAGGAAACGGTCGTTGTTGACTTGTCTGACTGTCAATCCAACTCATACCCGGATGCCCCGAAACCCCCCTCATATAAAAACGTCATATTAGGGAGGGGGAGGGGAGGGGGGGTTAAATATTAGGGGGAAAGGATTAGTTTAATCAATGCAGTGTTTTCAACCTAAAACCCTCAACCCTCGAAAATAAGCACTCGACGCCACAAGTCGTAAGAGAGGCCATCCCTGTAACCCCATGCAAACCCTAGAGATAGCAGGCTAGGACGCAGTGACTAGAATGGGACGGACCTTAAACCCGTAAAACAGCAGGTAGTAGAAAACGAGGTGAACACAAGCTTTCAAATTCTGTTCGCCGAAACCTAGCCAAGCTTCAAATCCCCAAGTTCCGAATGCAAAGCCCAAGACCGTGCACCCTAAGCTCTACTGCAAACCGCGAACCTTGGATCCTAGGCCATGGATCCTAAACTCGAAGCCCGAAGCCCTGAACCCCAAACCCTAAACCCCGAAACCTGGACCCTAAACCCTGCAGCGCTGTTGAAAAATCAGAAGCCCCCTGGGCGGCTGGCGGCTGCGAGGCCGAAGCCTGCGCGAAGGTCTTGAGTTTTGAAATTCTCAAGGCTCCAGGGTTCAGCGTATTTTGGGATCATATGAAGCTTATTTATACTTCTCCGAGGCTCTGGGGTTCAGCGCTTGTTGCGGGTTATATGGGGATTATTATAGGGGCTATAAGGGTTCAGCGTTTCTCGCACTTATATGGGGGTTATATAGGGCGAAATAGGGCATCTGGGATTTAAGGGGTTTTAATCTGTCTTTTCGGGTCTCCGCTTTGCTTTTTGTCTTGATGTCTTAGCGGGGGCTGTTCGACAGGTCTGGACCCTAAACCCTGAATGATGAAGCTTAAACCCTTAAGCCCTCAACCCTCAGACCCTGAAACCCTAAGCCTTTGGACTCTAAAGCCCTGAAACCGCCAAGAATTCTCGGATCCTGGTTTCTTGGGCCCCTGTGCCACAGAGCCTAACACAACTTAAACCCTCTAAGCCACACATCGTACTCCCTGACAAAGCTTTGCAGCTGCGGTGTGTCGGGCGGAAGGACTTACTGAGGATTCAGCTCGGGTTCGTGCCTTTGGGGTATTTCCCACTTGGGGGACGCTACGTACAGGGAATCGTGACGCCATAGTTGCCCCGAGCAAACATCTAGATATGTTTCTTACGGGAACAGTCGGAACAGCGCTGTTTTCTGTGTGCAATCCTGTACATAAGTATATGTATGGTACTGTGGGAGATATGTTGGTACGATCCAATAAACCATCCAGGGTGCTCGTTGCTTCATGAATCCAGTCGTTGGCAATACCAGAATTGGCAAAGGAAACGCTTGCAGGACAACCGGAGTGCCTTGTAACCCAAAATACTGTACCTGTACGGGCATTGATAACTACAACAGGGTTTTGGGGCCTAGGATACTATAACTATAATACTGAACCCCCAAAATGGTTTTGGTCAGTATCTAGGCCCCTATATTAAACCTGAAGCTGCGAAACCTCACGGGCTAAGGGTCGCTACCCAAAGAGCCCAACACCCACTAGCCTTGGCTACGGAATATGCATTGAATCAGCATAATTCTTGCAGGGAGAGGGCTTCAGAGTACATTCTGGTACATGTATAGAGGGAGGACGAGGTGACAGTATCAATCCAAGTCTAGTCTGTGGTTGAGGTGTGGGCTCTCTATGTATGCTCTACAAGGAAGTCTCCAGCTTCTGCCGCCGCACTCCGCGAATGTTACCCAAATGCTTTACACAGTACCCTTTATGCTCCAGCTCAATCGTTTCAAACACGTGGTAAAGCCGGATCGTCATCTCTTAAGCCATTACATCGACGTAGCTACCGCAGGCATTGACGTCTGGCCTCCAAGCGCGCGCTTGCCGGTAGAACCCTCGTGGGGACCTCCGATAGCAACCCATAAAATCATAGGCAACCAGGTCGTCTTACTTGGAGAGTTTAGCATCCCTAAACCCTACAGGAACCCTAAAGTTCCGAAGCTTGAACCCTATAAGCCTTACGCCCTAAACCTTCAAGCCTTTAGGGTTTGGGATCAGGAGCTTCCTCACTGCTCCGGGAGATAGCTGTTACAGCTTTCATCGTACAGAAATTGTGCCAACCTTGGAGAACCCACAGTGGGTATTGGAGAACCGCATCCTTTAAAGAGGGATTCAATGTGTTCTTGCTAAGTTGCTAAGGCCTCATGAAGTTCCAAAGAGGTCTAGCATGGTCTAATGTTTAAAGGGTTTTACAAGGGTTCTACCGGAATCCATGGGTGCTTTAGTTTCGGTAGGGGAAGAGATCATCTAGACGATCATGCTATCTTGTGGCTTAACCTGTGTTTGTGGGAGTATGACAGTATGCCCTCACACCCTAGATCACAGACCTTGGGCCCTGGATCTTTAAGCCGTTCTCTACACCTCGCAACTTTGCAATGTGCAATACATTGCAATCAACGTTGGGTTGTATCAACTAGATAAGTGGACCAAATGGCCGCTAACATCTAAAACTCTAAAACCATGGTGCAGGATATCTTACACCACAAACCCTGTCTATGACATGGACCATAAATTACTATATGACTATGTAGTTCATTGGTCCGCAGCATCTACGGTGCATTCATGGCTTCATGAGCTGATTGCATGAGGGTTCCAAAAGGGTGTTTTAAGGGTTTGGAGTCTGTTGCACATGATGAGGCGTACTAAGCATGGAAGCCTCCCATTCCAGGGTCTGGGACCGTTAACCGCCATAATATAGGGGCCTTAGTGATTAGACTAGGGTTTTGGGGCCCATACTATAACTACTAATAAGGAACCCCCCCCCCAAATACTAGAAGTAAATAACATTAAAGCCCCTACATTGCCCTAAAACCCCCAACCCAAAGCCGCCAAGCGCTACTCGAAAGCTTCAGTACCAAAGTCAGGGCCCTAAATAGCCTTAGGACACTAACTTTTACCCTTTTAGCTTCCCCACCCTACAGAAGATGCCCCTGCTGTAAGAAATCCCAAAAACCCAACTTTCAAACCCAACCCCACAATCATAGATCCCCAGACCTTCGTTTACCTATATCCGGTCCCAGGTTCCAATCCAAAATGCTGAACCCCTACCCTGCAGAACCCTTGTAGAACCTAAACACCCCTTATAACACACTACATTTCCTTCTCATTCGAGCCCTTGTGGATCCCTGAATATACTGCCTCAAAGCCGTGAACGTTGCCTCCTCCTCCTCCCTCGTCACCGTCGCGGTCACGGTGGCTTCGCGCGCGGTAGCCGTGGGAACCGTGGGGACCTTGGTTACTCGAAGCATTTGGGGAAGATTCTTGCCCCTTTTTGAAGGGATTCCTTTCAGAGGGGTTTAGGGTTTAGGGGTTTTGGGGTTTAGGGCTTAGGGCTGTTAGGGTCTAGGGTTTAGGGTCTTGGACTAACAGGGTTCCTAGATGTTCGTTACTGTAGGGAGGCTTCATACAGGTGGTTCCATCAAGGTGTTCGTCGAGGCTTCTCGTACCTTCTACGGTTTTGTAGACTTGTTATAGAGTTCATGTCGGGTTTTCCGGATGTTAAAGTGGATTATAGAGTGGTATGCTTGTATAGGGGTCTTGAGGAGATGCTACAAACCAGAAGTCTGCAAGACATGATACCTTCGACGATTCCCGCTCGCAGTAACAGCTAGGGCAAGCGATGAGCATCGCTATAGGAGTGTCCAGTGCCTTTTGAAGTTGTTACCCTAAGGATCCAGGTGTGCGAACAGTGAGGTTTCAATCAGAGTATGCTGTTTTGGTGAACGCCTTGCTGCTTGGTTCCCGCATAAAGCCCCCCCCCACACACGGCTCTCGAAGCCTTATGAATCCGTATTGAAGCCACTAAGAAGCCACTAAAAAAATGGCACCGTCTTCAGGACCCAGAGGATACGCAACCAAGCCAAGGTAGATCTGTGGGGTGCATTATTACAATAAACGATACCTATGTAGGAACCGCAACGGTATGCTGCTACCACATATTATTCCTAACTCTGTATTAAGCAGACCCAAGGTGCCTATCCCGAAGCTTAGCGCCGATGCAAACCTTAGGCTCCAACTCCGAACATAAACTCCACACCCCTAAACCCGAAACCTAAATCCAACAAAACTTGGCTTAGGGTTTCCTTAGTTTGAAGGGCTTCGGGCCAGGATGTCCGAGTCAGACAGGAGCCTCAAAAAAACAAGGTTTAGTGTGCTTTAGCTGCCTCATCCTAGACACAGCGGCTTTCCTTCACAGTCCAAAGAGCCCCAAAGCAGGTCAGAAAAGCTTCAGACTTGGGCACCCACGCATGCATTCTGCACGTGCATTTCGAGTCTTGGGGTTAGTTCTAGAACCCTGCGAGCAAACGATACCTTGAGCACTTAGAGGGTTTATGCTAACCCTTTCTAGCATAACTGGCTACTGCAAACCTTTTGCGAGACATCGTCCTGACCCATTGCCGCGAGTAACCCGAGGCCCTTAGCTCTTAAGCGCGGATCTAAACCAAAAACCCTAGACCCTTAGACTCTGAACCCTTCAGGACCACTTCAGGGTCCCGACGGCCGCCAGCGATGTGGGTGAGGGCTTCTCCGTCGGCACCGGCAGCTCGCTCGGCGATGGAACCGCTGGTGCCTGCAAAGGGTGCCGACGGATCTAAACGTAGAACCCCCAGAAGGTTTAGGATTCAGCGCGAGGGCTTTTGAGGTTTCAGGCTTCCAGTGGTTACCCAGGGCCGTAGAGGGAGTTGATCCTTATGCCGATGCGGCTTACGATAGGGCCAAAAGAAAAACCTAAGACTAGTCTTGGGGTTCCCTAAGATGACTGGAGCCCCAAACCCTACCAGGAACACCAAAACCAGAGAAGGCTCCCCAAGCCCTAAAACCCCAAAAGCGTCACAGGCTGCGTCTTGTAGGGTTTAGGGTTTAGGGTTCAGGGGTTTAGGTTTAGAGTTTAGGGCGTGTGGGGTGTAGGGTTCAGGGTTTAGGGTTTCGGTGGTAGACCCAGACCGAAGTCCCACCGATCCAACCTCAGCTACTCAGCTCAGCCTTGAAACCAAGTTTGGAGTTTCGGGCTTCGGACTGTCGTAGGTTGAAGGGTCCAGCAGCTGTTGTTCGGTTGGTCTGAGGTACACCTAGCCCAGGGTTGAGGTGGTCAGACTAAGGAAAGGAGGGCTTCATCGGTTTAGGGTTTAAAGGCCGCATCACTCGATCCGAATTGCCACAAAGTACAAATAGTATGTTCAAAAGCCATTGAATTTAACCCACAACCAAGGTTTGGGTCCCGGGTGGCCGTCCGCTGGCATGTCTGGATTTAGGTTTCGGGGTGGAGGGCTTTCGACAAAGCCCAAAAACGACGTAGCAAAGAGGCAACCAGCCTTCTGCCTACTTCGTAATAACCACAATAATAACGACAGTAGCCGATAATGGTAAGAAGAAGAAGAATGCGAACAAGCATGATAATATGAATCATAATAGAGGTGCACTCCTCCCTTCCTTGACGGCTACCCAGAGGAAGCTGTGCATGCCTCTAGGGCTCCAAGGCTTGGGTTTTGATCAGTGTTGAAACTGGAGCGCGTATACTCCAAACCCGTACCCAAAGGGCCTAAGGGCTGGTGGAGTGCACCATGCTGCGTCTATGCATTGGCCTTAATAAAGAATCAGAATTGCGGGTCGAGTATCGTGCAGTTATACATATAGGGACTATACTTGGATACTGTTACTATAAGCTGTCACTAAAATGAGGGGTACTTTTCTTTGGGATCCTTGATATGAGGATCCTACTATTTAGGGTACTCTATTTGTTTACCCTAAGCTCAGTCCCAAATCCGAAACCCTCAGAGCCTGCGGCCGAGGCTTCGCGAAGCGTGCCACGCGCACCGGAGGTACGAGGCCCTGCATTTATCCATGTCTGTAAGTCTCAGCAATCTACAGCCTATACTCAAAGGCCCCTAGGGTTACCGCTAGACTATCATCATCATGGTCGTCATCATCTTCATGATCAGAGGATCCTTTCCTACTATGGGGAAAGGTTCAGGTTTGCAGGTGGCGTAGGGTTGGGTTTCAAGAGGCTTCGCCACGAGGTACTCTAGACCCACAAGCAAGACTGCTTTTTTGATTACCCAAAAGACCCTGAACTCTAACCTAAAAAACCCTGAGTTCTGAGCTCCAAACCTTTGGGCCTTAGAAAATGGAAGCCTGAAGCCCAAGCCTTGAAACCACACGAGCCCCAAACCCGAAGCCCCTACATGAACACAAAACCTACAGCTACAGCCTCTGCAAGCCCTCAGCTCCCAGGCCACCAACCCGTAGACCCCAGAAACTACAAACCCTTCTATCGTAAGATGTAAAGCCCGAGTGTAATGGAGGGGCCTGCGATATAGTCCCAGTGATCTACCCGCAACATCCCAGAACCCTACTCTAAGTGTTACTAGTAAGGCCTCTACCACTAGACCCTCTTCTTCCCAACTGAAAAGAGCCCTTGCAAAACTCAAAGCCAAGAAGCCTCCATCTCCGCCTCCTCTGCTTGAGGCTCCCTGGCGCGAAGGACTTATAGGCTCTTTATGGGGTTGATAGTATGGGTTTATCGTGGTTTAGGCCTAGGCCAGGTACCAGGGGGTGACGGTTAAAAAGTCTTCGTGTGCCGGTGTGTACAATTTAGGGTTGAGGGTTTAAGGGCTCGGGTGTGGGGATCTCGGGGGCGACGAAGCCATAGGCAGAACCTCGCTGGAGATCGAAAGTCTGAGTGAATCCAAGCAGCTCTTAGTTGCTTACCTGCTTAAAACTTCTAGGTTGCAGAGTCCCCAAACATTCCACATGATGCTCTACGGTGGTCTACAGTAGGATTAGCAGGATATGGTATTCGGCATTAGAAATCTAGCGAATTCAAATTTCAGGGATGCAAGAACTGAATACCTACAAGGCCCCTAACCCTGCCTCGGGCACGGGCATGCAGCTTAGCTTGGGGGTTTGGGCTCTGAGCATGGCTGATCGAAAACGTCTAAACGGTCCTCATCTCTCCAATCCCCAAGAGCCTCAAACCCCTTTGACATCCCCAAGCCGAAATGCCTACAGGACGCCTCAGAGCAGGAGAGTGCTGCAAAGCCAGGCAAACCCCTGAATCGCCCTATGAGCTTAAACGGCACTTACATATTCTTGAAGCTACAAACTCTGCATGACCTACGGACCCAAACCCTAGGGTTAATGCGCAATGTGGATAGCTCAAGGGCCGTCCCTAAACCCGGAAACCCTTTGGTGAAACCCTAAACCTAAAAGCAACCCGCACTGCAAGACCCATCCCAAAGCTATAATGCTGAATTTTACGACAACCTTGTAGACCCCAAACCCCAGAAGGGGCCTTCATCTTTGGAAACGGGTCGTGGGGTACATTACAGTATCGCGACGCAAGGACCATTAGAGGACACGATTGCGAAGGAAGAGAGACCTCTGCACCAAACCTTACTTGATCTCAATAACCTGTCAAGCACTATGAGTGGGTACTGTTGCTGACTACGTAGAAGGAATTTTCAATCATGAAAACGAAAAACCATAAACCTGAAGAAAGGCCTTGCAAAACCCTCGCCACTTGTTAGCAACTCTAAAATCAGCACAAGACCATGTAAATTAAAGCCCAAGACAATTTGCAACAACCGCTAGAAACCTATAAAACCCTTTTAGGATTTCAGGACATAAGCTTTTCACATCTAGTTTATTAAGGACTAATGGTTTAGGGTTTAGGGTGTTTAATTAAGGCTTTTGGGCTTTCGAGTAGCTTTAGGTTTTTGGGTTTGGGGTTTCAGGGCTTGCTCTGGGATTTAAGGTGCAACGGGTGTTGGGGTTGTAGGTTTTGTGGTGTTGGGTCTTGGGCTTTGGGGTTTCTAAGGCTCTTGTTTCAAGCCCTTGAAGAAGTTATTGTCTTCTTTCGCATTTCCTTCTTAATGCTTCCTCTCGTGAGTTCAAAGTACCTAAATTCAATCAAACAGTTTCACCTAGAGCCCCCAGCTCAGGTTTAGGAATTACGGGTCCGGGTTCAGGGTCGCCTTAGGGTCTAGGGAAGTTTAGGGTTGTTGGGGCGAGGGGCTTGCCGGGTGAAACATGCCGGTCGTCTTGTCTGTATCCTACGGCTTTGATTTTAGGCTTCGAGTTGAGCTTTCCGGGCGGAGGATGAACAGCAGGGCTTAAGCATCAATTCGAGCAGGGTTTTGGGAAGTATCCCAGCATCCATTACTACTAAACTGGCATCTGGGTTCTACCAAGAAGGTTTTGCTCTCACGGCTTGCGTCGGACCGGAAGTGTGAGTATCGCCTGCCCCAGAAGGCTTCAAGGTCTGGGCTCAAGCCAGTGGGCACAGTCGGTGCTTGGGACTTTTTTTTTGATTTTTTTGTCCCAACCATGTCGCGCTCGCGTGTGCCGGGCCAGTTCCAGGAGAAGGCACGACCAAGTGCAACTCATCCAAATGACTTCCGCCAGCTGTCAAGTTGAGCAAGACAGTGATTGTCACTGTCTGTCTGCCGGGAGACATACTCAAAGTCGGTATGAAATCAGGGCCTAGGGCTGACCCCAGGCTTTAAATCCTAAGGCATGACCTTCTCCGTAAGTCCGAAGTTCGAAACCCCAATGCCTACACGAACTACGAGACATGCTTCTCAACTGCGCTCTTTACACCACTAAACACAGATGCCACTGGGCTCCACCTTCAGGACCAAACGATCCTTAAAAAGCATACGGCGCCATGTCTTATCCAAAAGTCCAAAATAGGATATGCGATCTATATAGTCCCTGAACCCTTCTAAAGCACTGTGCAAAAAACCCTTCACACCTCCAAACCCCTGAAAGGGAAGTATGCAAACGACTGCCAAAGCATTCGGGGGGGACAGGGAAGTATAAGTACGGATACGAATGAGTCTGACCCCCAAATCTAGCCCTACCCCTAAAATTTCGAGAAGAAGCCCCTATAACTCTCATCACCAGAGTCAAACTCGCGTAAGCCTCTATAGAAATCAACACTACAGAAACTTGGCCCCTTGTTAAAAAACCTATAACACTGCATCAGACCCTGTAGAGTCCTGCCAACCCCGTATAAGCCCCCAACAGAACTATAAAAACCTGGAATTAGAGAGACATTCAACCTAAAACCTTATTATTGGAGCAAGTATCAACCGAAGGCAAGCATGCTCCCATATCGTCGCGCGCCTCGTCTCCTCCTCCCTGTCCTCCTGCGATTGTCGTCGCGCATTTTGAGTATGCTCGTGAATTTTTAGGGGGCTCGAGGCGTTTCTAAGGTTCTATCCTGGTTGACAAGGATTCACAGGAATCGATATTTGGGATATGTATTGGCTGCTTTTGTTATGACTGCAGCTGTGGAGATTAACTGCTGTTCCTGCAGTTTACTCCATCATGTATTCATTTTGTGCTGTGATGTTTGTGGTTGCGCACGGGCAGGTCGGTTCGGGTTTGCAGCGTCGGACTGTGGTTTCGTCTTAGGGCAAAAACTGACTTGCGGATTTTATGTTTTGGGAGCGCGCCGGATTTGGGGATTCAAGGATTTCGGGTTTTTAGGGTTTCTATCCGATTCTATCTCTGGACCCATTTTGGAGTGCGCCCGGATCCCACAACGACCTTCTATGATTCCCCTGACTCCCTCTCCAGGGGTTTACGGCCTCTACTCTGAAACAAGTATCGCTATGCCCCAAACTTCGAGGGCAGAGTTCGGGTTGTTGAGCCATATAAACCACCGACCTGAAAATCCCTAGACTGTAGCCCTAGACCCCATGCAAACCCTTCAGCCTGGAAGAGCCCTTGAAAGACGCGTAAGTATCTCCGAGGCTGTTGTCATGAGCCAACAGCCTCTTAGAGGCTCATTTCTTTCCAAGGGCTGTAGTGGATTTTATCAGTTACGTTGTTTGCTTTGCTTCTTTTTCATAACGGTCGATAAGGATTCTGAAAAGTTTCTTTAAGAGTCTCATAGGGTTAGGCTGTGCTGGACGTATAAGGGGCCTTTAGTAAGTAGGGGTTTAGGCAGGGTTCGTATAAGCATGATACTGGTACCTTCAAGCTCCGAAAAGAAATACTTAGAACCTTGTTACCCGAAACCCTAAACCCTTATTGCCCAAAACCCTGACATAAATTCCTATGTCCCCCGCTGACATGCATCAAACACCATCAAAGCTCGGAGCTGTCCGAAACTCCCCTCGAGTCGAAGCCCTAGAACAACCCCTCACACCTAAGGGGTTTGGGGTGTAGGGCTTTCGAGTCCTACGGCTTAGTGGCTTAGCGCTTAGATGTGCTTAGTTTGGGTTTCATCCTGAATTAAAAATTTTTGCGGCGGCTGAGAATTTAAGGTTCGGGATTTCGGGCAAACACATCACTTCCCTGGCCTTCCACTAACCTCTGAACCTTTTTCATCTTGACAAGAGTATATGGAGCCAGAGAGATTGAAGGGTCAATATACAGGCCAAGACCTTCACAAGAGGGCTTTGAATGCGTTATGGTGAAAGTTTCCGCTGTTCTTACTACGAAGAACGGATAAATGAGTACATAGCTAAACACAAAAACTGAAAACAATCAAACAAGTTTATATGGGTCTGTATATATATATATATATATATATATATGTACATGTATGTATGTGCATATATATATATATATATATACACAAGATTTGCATCTAAGTACACATATGTGTCTGTGTACGTACATCTGTATACATAGGTTCACATATTATGAGTATGTTCCTATCAAATTATCTAAACCCATTTGCAATCCCCAAAGAGGTTGGGGGCCTAAACCTAATTTCCCAGCTTCCGAACCAATAGGTTTGCAAAAACGCGCTAGCAAAAGCAGGAACTTAGGACTGCAGGGTCTGCGGCCGGCTTGGCAAGGGAAGAATAAAGCGCTAAGCAACGGGCAAATCCAAAGCATTGTTACTAATATTGCATATTTCGCACGAAGCTATTGTTCAGGATTAAGGGAGGAGGTCACGTTAACGACAGGGGAAACGATTGTTGCCATTATCCCACAAAAAGCCTGGCCCGCATCACCACTTGGAGCGGCGCGTCGAGAGCCAGACCGTCAAGAAAGTGGATGTATTTAGTGCTTCTGAAGCTGTTCGGCTTCCGAGGTGGTGTCATCATGGTCGGCGTCTTCGAAGGTGGATCTGGCAAACGGAGAAGTACGCCAGAGCATCCTTGAAGCGACGAAACCGACTCAATGCCCTTTTGTCTGGTTCTTAGTAGGGAATGGGGGAATGGAATCTAGAGATTAATATTGGGGACGGGATTATATAGGGACTAGTATAGGGATCCATTCCCCCATTCCCTCCTGAGCACCAGACAGCCTTTCGGATTTCTGGGAATTGCTGAGCACCGCAGGACCGGGCCGGTCAGCATTCTCGGCGCTGTAGCTGTTCTCGGCGGACCGCAAGTTCAACAACTGCCGGTGCTCCCGTATCAATTATCTATCTATCTATGTATCTATCTAACTTTGTATGAGCACTGCCAACTACATGTCCTAACTATGCTGACGACCCCAGCTTGACCCCTAAGAGTTTAGGAATTCTGCAAGGCCCGAAACCCCGGAAGCCCGCTCCGGCACGGGCAGCTCGCTCGGAGTTGGAGGCTCGGGCGGTGCCTTGGGATTCGGGGTTTACGGGTTTGGGGGTTTAGGGGTTTGGGGTTGAGGGGTTTAGGGCTTCAAAGGTTTTTCGGGTTTAGTGCTATAGTAGGGGGTTCAGCATTCGATACTGTCACGTGGACAAAGAGTGGGACGATGTGGGGATGTCGCAAACTGCTCAGTACCTCCAGCTCCTGCGGGAATGTTGTGTCGGCAAGAGGGACCGGAGGCGGAGGAGCCGGTCTTGCCGCCACTGCCTTCGGCGGGGCAGTGGACTGCAAAGTTGCCTTGCTCACGGTGCCGAAGCCCCCCTCGCCGATGGGGGCAAGCGGGCCTCTGATGCTTCCAGCACATAGCTGCCTGCCTTACCTCATTGCTGAGGAGCCGATTGCAACAACTGGCAGGTTCAGGGCTTGGGGTTAGGAGTTTAGGATCTGATTCCAGGGAATGGGTTTACGGATTGGGGATGTAAGCGTCATCAAGGTTAACTAATCTTTATCATCTATTCGAGGGGTCACGGGTTGAGGGGTGTAGACTGGATTCAAGTTTGGGTTGGGGGAGGGGCGGTTATGGGGTGTAGCATCTGGGTTCTGGTGCATTTCCTCCAATTCCCGGCGCAAAACCCTTTGCAACAAGTGGCCGCATGAAAAACCATCCTGGCCAACTAGAATATGGTTTTCGGTGTATGTCGCCGTCTATCTGTATCAGTTTATAGGGGGAACAGTAGTATATTAGCAACATCCAGACCCGCATACCAACTCTAAGCACTGAAATCTCAAGCGTTACTCGCGAAGCTGTCGCTAAAAGAGGACGGCTAAATGGTGGCACCCTGATCTCAGAAAGCCCACAGAATCTCCATTTATACAAAAGAGCCCAGAACTGGAAATGGCCTGAACTGCAACGTCTAGACCCTAACTTCCTTGAAGTTAAGGATTTGAACCATAATTCTCTTAAGCTCAAACGAAATCAATCACTTTTCTCAACACTACGATTTAAGGATGGTGGGCTGTTTTGGGGGGTCGTACGCCGATTGCTCATGGCCCCAATGAACTTGCCTAAACGCTGCAACTATTCTGCAAGGGGAACACCGGGGAAGGTAGTCTAGAGCCTACACCCCTAAAGCCATCTGTAAACCTTCAGCTCTAAAGCCAACAGCACTAAACCCTAAATTCATACAAAACCCTAGTAACATTTCTTCGAAACCCCTACCGGCCCTACCAGACCCCACGAACCCATATTCAGCAGTACACCCTCCTTCGAGTGTAGATCCGAAAATTCTGCGGTCCGAGGGCCTTGATCAGGAAGCCCTGAACACCCTGAACCCTAAGGGTCCAAGTACCTAATAATCATATACTCTCCTAAATGTAAAGCTACATAACTACGATCCTAAACCCAAGGACCTTACCATTGGGTCCCTTGGACCCTTAGGGGAACCTTAACACTCTTCAGCCCCATCCCCGTAGCCCCAACACCTGCAAAGCAGCAGAGTAGTAGGATACGCTCAGAGGACTGAAGCCCTTAGGCTTCAAACAGGTACCCCAAAGGTTCAAGTACCTGATAGTCATATACTCTCCAAAATCCTAACCTACATAACTACTATCTCAAAACCGAGTACCTAATTATTGGGTCCTTTGGACCCTTGGGGGTAGAGCAAACAACCTTAAACCCGAAGGCCTAAATGCCCCAATCCCAAGAGCCTAAGAGCCGTCAGAGAGCCTAGGCTTAGATCCTAACTCAAAAGCCAAGCACAAGTCGAATCTTAACCCCAACCCCATAAACCACCATAACCCTAAACCCTGAATCCTGCAGCCCTATAGCCTAAAAGCCCCTGAACCCCAAAGTTCCATACCCTAAACCCCAAAGCTCCAAACCCTAAAGCCCGAAGCTGTCGAAACTCGGGTTCTGACCGATTCCATCGGCGGCGCAGAGGCCACCTATCCGGCTCGGAATCAGAGCAAGCGGGGTCTTCGAATCCTTTCAGGGTTTTGTCCTTCGAGCTCGTTGAAGTTTTGTATGTTCTTGCGCACCAGACATGATGCTACGTGGTGTTTGATAGAGTTTGATCGCGGTTCAAAACGTTTTCTTAGGCTTAGTAGGGGCAGGGGCATGCAGCTGAAATGCATAAGGGGCTTATTGGAATGGCGGGTTCTCAGCTAAAGAGATTCGAACTTTAGGGACGTTTAGAGTTTAGGCCTTCATGTTTGTTAATCGCTCCGAACTCAGCCTGCAATCGAGGATCCCCGAATTGCGGGTTTAGGCTTTGCAGGTTCATCGGTCCTATGGGTGCCGGGATTTGAGGCCTCGTGGTCGCCTCAAGACGTCTCAGCGCTGGTCGTGTGCAAAAAAAGGCCTTAATAATTAGAACAGGGTTTTGGGGGCCCATAATACTATAATTATGCAAAGGAACCCCAGGAATAGTACTTGGTAGTTATTCAGGCGTGTATAGTAATGGGCTGTGAGTGTGCGAAGGTCGTCTCCTCCGGTCGTATCCTTCCGGGCTTCATAGTGGCTGGCTTAATAGTCCAAAATAATATTTCGATTGCGAACTCACCAGAACCCGAACATAACGACTCCTCCACTCGCAGTGCTTCGCCGAAGGCTTAGGGTTTCGGACAGGTCCCAGCCCTGTTCAAACAGAGCATTCCATGCAGGTCTTGGGGGTAAATACCGCCAGCCTACCTACATAATCCAGGGCCTTAGCAGTTCGAACAGGGCTCTGGACATATGGGAGTTTCCGAAAATGGGGGACCCTAAATATAGCACCCTAAATAGTAGGATCCTTATTATAGGGACCCCAAAATAAGGTACCCCTACTTCTCGCAAACTCCCATATTACTGTTTCCAACATCCGAAGGCTGAACCCAAGTCATCGAAACCTTTATCTGACCGACTCCCCACCTCATCTTCCGGGACGGGGAGATCTGCCGGAGATGTCCTTGTACCGGAGTTGGGAACCATTCTACATGCTGGCTTCTTTCCTGGGATTTAGGGTTTAGGGTAGAGTTGACCCTGTCAGCTCTGCGCATGGCATAGGGAGTTGGGGGCTTTGGGGGTGGAATCTTCGGGAATCACTCCCGGAGCTAGGAACTAACCCGCTCCACGCGCTTGAGGCTAGGGTTGAGGAGTTAGGGCTTCACAGGTTTTATGGTTCAGTGTCGCGCAACTACGGTCTACCAGAATTGGGGCTTCAGGTTTTTAGGGTTTTTTTGGCGGGTTTTGGGGAGCAGAGGACTCCAGGGCTTTAAGGCTCGCAGGGTGAAACCTAGATCTACTTGTGGGAGAGTTCTGCTGAACTCTAAGTCCGAAGTCCTAAAACCTCGAAAGGCAGTCCCAAAAGATGGGCTGTACAATCCCTAGGCTTCCAGGGACCTTATTTTTGGGTCCTTAAGGGGTGTAGGGCCCTAACTATAAGGTCCCTGGAAGCATAGGGAATGCTCGTGTTTTTACAGCGAAATGATGTCTTGTTGGAGTGTCACAACGTTTGACCTGCTGAAGGGCTTGGGCTGTCTTGCAGCTGGCCATAGAACCTTATGTTTCTGCCGAAACCCTCATTCTACATGGCTCATAAGGGATTATGGTGCGAAACTTTCAATGTGGGACCAAACAGCTATTTACTGCCATGCATGTCCAGAAACCCATCCGAATCCAAGCCTTGCCTGGGGCTTAGAATTTTAGGGTCTAGGAGTTGGCATAGGGTTGAGTGCCCGAAACTGTTAAAACCCTGATCGCAAGCCCCGAACCCTAAAACCTCCATCTGGACAAAGGGAGCTGAACATTCAAGAGGAAGAGCATGACTAATTTCATGACTTGATGTCCTCAATAAAGTAGGTCTTTTACTACCAGCATCCCCATGAATGCAAACCCAACATGCAAAGCCACCATGTGACGCCTACTTAGCGGCCATACTAAGCCCTCGTGCAAACTAAATCAACAGCCGAGAGCGGCGCTCTTGGAGACTTGGCACTGGCCTCTCTGGCACCTGGCGTAGAGTTTGGGTTGAAAGGGCGTAGGTTTAGGGTCCCTGGCATCTGGAGGTCAAGCACACTTAGGGCATGTAGAGCTGGTGCGTAGGGTTCGTAGGGGACTCGGCTGCATCGGTCTGGGGTTAAGGTTTGCTTGGTTTGGGATTCGGATGGCGTGGAGAGTTCTAGAGTTTGGAGATTAGTTGGTTCAGGGCTTAGGATTTGAGCTTGAGATTCGGTTCAGACATTTAAGCTGGGTCAGCTCAGGATTTGTGCTGAAGACGGCTTAATCCGGTCAGGTTTAGGACTTCGTGTTCGGCCTTTTTTGGTGTAGCATGCTTCGCCTAAAGCAAGACTCGGTCATTCGGATGGAAGGTCAGGAAAGGTCAAGGTCAAGCTGGCTCCACAAACTGTAAGGCAAAAAGGCCAGATCTGCAAGCTCCTTAAAGCCAACATTGAGCCGCTGCTTCAACAACGAGTCAGTTTGATGCGATAACAGACATGCATGATGATTCCAGTGTCAGTGGAGCACACAGAGCCAGGAGTTGGGGCCTACAGTCCCAGTCCTTGCCCTTGAGTTGGATTTCGGTATACAGGGCCCCAGTTTCTGGATCGAGGTCGTAGCCATGGGTTTGTACCATGGTGCACATCTTACTGGTCATACCGTGCTACCAAAGACGCCTCTAGAACGAGGTCGCAGCCATGGGCTTGTACCATGGTGCACATCTTACTGGTCATACCCTGATACCAAATGAGGCTAGGCAACGCTATGTTTCGGCTCCAATGCCTTGGCATGTCGTGAGCAGTGGGAGTTGTGTCGGAGACTTTGAATCTTTGAAGGCCTAGCACCCCCATGCTGAAGCATATGTCAGTCTACTTATTTGTAATAATTGAACTCTTAGAAGGAGATGGTGCTATCTGGCCATGTGCCCTCCAGTTGAAGGTGTTGGCCAGGTGTTGGCCTTGTGCAGCACGGCCCAAAACAAACATCTGCAACGTAGTCCTGAAGCCGAAGCTCTCAACCAAGCCTGAAACCGAAATATTGACAAAGGGGCCCGATAAGGTGGAGCTTTGTTTGAGGGGGCATTTATGCTAGATCTATGGGAAGGAACCCTCAGCAATACTCGTAGACGCGCTGAATACTCAGCCACCTACATTAAATCGAAGCGCCAAACCCCCAAATTTGCCTATGGCTGAAGCTCCTACCTCGACTTCCGCATCGTCTTCCACAGGCGGGGAGCTCACCTCAGACATACACGGGCTTACGAGGATGCAAGAGGGCTAGACAGGGTTTCGGGAAATAGAGAAAGTTGCTTGAACAGAGTTTAGATGGCTTAAGCTTGCGGTGGATTTAGGAGGGCTTTGGGGGCCTGGGCGGGGTTCAGGGTTTAGAGCCTTAGTTCAAGTTTAGGGTGGTGAGCTTGTGGTTCTAGGGCAACTCAGACCTTTCATTGTTCTTCATGTTTGGGGCTTTAGGATATATTGGGACTATCAGAACCAGTTGCGCATTGATTATGGTCGGACTAGTGACAAGTGATGGGGTTGTATGTCCTACAAAGCGTTCGTAACTGCTAAGGGATACTTCTGCAGATGCTGGTAGAGCTTCTCTGGCCTCTCACTCTCTGGCTTCTGCCTGGTAGAAACGTCTGGTTGATGCCGCCTGAATAAATAAACAACATGTACATCTCGGCAGAAGTAGATTCAGAAAGTCTGAACTATGAGCCCAAAGACCTTGAGCTCATAAACTTCTAGTTGCCCTTGCTTTGGGCCGATGTGTTGTAAAGTTTCTATCAGGGCTCTATAAAAGGGATTCTGCCGAGGCTGTATGAGGGTTCTAGAAGGGTGCGCCCGCCCGTTACATACGTACTTGAACGTGCACGAGTTCCATAAGGGCTCCAAAATAAGCATCACTCCATTCGGGAATGTCGGAACCTGTAGGAACATGCACGGTCGACTTGGAGAAGCTGGCATGCCAAACCCTCACAAGGCCATTCTGAAACCGGCACCTTGAAAGGTCGCCAGACAACCGCCTTAAACCCCTTTCCAAAAATCTAATCCTGGGCACTACAGCTGATGGTTTGCTTGCATCCCTCTGTAGGTGCCAATACACTGAACCCTCAAACCCATCGCACTACCAGCACCACTCAGTGCCGTTCCGCTGGGGAGGTTGGTGAAGGTACGTCCGTCGGGACCTCGCAAAGCTCAGCATCGGCAGTTCTCTATCCTAAGCCGAAAATCTAAATCTCTCTAAATCTTACATGCCTGACACGCTCCCACCTCAAATCACCCCAAGTCTCGATAACTCTAGGCCATAAGCGGCCAACACCTGAAGCCTGCAGGCCCGCAACTAAACGACCAGCTCAGAGCTCATAGAGTTTAGTCTCGAAGGACTGGGATTCGACATAGCAGATTAAGTAAGCTTTAGAGTACAGCTTAATTAGAGGGTTCAGGGTCAATGGGTCTAGGTCTAAGTTTTAGGGCTCAGACCCTCTTCTAGATGATTCCACCCTCACCGGATGCACAGAATCAAACTTTCATGAGCGGCTTTCCTTTCGATTCAAGCGTTTAGGTGTCCCTCTATGCTACTTCGATCGCATGAGGATCAAGATGTTCCAATTTTGGGCTTCTACTTCACCCAGAACCCGAAACCTCCAAACCAAGCTCCCTTCTTTCCGCTTGCTGCAAAAACGAGCTAAACGTCCTAGATCCCTCAAGCCGGAAACTGTAGACTCTGAAAATCCACACCATAGCACCCAATACAGAAGCTGATATGATTGGGCCAGGGCAAGGGCTTCGGGAATTTCTGTGCGATAACGACATGAGGCAACCCCAAACAAGACCATTGCGATACCAAAAGCAAACAACAAACGCGCGCCTGGGGTGCCGTCGGGGAGCGTGGCTGCCGCAGAATCTGAGGTTTGATGATTTCGTGGTTGGATTGCAGGGTGTAGAGTGTAGAGGTTTGAGTTCGTGTTATCTTGGGCTGTCGCAGAGCTTTGGGCATGTGAGGGCACGAAACCTCAAGCCTCTGATTTATAAAACTTGTAAAGCTTACAGGCGAGTTTTGCTGAACCCCAAACCCTTTCCCTCTGGCGGAACCCGAAATCTCTTTCCCTAAGCCCTAAGCTCTTACAAAACGCATCAACCTACGTAGGTTAAGAGCACAGGATAGCCTTTAACGTGCCCCAGGGCGCTATACCCTGAGTCTACACTGAGTCCACACCGTGATCCCGAAATCAAGGGCAACGCCTGTTTCTACTCCTCGCTGCCCGTAGCCCACAAGACCTTCTTGATTCAGGTTGCTTATGAAACCATGTAGTGATATGTCGCCTTACCTACACCGTGATCCCGAATTCCCAGACATGATTAAGGTTCCTTATGAAAGCAGTGATATGTCTCCTTGCAGAAACAAAGTCTGTTGGGGGTGCTCGTAAGGCCTTTACACCCAACTGCCTCCCCCCCCACGCGAGAGGCCTCAAGGCCCTTGATGTTACACTGTCCTTCCCTACATAACGGCCGGACGTGCGTTTGTTGGAAGTAATTCTTGCAGATCCCTGAAAAGCGGGCTTCCCTAAGACAGGGCGAGAGCACAGAATAGACTTTCTAAGTAGTGCTATACATCTTAAGAAACTGAAACTCGTGAAGCTTGATGTTGAAGAACTAGCTCTAAACCCAATGTTCTGCATCTCGACAGCAGCTGTACGGACTGAAGTGGATGACGGCTGAGGATTCTAGGTCCTCGTTTAGGATCTGTGCCAGTACAAAGCGCTGCCTCAACCGCAAAAGAGTCTGGCAGTCTTTGCGTGCTCGGCTCAGCTTTGTCGGCAATGGCAGCATTCGATCAAACAGCTGATTGTGGTACTTTCCGGCTCGACCCTTCAGCGGGTCATCGTAGCAGATCTCCAGCATTTCCAATCATCGTAGCCAATCTCAAGCCTTTCCAAGGGCACCTCCTGCAGCAATTGCCTCAAGGTCGTGAATGCGCACAAGTCACGCTGGGCAAGACTACACGACAACATGGCTGACACGTCTGCTGCCATCATTAACTGCAAGTTGCATCGCTGCACTTGAGCGACCCGGTGTGATTCGAAGAAGAACTGTACCCTCACCCACCGGGGATCGTCAATTTTCGTGGACTTTTGTGCAAGCTGATTTGAAGAATACCTGTTCAGAAGGCATAGCGAGCCCTTGAATCGACATAAACCCTACTGACAGCTTCTAAGAGGGCCTACAGCTGCCACTGGTAGCTAAGGACCCTTCTAAACCCTAAGAAAGCAAAGGCGCACAGGCCTTTTCGCTGGGCTCGATCACATGTGCCTTCGGCGGACTCGTCTGAAACACTCCAGCGACCTGTGCGAGCGACTTCAGGCTTACACTGGTTAAAATCTCTCTGTTCTTTCTAAGAAAAGTCCTCTTTTAAGAGGTAGCGTGATGCCCTCCTTGAGGGTTTTCCACCACACATCTGTACGCATGGGCTTTGTCAGAGGATCGGCTAGTTGGACCGCTGTAGGGATCCATTGGAGCGGCAAGCGGTCAGTCCACTGTTCAGCCCGCAACTCTTGACGTAGGGCCGCTAAGTCGATTGCGAGACGACGGTCTGCTGGGAGCCTTGGTGTTCCAGCCTTGTGAAGGTGGTCGTGAAGAGACTTGCAGTCGGACAAGCAGAGAATTGGCCACCGCTTACGGATCTCATGGTGCTTGACGATCCGTCCATGAAGTAGAGAGGCCAGAAGAGCCCTCATGTACTGTCCTCCTTCAAGTCCCTCCACCGCGGCCATTGTCTCCGCACCAAAAGTGGAACGGCACACTCGCTTGCATGACTGGCTCCTCCACTCGAGCAAACTCGTCCGGCAACAAGACCCATCGAGGATAGCCCGGTCGGCCAGTAAGATCAAGTGGCCCAACTGTGAAGCGACCTTGGAAGATCCCTTCTTAGCCTTCCTTGGCCTAGACTCGCTGTAGAAACCGCGTATGGTGCCCTGCTCGATCTCCTCGGCCGTGAGCTTGAACCCGTCCTCGGCCTCCTCGAGCTCGGCGTTGGCCCAGGCCGCATCGTGGTACACGAGGAACACCGCGTCCTCGAGTTTGGTAGGCCGCAGGTAGATCCCGTTCTCGCGGAACTCCTTGGCCCGGGCCGAGAGCTGGTTCACGAATCGAACATCCTCGGTAAGAGGGGCCCGTTGGAGCTGCTGTGACAATGCCACCCCACACGTCAGGTCTGGGCGGCTCTGGCTGCTTAGCCAACTCAAAGCACCGATCAAGGATCGGTTGTCGATGGCCTGTTCTTCAGTAGCTGGTTCTGTCCCCTTCTGCGAACGGGGAACCTCAACAGTGAACAAACGGCCATCCACAAAGCTCTCCTGGGTGATACTCACGCCATCGTCGTTCACCTGGATGAAGGACCCCACATACTCGAAACTGTCCTCGAGCCAGCCGTCGATCGGGAAAAGGCGCCCGATCCTCTCTTGGAGCATGCGGTTGACCTCGGTAGGGGCGACCACCAAAATGTCGTCGACGTGGAGGGCGAGGTATCCTGCTGGCTCAGAAGCTTCGCCATCCTTGATGAGCATCATCACGCAAGGATCCAAAGGGCTCGGCACGAGGCGGTGTCGGACTCCTCCGATGTCGAAGATCTCGCTAAGTAGAACGCCAGAAAGCCTGTCGTACCACATCCTCGGGCTCTCGGATAGGCCGAAGACTCCCTTCCTGATCCGAGCGAGCTGTCTTGGGTCCAGTCCAGAAATCCCGGACTTTGGCTGTGCCATCCACAACTGGCGCCCAAGTTCAACCCCTTGCAAGAAAGCAGCTTGAACATCTCCTGCAGCAGCCTTCCAGCGCTTGGAAGCGCATATCTGAAGCAAAGATATCAAGGATGCCCTTGACACCGTGGGAGAGTCGACCTCGATGTTGGCCACGCCCACATCGGGATCAAGATGTCCAGCCACGACCAGTCTTGATTTAGGCTTCCACTCCACAGTAGGGTCGGCGCGCCTGCGCCCAAGGTGCTTGTCCCTGTAGGCGAAACGTGAGCCGAGGATACGGCTCGCCGGTTCTTCGCGGCGGACTCGTTCGCTCTCCTCGACACTCAGGACTTCCAAGGCCCCAGTGTCCACATGTTCTCGCCACTGGACCATCTCCTTCTCCCGGAACTTCGGCCTCATAAACTCCGGGATGAGGGACCAAGGGATCTCCTTCTCTAGCTGCTTTTCCCGGGACCGCTGGGTGCGGGCTCGCTTGATCATGTTCACATCACTGGGCCCTTCGCGGGGTCCACCATCAACGGCCGCCTCCTCACCGCGCCCCTTGCGTCGCTGTCGCTTCAGGACACGAGGAGGCACACGAACAAGGTCACGTCGTAGCCCACGTCGTTCTTCTTCTCCGTCCAGCTCCATGTCATACACAATCTCGCCAACGCCAGCAGCCCCAGCGTTGAGCATCTCTTCGTCTCCTTGGTCCTCGTGATCCTCGTCGTAGGCGCCCGGCTCATCGGAGTCGGCATTCAACAACTTGTCCAAGTCTTCTTGCGCGACCTTCATGCTGAAGGCCTGACCAAGTTCCTCGCCGGTTGCAAGCCGAACATGCTCTGGGGCACATAGAACACATCTCCCGGCTCGGGTGATCCATAGGTTCGTGCCTTCTCGCCCGATGACAGTTCCAGGTCCGACCCAGTAGCCCTTCTTGTTGTTCTTCGTCTTGCGAAAGTAGAAGACCCTTTCCCCGGTTTCTGGCGTTCGGCTTTCAACGCGGGCGCGCCCTGCAAGGGCGCGGCGAACCCTCTCATCGGTCTGGACATGGAAGTAGGCGGCCCGAGCGGCCGTTCGAAGTGCGACCTCACGGGCGTGCTTGTCGTCGATGATCGCCTCCTGTTCCGGGTGGTCAGCGTGGGGACCCTCAAGAAGATCTTCTGGGAGCCCTGGCATCGATCCAAACACATGCTGGCAAGGACTAAAACCGCTCGTCCGTGTCAGCTGGTTCTTTGCAGAAGAAACTGCGCTCACAGCGAGGTGGAAATCACTTTGGCATACAGATTGTTCCTCGCAGATCCGGCTGAAAAGGGACTTCCAGATAGCTCCTTGGCGTTCCGTGTAGCCAGCCTGGTGGTGGGCCTGTCCGGCCGCACTGCGAATGCGGGTCCCCGTCCAGTCGCCAATACGGGCCAGAGACTTCTCCAACCCGTTCTCCAAATCGACCGCAACCGTGGTCGGAGCCCCAAAGATCTGAACCCAACTCTCACAGAACGCCTTCTCGAGTGTAACGGTGTCCTTCCTCTGCACTGGCACAACGATGTGGTAGGCAGACGAGAAATCGACGATAGAGAGGAGCTGGTGTCGCCGGCCTTCGCTGTCGTGGACATAGAACAAATCCGTGCCGACCATCTCGTTGAACCGGTAGCAAGGGGCGATCTTAGCCGGTTTAGGGATAGCCGGCTGCTTGCTCCTTTGACAGACTTGGCACTCTAGGGCCTTAGCCCCTTTCAGAACTTCACGGGATGCCCCGGCCAGGCGTAGATGACGAACAAAATCGGCGGTGCTAGGGTGTCCAAGGTTCTGGTGTAGACGGCGCAGACTGGTCGCTATCGTCTCGGAGACGGTGGGCGGAAAACTGATTGCCCGGGCACCTCGTGGTAGGGGGCCCTCATCTTCAGCTCTGCGTTCTTCGCTTGGTGCAGGGAGCAACTCTTCCTCGCTCTCGTTGTCGCCGACGTACACAGAGTGGATCTCCCCCTCTGACTGGGCCTGGACAACCCGGATGTACTGATGGCCGTCCTCGGTGAAATCGTAGGTCACGTCGTAGCCCGCATCCTCCCAACCATTGGCTAAGCTCTCCCAAAGGAGAGGTTCTTCGACCTCCCTCTCCAGTACCACGGCTTGTCCCCTCCCCAGTTGGTAGCTGATCGCCTCGACCAAATCACGGAACACCGCGTCGCAGCCCCATTCGGGTAGCATATGAATCCAGAGCTGCCCGGGCCGGTGGCGGACGACCGCCGCCTCGATGTAGCCAATGCCCAGGTCCTCCGGGTGGTCGTTGGAAAGCACGTCCTCAGGGAGCAGGGGTTCCACGAGGTGGTCGCCGCAGATATCGTACTCAGCAAGCCGGCAGGTAGCAGAGAGTCCACCAACCTCAAGAATGGCGGTTGCAGGACTGACATGAGCTGGTAGTGCATCACGTACAACACCGCACATGGTCGAAATGGCCGTGGTGAACAAGACAGACAGCATCATGGCCGTTCGGCGGATGCCCTTCCGAACGCTCCGTTTTGGTCGCGAGCCTGAACCTCCTTCATGGGCGGTCTCCTTCTCCGGGATGTCGATCGCATAGTCGTCGCGCTTCTTGATCTCCCGGATCTCGGCCTTGGTGGGTACCGGGAACTTGAGGTCGTTCAGGATTTTCCTCTCGCTCTTGGAGGCTTCCGGAAAAGAGCGTGGGGTGTATCCCGCAAGAAACCAACGCTCGCCGTTGAAGGGCTCGGTGGCGTGGGCGAGCCGTGGATCGAACTCCCATCCTTGTTCGTGGGCATCAACAATGCGCCCCTCGATCTCTTGGCCATTTCCACTGCGGCGCCAAGTTCCGCCGCCCTTTTCCTGGATCCAGACCCCTCCTCCATTGCCGCTGCCAAAACTGACCAGGTAGTTGAAGCTGCCCTTGAGGTTGTTCCGGTCCGTGTGGATCCCAGTAGGTATGTCGCCCAGTAGTGCAAGGGCCGCCCACGTGGCCCGGCCTTGACCATGACCGCTTTCCCCAACACAATCAGCGAGGAACTCGTTCAAGTAGGTGGTCAACTTGGGCCATTCGGTCGTGCGGCGGCCGACTCCCTTGAAGGTGCCGTAGGCGTAGTACCCGAGGTTGCACCGCTTCCCTTCCTCACTTTCGCCATGCAATCCAGCACGACGGTGGTTTGTGGGCTTGAGATTGTAGTTCGCAAGGACCTTGGAGACGGTAGCGAAAGTAAAATCCCGTTCATGAAGTGCAGCTCCGGCAGCGTCTTCTCCAGGATGGGCCTTAGGACCTCGAGAACCTCCGTGTCGCGTAGCAAGGATCCCATGGTTCGAGTCTTCCGAACCAGAAGAACACGATCTAAAAACCTCGCCGGATTCGTAGTGCATGTCGTGTGCCCCGAGTGGGGCGCCTTGGTCCTCATAGCCATCACCAGGGTTCAGCCCTGGTGCGGTGCCAAACCGCACCTGTCGCGTAGGGTGGCCAGGCGCGCCTCGAGTGCCTGGATCTCGTCCATCGTGGCCGGGTCGATCTCCTGCTCCATGCGCTCGGGGCCCTCCGAGTCCTTGGTCTTCGTCTTGGCTGAGCGGTGCTTCGGCTTGGCAGCTGGCACCGGTGTTTGGGCCTCCCTCCACAAGGCCGGACGGCCTCTCGCATGCGGGTTGTACCCCTCGGAGAACGCACTCTCGTAGTCCGCCACCATCGCCCAGGACGACGAACCCGTCTCGCTGATCGGCGGCGGGGGCACTGTCGCGTAGGTCTCCGCGTCGAGGTAGGTCGGCTCCATGGTGCTCGCCGCCGCAGCCGGGGTGTTCTGTCCCTTGGACCTGTGATGTCGCCGCCACATCACAAACCGCTTCAAGTCGTTGTGCATGTTGGTTCCATTCTGGCGTTCTTCCTCCGACGCCCAGTCTCCGTAGTTGTCCGGGATCTGGGCAAACGTCGTCCCTCGGAACCGACCAATGGTCATGACGGTGTCCGCCGGGGCCGCTGCGTCCCTGATGCGCAGCATGAGACTCCCCTTTGTGTCCCCGGACTTCACGGTCAGCTCCATCTTGTGCGCCTCGGCCTTCAGCTCGTCCAGGTTCATGGACGACAAGCCCTTCGGCACCGCAACTCCCTTCCTCTTGGTCTCGTACTCCCGGTCCGCGATGAGGATCGTCCGAAGCTCTGGGCACGTCCACGCCTCGTTGAACGCCAGCTGCCGGCGCTTGCACTCGTCGATCAACTGGGCCTTTGTCATCTTCCATACTGGGAGCATGATCGACGGGACGCGGAGGGGCAACAGATTGAGCTCGATTGAACACACTGCGGCCAACCCACAAAGTTGGATACTCGCCAAGATCTTTGACAGCCCACTGCTCAGTCACTGTAGACAACATGCGTCGTGACATGCAACCGATGCCCCATGATTCCCTGACACTCCCAAGCTGACGCAGCAAAAGATCACGTAGGTGGGTTTGGCTTGTCTCCCATCTTCGAGGATCAAAGAACTTTCTTCGAGGAGTGATGTGGACCCGAACTAGTTTGTTGGGTAGCTCAATCCAAAAGTCGTTTACGAGTTCTGTGTTGGCCCACCATGTCACAAAGAGGTCCTCGTTAAGAACGTCACCCGTCAGCATGTCCCTAACAGCACCATCTATCTTCTTGTCGTAAAAGATCTTCGTCACCGCATCGACATCACCAGGATCCCTTTGATCATCGCCCAAAACATCCCCGCTGCAAGCAACCATGTACACCTCGCGAGGGCCGAGGATCGCGATTCCATGTGGCTCCCAGTTGTCAGGGAGCCTTGAAGTGTCCGGCTTAGCCAGCTTGGAGTGATCAACTACAACAGCAGGGTGCCCACTCGTAGTTTCCTCCAGTTCGACCTCGCCACCGTCGAGTGAGCGGAAGGTAGCAACGTTACTTCCAAGGTCCAAGACGAGGCCGAGTCGTGCCAAAGCCGGTCTCGAAAGAAGAAGGGGGATGTCCCCGTGGATCACCGAGGCCTTGATCGCGATGAGGTGGTCAAGAAGAGGTACGAGGATCACCGCGGCGTAGGTGGACTCGTAGATCCGGCTGGCGGCCCCAAACTTGAAGCTCTCCTTCTCATAAACAAAAACCACATCGTAGCCGCTTCCCTTGACATAGTCCAAGTACTTCTGAAGCCACCCAGTCCCAACCACAGTCTTAGAGCAAGCGGAGTCCAGGATCGCCTTGAGGCCCTCGCGCGTGCCCGTGGTGAGCTCAAACACCTCGTTGGTGACGTGGATCGTCTGTGCCTTGGCGCCGGAGCCTTGGTTGCCATTGCCAGGGAACTTGGGGCAGATAGCATCTCTGTGCCAGTGGCCCCGCTGCCCACAAGCAGAGCAGTGGGACTTCGCTTTGGCCAACTGGATTTTGGCCTCGGCAGCCTTCCGGATGCCACCCGAGTCGGCCTCAGTGGCTCTGTAGTCAGTTCCCCGTGCCTTGGCAGACTCTTTGTAGCGGGCCTTTGCTGTCATGTAAGTGAGGTAGAGTTCTTCGGAGTTGCATTCGGGGTCATCGTGAAGAGGGGGCTCAACATCCGAAGCCTCGCAGCCATCCAGGTCGTCCGTCTGGTTGACACTCTGGGGCTTCCCACGGAAGCCTGCCTTCTCCCAGGGTTTTCGCATCGACCTGTCCAAGACGATAGCCGCAGACTGCAAGGCCTTGAGAGCGTACTTGTTACCTACACTCGCAAGCAAGCTGACCTCCGTGGCCTCGTCGAGGTTGGCCCTGTCCACGAAGAGCCAAGCGTTGGCCACATCAGGCAGAGCGCAACCGCACTCTATGACTCTCGCCAGCAAGCGGTTGAACTCCGCGGCATAGTCCCGGAAGCTCTGTTGAGGACGCCTGCGGAGCTTCCTGAACAAATCACTCAAGGAGCGTCCCACCTGTGTGACCTCCACGTCCAGGTAGTGTTGACGAATCCATTCTCGTAGACGGGCCACGCCTTCAGGATGGGCGAGATCCTCAACATTCAAAGACTCTGAGTTCACCCAAGCAGAACCAGATAAGTGCTGGTATAGCACCAGCGCGCGTTGGTCTGGGGCCAACTTGGTCATTTTCTCCCAAGCATTCACTTGTCTCAGGTAGCTCCGCGCCGATGTTCCAAGGTCGCCGCCATTCTCGGTGTCCCCGGTGAAGGTGGGGACGATGAGCCGTTCCGTAGGCCCCTTTGTCCCTCCAAAGGGCTGGTGCACAGTCCCCGTAGACGCATCCCATGTCGCCGCAGGCCCTCCATTCCACGAACTTGCCGTAGTAGCTGCCGCGGTCCACGTAGTGGGCGGAGTCCCGGAGGTACTTGTAGAACCCGCTGTAGGCCCCACGTCTCCATCCCACCTCGTCCATGAAGAACTGTTCCATGTAATCGGCGCCGTTCCGCTGGTACCCGCAGAAGTCGAAGTAGAGACGTTGTCAGCTGGCATCCACTGCCAGCGGCCCCAGTCGCCTTGGGATCGCCACGTCCGGTTCCAGCGGCCCCAGCTGCCAGAAGTTTGAGTAGCCCAAGACCAGTTCGAGGCCCCGTTGCTGTCGGCGGAGTGGTTGCCGCCGTCGCTCCCTCCGTCTTGAGAACCTCTGCTGTCCCAGCGTGCCTGCCAGGCTTCCCAGTCTTCCCTTGTCCAAGGCCCAGATGCATCCCCGTCACCTGAGGTCCCATTTCCTTGGACTTCCCAAGACTGATCATCAGTAGCAGGAGTAGGTCGCGCAGCTTCGCGTTCAGGCTCGGCAGCAGCATCAACTTGATTGCCACCGCCCCAAGGGTCTGAAGTGGACCACGGGTCCGCATCATCAGGACTGGCCATGGAGCGAGAGGCTCCGCTACCAGTGACAGCTTCTAAGAGGGCCTACAGCTGCCACTGGTAGCTAAGGACCCTTCTAAACCCTAAGAAAGCAAAGGCGCACAGGCCTTTTCGCTGGGCTCGATCACATGTGCCTTCGGCGGACTCGTCTGAAACACTCCAGCGACCTGTGCGAGCGACTTCAGGCTTACACCTACACCCTGCGCCCAAAAAGGTAGGCAATCGGAGCCACAGAAACAAACCCTCGGAGTCCAGTTACCTAGCTAGTGAACCCGTAACCCCTGCTTAATCATTATACTGGCCATAACCCAGCAAAGGGTAGCTGAGGATGGGTTTTGGGTTTAGGGAGTTATCGTTTAGGAATTTGAACAAAAAACTGAAACCCTAAACCATTTAACAAGGGGCTTTAATAATAGGAATAGGGTTTTGGGTCCTATTATACTAGAATTGTAATAAGGAGCCGCAAAATAGTATAGGCAATTATTCAAGCCCCTATAGTATGGGCTCCCTAAATCGACGAAAGTGCCTGCATCGGAGGTGGAACTTCGCTCTCTGGGATCACCTCTCAAGGAACAAAGGCTTTCCTTAAGGAGCCCTTGATTGAAGGGCTCAATCAAGCGTTCTAGACTATAAGAGCTCCTATGAATGGTTTAGGGGTGCAGGGGCTTGGGGCTTAGCCTTACTTGGAGGATGAGAGGACCCAGGAGTGAGATTGCGCACTGATACATGCCTTTTTGTGGGACTCATAAGTACTTGTAGCATATTATCGCCTTGGTTGTAACCCTACTTACAGAATCCTCTGATCCTTCCAGTGACTGTGGTACTGCAGCGTTGAGGAAATCGTTTGAAATTCAGGTTTGGGAGCAAGTAAGGGTTTTCCACGGTTTAGGGCCAAGGTTTAAATCTCTACTACTAGCTTCAGCCTTCTTTGCGTCGTCAATGTCATCAACATCAGCATCTTCAGCATCACATAGTGCTTTCATTCACCCTTGGCCATGTCCTAGGCCCTAAAGTTCAATCCGGAGACACTCCCAAAGCCCTTGGCCCTAATCTCTACAACCCTTTCTAATCCTTAACTTACTCCATTTCGAAACCACTTTGGGCTTGACATCCCCAAACCCTACATCGCATGATCTTTGTGCCCGTTAGTCATGAAGTTTGCGACCTTTGAGAATTTCGGCTCCTGAGCCCCACCTTCCGCAAAATCTTACTTCAGGGGTTCAGGGTTGAATGGTTTGGGGTTTAGGGCCCAGTGTTTTAGAACCGAGAAACACCTCCTGATCAAACTCTAACCACCCCCTCATGAAACCGATACAAACCCTTCCCGACACAATCCCCGGTACACAGCTTCTGCAAGCTGTGCAACATCGGATAAGACCAGCATACAAACCAAAAGGACCTGCACAGAACCGCCTAAGACCTGTAGAAAACCTGTAAGGCCAATAAAGAATCGTTTGAACCTGCATAAAGCCCCAACAAAACCTGCATAAACCCCTTCGGAATCCTGCAACAAGTAAGATGGTGGGCCTCTTCATAATTAGAGTACGGTTTTGGGGCCCATGATACTACAATTATAATAAGGAACCCCAAAATAGTATTGGTAATTTAGGCCCCTATACTAAATCCTTCCAATAGCCCTTATAGACCCCTTTCAAGGAACCCTATGTAATCATTTTAAAAAATTAACAGAGGAGCGAATGACGAGAGGCCTCCGGGGGCGCACGCACTGCGGCGGCCTCGGAAAGCGAGGAGCTCCGGAGAAAGCTGCGATTCTCAGCTGGCTTTAGGTTAAGACGTTAGCTATCTTAGTTGTTTCTAGTTTGGGTAGGTTGTGACTTGTTCTACGGCCCTTATGCCGGTATAGTTTGCATTTTGATGCTCAGCTCGTTGGTTCTTGTTCTTTGTTTGTGTGTGTGTGTGTTGAAGACTATCAGGGTTCAGGGCTGCGGCCTAGGACTCTCCTTCGAACTTCTCAGAAAGGCATATATTCAACCTGCCTCTGAAAAGAGCAGCCCTACGTAATGTCAGGTAAAGTCCTCAGGTAATATAATATAGGGGGCCTAAATAATAGTCATCTATACTACTTCGAGGGACCCCTATTTTAATAATGGCGACATATTCCCCCAAAACCCTATTCTAGTTATTAAGGCCCCTATCTGAAGGGCCTCCAGAGCATGTCAGACTACGACCGTAGAGGGAACGAAAAAGGAGGGGGCTCCCCGGGCTCCTCTTCGACCATTAGAAGAATAACCTATACTTGGAGTCCCGGACAAATGGCGTAAAACCTTGAAAACCCAAACCTCGAAAAGTTTTCCCTAAACCCTAAAGGAATCTGAAAGGAACCCCAAAAAGGACCAGGAACCCTACAAGGAACCCTAAAAGGAACCCTAAACCCTAAACCCTCATAATAACCTGTTATATAGACCCCTTTACAAGGAACCCCAAACCCTAAACCCTCCGGGCATCCAGCAACGGGCGGGCCCAGAGGAACCTCGTCCTGTTCGTCTCGAAGAGGTCCCTGGCGGGGTTTGCCCGGCAGAGTATTGTAGGGGCCTTCGTCATTCTGGGCTTTTAAGTAACCAGGGAGAAAAAAGTATAAACTTTTATTTCATAAGGGCTCCTTTTAAGAAAAAAGTATTAAAGTATGGTACTCCAAAGCCCAGCATTAGAATAGGGTGTGGAGGGAAAATTGTATTATACTTAAAAACAGGGAACCCCCTAAACCCTGTTCTAAGTATTCAGGCCCCTGCATTAGATAGAGTATTAGGGTGCTCTCTAGGGCTTGCGGGTTTGAGGCTTAGGGTTGAGGGTGGTGGAGTCTTAGGTTGGTTTAGGCTTCAGGGTGACAGGCTTTGAAACCTTGGTTGTAGGGGGTCACAGTTTCAAATTACTACGGGTTTGGTGGGGTACGATAAAACCCCAACCAAACCGTGAAGTTTAGGGCTTCTAGGCTTTTGGGTTTGGGATGTATGGGGGCTGGGGTCTAGAGCTTCGGTCCTGGGGGGTTCAGGGCATGAGGCGAAAGATTTGCCTTGACCTGACTACTATCCATGCTGGTCGACAGCCTCAACGGCAACCAAAGACCCAGCTTCTAATACTCTGGGAAGAGGTAATCTGTGTGTCGAATTACATACAAGGTGGGCAAGAATCAATTTTTGGAGTTCTCCGTTGCAGAAGGAGCATTACCCTAACAAAAACGCTGTGCTTTTTTAAACTTAGATCTAGTCTCTCAGATCACTTTAGCTTATGTACCCTCTCTTCTTCAACAACCGGGCCCCCACAAGTTCAAACTTTCTAAGAGAGAGAGAGAGAGAGAGAGAGAGAGAGAGAGAGAGAGAGAGAGAGAGAGAGAGAGAGAGAGAGAGAGAGAGAGAGAGAGAGAGAGAGAGAGAGAGAGAGAGAGAGAGAGAGAGAGAGAGAGAGAGAGAGAGAGAGAGAGAGAGAGTGAGAGAGAGAGAGAGAGAGAGAGAGAGAGAGAGAGAGAGAGAGAGAGAGAGAGAGAGAGAGAGAGAGTGAGAGTGAGAGTGAGAGAGTGAGAGAGTGAGAGTGAGAGTGAGAGTGAGAGAGAGCTAATACATAAGCCCTCAAAAAATTAAAGTTAACCCGTTCACTATCTAAGATACCCTAACCAGCCTTAAACCCAAGCCCCAGATTCTCAGGTTCGTGAAGCCCTTCACCTGGGTGTACCGATGAATCCAATTTGCTGGAACTGTTGTTGGAACTGTTGTTGAAACAAGCCCCACATTAAGTACGAAGCCCTACTAATTTTCGGAAATTCTAAATAAGTCTTACTATATTCACCAAAACTGAATATGTAGTGACCCGACAAAAACACAAGGTGATTCAATCCACACCGACTTCGCATAAAGCCCGTCAGCTCCATGAACTTATACCCACTGAAGTCGGCAAAGCATTGCGACACAAACAACTCTCAGGGATCACATGTCCTGACACTTGGGAGTAAGGCACGGTAGGGCTTGAGGTTTTGGCACGGAGCGGCTCCACAAAAGAACAAACGTGAGGCCTCCGCCGGCGACGTCGGCGACGGCACCGCTGCCGGGACCTGCGGCACAAAATTAGGCACCTCCTCAGGGGCGTAAACTGTTCAGGCTATCGGGGTGTTGATTTCTTGCACTACGTACCATGCCATAGCCTACTGGTATTTCTTCTACTAGCACCTTACAGGAAACGACGCAAATCCCCAACCTCAAGCCCTTTGCGGTTCTAAATCTCGAAACACTGGGCCCTGTAAACACTTCTTGCAAAACCACAAACCCACCCGGAACCCCAGAATCGATACCTGGCTTCAGGTGAAGGCCTTGTGTCGTTCAAGGGTCTGAGCACTCGGTTCAGGGTTTAGGGTTTAGGGAACCCTAAACCCTAGACCGTGAATGTCAGAGGTAAACCCTAGACCCTTAAGCGGGTCTGCGGCATTGAGTGGATCTTATACGGATGCCTTGGTAGAGGGGTTGCGACAGATTTGCTGTAGATGGCTGTGACGGCTCACAGTAGGGGGTTTTGGGGCCATAGGCCTTCAGGGTTCGCGGTGGAGCCAATCAAGGTCATGCAGTTTTGGATGCTCTCCTGCAAGGAAAGTATCTTGAAGCAAGGGAGTCTGTCTGCAGCTCGTCTGGCTTTTGCCGAGTGCGACTGACTTCAAGCCAAAGCACAAAGATTATGAGGCCAACAGGCTCGTACCCGAGGGCCGCTGGTACCCAGTGTACTTACTTCTGAGCTCTCAGAATTATCACCTGAACCCCTCCTTACGATGGATAGTGCTGGTCTTAGGATTTGGGCTTGGGGTTTACCATGCAAGGATCTAAACTCTATTCTTGAGGAGTTAGGACAGGTAGGCGAATGACCATCGATCTCACGACACCCCATGTGGGTGCACCCTGAACCTAAGCCGACGAAGATCCACGTGTCCTACGAAAACCTCAATCCGCAAAAGTGAATGCCGGCCTCCTCCATGGGTGGCTCGGCAGTGGGCGCCTGCGCAAGGAGTCTGCTGGGAGCTTACAGGTAAAGGGTTGAGGGGTTTCGGGGTTGTTCAGGGTTTTGCAATGTGCGCTTCTTCGGGGCTGTCGAGGATATTGATTATGAATTCGTCTGCTTGTGTCTAGGGTTTGCGGTTGGGTGTTTGGGGGCTTAAGGGGCATCAAAAGCCGGCAACCAACGAGCAAAGCAACAACACTTGAAGCCCACTCTAACACCAGGCCTACATACTCTTTTTATGTTATTTACATATTATGACGAACCCTAGTGCTTGAAATACCCTTCGAAATCACACTCTAAACCCGATATCAACCCTAAACCCCCAAATCCTGAACTCCACACTCTCAACCCTGAACCCTATATAAACCCTAAACCCCAAACCCCTAAACCCGAAGCCCCGAGAACATACCAAATCCTATGACTCTAAAGCGCGAAACACAAAAAGACAACATCAAAGAACAAAGCAACAACTTTTGGCTCTCTCGGCGAGCCGGGCCTCTCGGGCAACTCGTGGCCGCAGCGTGACACGTGGAACCTGGGGGTTCGCAGTCAAACTGCCACTTTGCCGTGGGCTTTATACGGTTTCTGGGGAAGGGTAGTCTCAACCCCAAACCCTGAAACCCTTGAACCGAAGACTTCGGGCTTGCTGCTTCTCTCTTCAAAAGCTTCACGAAGTTGGATAGGGTCTGGGGGTTTAGGGTTTGGGGATGTTGGAGTTTCGGGGCTTAGAGCATATGGAAGTAGGATCCTGTATTAGGTTCAATAAGGGGCTCAACAGGGGTTTTCCGAAAATAGGGGACCCTCATCTAAGACCCTTATAAGTATATCCTTGTTCTGAGGACCCCCCCCCATTTTCGGTAGCTGCCATAATGTAACAATTCTCCAACAAGCTGCACAATGCAGAAAGACTGGCTCTTGGAGCCTTGACTTCGAGTTTTCGCATAGAAAGAGGAACAGGTTTAGGGCTTAGGGCCTTTAGGGTGGGTTTAGGGTTTAGGGTTGGCAAGGTTTATAAGGGTTTAGGGATTATATGGGTTTGGGGTTCTCGGCTTACAATGGTTGAGGGTTTAGAGTTCCAGGGCTGACAACACCGGTCTTGAACAGGCAACCGATCTGGGAGTAAACCCTCAACCCCGAGGACCCAGACTCTTCAACGGTATTGGGGTTTCCGATAATACCCTAAATAGCAGGACCCTGACTATAAGGACCCCCAAATATGGTACCCTAATTTTCGGAAACTCCCGTATATCAAATGATATCATAAACAAAACCTCGAACTGAGATTGGGCCTCAAAGGTAAACCCGAAAGCCCAGAAGCTCCAAACCTTAAAGCCCGAAGGCCTTCACCCGAAACATTGAAACCGTAAACATCTGAACATCGCACACCCTTAACCCTTGAAACCCCACTCAACACGAAGCCCCAAACGGCCAAACCCTAGCGGCCTAACCTGTCACTTTCGACATCCTAGGCCCCTGAAGCCGAAACCTCAGACCCAGGACCTACCTGTAGCCGGAACGACCTACCTTTTGAGGGTTCCTTATTATGGTTTCTATATATATATATATATATATATAATTCCTTAAAAAGGTAGGTCTTTTCGGCTACAGGTAAAACCCAAAACCTTGAGTCCCAAAGCCAAAATCGCATACTAAAGCTCCTAAGCCCAAAGGTTCTGGAGCCCAGCCGCTGTGGGAGCTGTGAGAGTTGCCGTTCGACTTGATGTCCGCGCTGTTGTTCGGGGCACCGTCCGCGACTGCAGCAGTTTTTTTTTAAGTCTTAGGGCGTATGGCATTCTGGGGCTCTGTAGGACTTTGGCGTTCCGTGCTTTGGGGTTTATGGAACATAACTTTGAGTGGGGCATACGAGGGCAGTATTGTGATGGCGGGTTGGGGGGTATGCTTCCAGCCTACCAAAACCTAACATGTGTAGGGTCCAAACCCTGGAAGGTGGTTTTCACTTGAAGTTAGTGACGTAATAAGGTCATTTTCTACTTCGACATTCTACATACTAAAGTCTCCATGCACTGTTGCTTTGGCATTGGATGCCACAAACCCTAAAGCCCCTGAGCCCTGCACACTAAAGTCCTTAACCTTCAATCCTATGTTTCTGGAGTCTTTGTAGCACCCTTGAAATATGAAAATAACGCCTGGAACCTCGAACGCCGTAACTCGCCGAAAAGCTGCCCCCAAACCTCTAAATACCCTGAAGCCCCACGAAGCTTCAAAACCAGAATCCTCCATTGCTAAAACTTCTTAACCCCTAAAAAAAGATACCCTCAAAACCCGACTGCATTCACACAGATCCCTGAACCTTGCACCCCTGTTCAACCCTCAGAGAATCCCCTCTCAAGCCCTTCTCGAAGCCCTCATTGGTCCCTGGAGATTGGACGCCACCTGCGTGGGTGCGTCGGCTGTTGGCTCGACCTGGCGATTCGGTTGAAGCTTCGCGTGGTACTTCCAGACCTACAATGATAGAACTGTAGGGGCTTTAACAGGCCCACATACTCCTATGTTAGCCAATTAGTTATCCGACCCCTATTTTCGTCCTGGGGTTCTGGCTGGGCTTTGGCGATAAATCCGAAGCAACGTCGGGTTTCCATGGGGTCTGCCATGGGCACAAACATTGGGTTCACTGGCCAAGGGAAAAGGGAGGTTCAGAAGTGAAAGGCTTGAGTGGAGTTTTGTAGAATTTAAATACCTACAGAGGCCTCCGACTTTTTGTCAAGCACGGATTTCGGAGGGCCGTTTCTACACACCTATCCGGTGCCTTCGAGCACTTAAAGGATCATCCAAAGGTTTGGACAACCCAAATTGCCCAAAAAGCCTGAGCCCTCTTCTACATAAACTTCTTCGCAGTGCGTGGCCACTCTCGACTTACCTCAACCCTATAGACCCCCAAAAACCCCTAACCCCTAAACCCCTATATAGATCCCTTATAGAAGCCTTATGGATCCCTTTAAAGGAAGACCTCCTCTGCGCAAAACCTCAGGGATGAGAAACCGCTGCCACCTCCACGAAAGTGCGCGTCAGGGTCTCTGCGGTGGGAACCGTCGCCTGGTGGGGCTCTGGGGTTCGTAAGGGAACCTGAACAGATACCCTAAGGGTCCAAGTAATCAATAATCATATACTTTCCCAAATGTTAGCCTGCACAACTACCATCCTAAACCCAAGAACCTGACATACCGACATCTCAAAGTCACAAAAGCAGCTTGTAGTCTAGCTATGTGACCCGAATATTACACGCGATGTACACCCCACAAAGAAGCCAATTCAACCCCCGAAAGAAGCCTGAAAGAACCTAGCAGGAAGCCTACTGTAGGCTCCGGTATTCGTCAGATTCCGTGTTTGTTCATGGCCCTTTGCCGACTTAGCCGAAACCCTAAACCCGAAACCTTAAACCCTCAATCCTAAACCCTAAACTCCAAATCCAAACCCTAAGCTCTCAATCCTACGCCCTAAACTCTAAATCCTAAACCCTCAATCCAAAACCCTAAATCCTTTACCCTAAGGGTTCCTAGGGTCTGTGGGAATTCGGGTTTAGGGATTATAGGTTTTAGGGTTCAGGGGTCTATGGTTCAGGGATTCATGCGGTTTCGGATTAGGGTTTAGGGATTACCTCGGATTTGGATTCAGGGACTAGGGCTTCGGAAAAGGGCATAGGGCTTAGGGCATAGGGTTTGGGATCGGGTTTAGGGCTTATAGGGTTGCTGTAAGGGCATGGGGCTTTGGGCTCAAACCGATAAGAAGGATCCACAGCTGCGAAGGTTGAGACTCCTGGTTTTAGGGTTTAGGGTTGGGGGGATATACTGTATACGATATAAATCCTTCCTGTCCTTCCTATCTCAACGGCTGCTTACAGCCTGAATCCTAAACCCTAAACCCAGCCTGTTGCAGATATTTGTCATCGTATACGCAAATGTTGTATTTACCGTCTAGGGCCTAAGGCAAGCCCACTCCTCACCACCGAAACCTCCTGCACCCTTACACTTGGACCTGAACGACCTCAACTGACCCCTACACTCGAAACCCGAACCCTAAAACCCAAAACCCTATAAGCCCTGAACCCTAAACCCTATAAGCCCGGAACCTAAACCCTAAACCCTAAAACCCTAAACCCGAAACCCTAAACCCTACAAATCCCAAGCCGCATCGAACGCAGAGCGCAGTGTAACAGAACCGGCCTCTGGGGCTGTGCGGGTCGGCGTGTAGGCCGTGGGAACGGCCTCTGGCGTGATTGTGGTTGGGGCCCAGGGAATGGGGTTTAGGGTGTAGGAGTTTAGAGTTTTAAGTGTTGGGGCTTTAGGGTTTAGGGGTTTAGGGTTTATAGGGTTTAGGCGTTTTAGGGGGTTATGGGCTTTAGGGTTTAGTGGCTTGGGGTTTAGGGTATTGGAGTTGAGAGCTTTAGCGGTTTACGATTTAGGTTTAAAGGCGTGACCTCAAGTCTTTTTTTACAAGTTTAGAGCCTGGGATCTATTGGGAGTTTAGTACTCCGTGTGTCCACCATTTTCACCCCTCAAATACCCTTCAATGACACACTTGTGTAGTTGTCAAAATTACGGTCCACTTATGGGTACCCTAAACAATAGGTGCCGTATTATAATAGGGGCCCAAAAAGGGACCCTAATTTTGACAACCACCCACACTTCTATGGTCCTCCCTCGTCATTGTCAGGGTCAACCCGGGAGCAGAGGCAAAGCCCCAAACCCACCCGGCCTCCGGAACAAATGAGGCTTGGCAACATTTTTCCAGTCATGTAAACTTAAGCCCCTTAAAACCCTTAGTCCGTCTTTCAGACTTCGGGAGCTTCAGACAATTTAGGAACCCTATGATATGGTTAAAGCCTGAATACTGGGATCTTTATCGTATATGCGGACCGTCTGCAAGGTACGGCTTTGAAGCTGCCTTCGACACGCGCTTCAGTCTCTATTCCACCAGTAGCTCGGGCCGCAGCCGTCGGCACTGTGACTGTCTCGCCTGCATGCACAGCCGATCAAATCTGCAGTGTCTCAGTGAGAGCTAGCCTCAACAGGCACTGAAACCACATAAACTTCAAACGGCTTGTAGCTTGTAGCTGGCCATTTAAGATACAGCATTAGCCCTTCAGGGGCTTAGGTGTGTGTGTCCATTGGGGACCTCACGAAAGAGCACCGAAGCCGAAAGCCACAGATGGACGACCATCACGATCCAAACCCCAAAGCCAACCTCTGCGTCCTGAAAATGTCGAAACCAGCATCAAGGCTGCAAGATGTAGCTCCACTCGCAAAACCACCCTTCTTTGTCTGCCCCCGCCACATTACTAGTGCGTGGTTCGTGCTGCAAAGGTCGTCATTGGTTTCACGGCTCTCTGAACACGTCTCTAATCGAGGGACGGAGTTATAAACTGGTAGTCTCCCTACTTCAGTTTACTAGAAGCAAGAAAGACCACGATAACTTTAAGGACCAAATGAGCCCTAACAGCAAAAAATGGACCATATTATCCCATCAAAGTTAAGGCTTAAAGCATGCGGTATAGCAACTCATACTTTTCCGGGGACATTCGGCCCCAAAAGACATTATCCCAATTTCGATAAGCCCACCTTCGTCCTCGCACGGTGTTGTCGGAGACGGCACGTCCGTGGGCACGGGCATCTCGGTCGGTGATTCCGGCTGACCTGACTTCTTGAGTCTGGGGTATGGGGTTTAGGGGAATCTGAAGTATTTTGCACCATAAGGATGCAGGCTAGCGCCCTCAATAGCTAGTCAATAGTCGTATCAATACACTCCCTTGCCCGAGTGACAGAAAGAATAGAAAGAATATGTGCGTGTGTGTGTGTGTGTGTGTGTGTGTGTGTGTGTGTGTGTGTGTGTGTGTGTGTGTGTGTGTGTGTGTGTGTGTGTGTGTGTGTGTGTGTGTGTGTGTGTGTGTGTGTGTGTGTGTGTGTGTGTGTGTGTGTATGTGTGCGTGCGCGCGCGCGGATGTGTGTGTGCGCGCGGATGCGCGTGTCTGTGTGTGTGTGTGTGTCTATGTGTGTGTGTGTGTGTGTGCCTGTGTGCCTGTGTGCCTGTGTGCCTGTGTGCCTGTGTGCCTGTGTGCCTGTGTGCCTGTGTGCCGGTGTGCCTGTGTGCCGGTGTGCCGGTGTGCCGGTGTGCCTGTGTGCCTGTGTGCCTGTGCGTGTGTGTGTGTGTCTGTGTGTCTGTGTGTGTGTGTGTGCCTGTGTGTGCCTGTGTGTGTGTGTGTGCGAGGGGACCATATTCAAATCAAATTGTGTATAGCCTCTTATCACCCCCCCTGAGTCCAAACGAGGACACAAGACTAGTGGTATTCAGAGCTGGCTTGATGCCTTTGTGGTTTGGCAAACTGCTGAATGTACTGCTGAGATCCGACCTCACTATTGGCTCACTTTGTTTGGGCCATAGTCGTTGGGGCATCCTTTATCCTTGACGGTTTCAGAAAATTAGCCTACTGAACTCTAGCAAACACTCATTGCGAAAGATGAAAGCTGCTTTGGGTCCAAGTTTCGTGAAACCACCAAGTCGATGCTGCATACATACATTAAGCCGGCCAGCAATGCCCCTGCAGAAAAGCCCCAAAGAACCCCTTAAAAGAGCCCTAAAGAAGGAGCCCCTAAAGACTCACTTTAAGAAACACCTTAGAGGAATCCGTAAAGGAACCCGTAAAGAGGGAGCCCCTAAAGAAGCCAACCCTTAAAGAGACTCCTTGAAAGAAACCCGAGGAGCCGTTCAGCGGGGCCTTAAAGGAGCACTTAAAGGAACCCTTAAGGCCCTTCAAGGACCTCTTTAAGGAGCCCTTAAAGGAACCCGTAAGGCCCTTAAAAAGGACCTCCTAAAGGAGCCCCCTTAAAGGAGCCCTTAAAAGGGGAACCCTAGAGACTCCCACTTCCGCTTCTGTGAAGGCCCCGGACCCGAGGATAACGCTGCCGAGCTGTCCATGGCGGCCTTCGCTCGACTTCGCGCTTTTTGTGAGGTGGGGGGCGGGGGGGGGGGGGTTAGGGGTGTCAGGGGCTCTAATCTAAGGGCTTTAGGCTTTAGGGAGTTCAGGGGTTTGAGGTTCAAGGGTTTAGGGTTCAGGGGGTTTAGGGGTTGAAGGGTTTAGGGGCTTTAGGGGTTTTAGGGGGTTAGGGGCTTTAGGGTTTAGGGGTTTAGGTTTTAGGGCTTGGGACGGTTAGGGGCTGAGCTTTAGCTTTCAGGGCTCAATTAGGATTTTTCTTGTGGGGTGGGTAAGGACAGCAGGTTTAGGGCTTGATATGGGGCTTAGCAGGGTGTCGGTTTCGGACTTCCGGTTTGTTGTTTTAGTTTCCTTGAGGGGGGTGGGGTGCGGTGCTTGTTGTTTGTAGGATACTTCTTGAGTACACCCCTTATGACAGCAGTGTAGAGAGGGAGCGCCAAACTCCGAACCATCAACAACCTACCCAAACCGCAAATCCCTGCAACCAAACCCTCAATCCTACAATCTAGCCTAAACCCCGACACCTTATTCTTAGGACTCACCCAAGGAAATCAAAGCCGAAGTCCACGTCTGTGTCATTGATCCTTTCGGCGAGGTCTGGTAGGATTAAATATAGCCGCCTTAAACCCCACCGAAAAATCATAAACGATAAACCCTATAGAACCACAAAACCTGAAGCTCTTAACTTAGCCCGAAACCGAAACCCTAAACCCTAAAGCCTTTAACACGCGTCCCTGTTTTGCCTTTAGCCTTCTATCCTGAAGGTAACTCGCCAAGACCCAGACTGGCACAGAGGCTGCCTGTTGATAGATTCCTACTGGGTTTGGGGGTTTAGGTCAACATAGGGCTTTATGGGTTTAGGGGCTGAAGGTTTAGCATTTTTCAGAGCTTCGGGTTTGAGGTGCCCCAAGGATTCCTTCAAGGCTGCCCTTAAGGTTCCGTCAACGGTTTAGGAGTGTAGGACCTGAGGACAAATTTGCGGAGTTTAGACTTCGGAGATTAAGGTCTACTCGGAGACGCTCATGAGGACTTAGTCAGCTAGGTTATATGTACCTAAAAAGGATTATAAGTACAAGTACTACGCAATCTACGACATGTGTTGTTGCCTTACTTATAACCCTTCTTATGAAGTCCTCAGATCTTCGCTGATGGCTCTAAACCCGACACCGAATCCTGAAGCAAGGTCGTGGCTGATGCCGACATTTTGGCTGCAGCTGACTCCGGAACCTGAGCCATATTGGGTTCTCCCGAGACCCTTATGTAATGAGTCCTACTTTGCGAGTAAACATCAGAGGGCATTGCCATGTATTCAGGACCCCAATAGCGGCTCCCTCCCGACTGCGGCCCATATGCTCTCCAACGATGACTGTAGCTCATACGATGTAGTGCCTTTTACCTTCTCCTAACACCTCCATCACAGCACTGAGAATATGCAGTACTCCAAAACGGTCCTATATACGCCCGCCATGATGCACAACACGAAACTGCGGTCGTCGCAGCGAGAACTCGATAACTACGGGCTGGTGTTCTTAGAGCCTCATAGCAGTACCTGACCCCTTCGAGCAACCTCAACGGATACAGCACCCCATCCTAATTCTCAAGCCGTACAATACTAACCGATGAAAGAGTATAAAGCCCCTTCCTCCGGATTTCCGCAGCATAAGAACAAGCTTTGCCCTTTCAAGCCTCTTAAACATAATGCACATACCAGGGATCCCCTTGACCCAAAGACGGGTTGTTGTGCTTCAGGCTTTGGGGAGGGTTTATAGGTGTTTATGGTTGAGGGTGAACAGAATGATGTCACATTAGTCAACTGAAGGAGAGCGACCTCGCACGGACAAGTAAAAGGAACGGTTGAATGAGGCCGTCAGAACAAGAGGAAGCTGTCTTCAGTTCTCAAATCTAATTAGTCAGGTTTAACCAGTATTGGTAGGTAATCAGGCACCGATATTTGTTGAGTTGCGCAGGGCGTGGACCAACTGCCCGATACCCCGAACCCTGAACAACACCTCACACCCGAACCTGCACATAAACCCTTTATGAAACCTTGTGGAAACCCTTTGAAGACCCTATCAATCCAGACAAAGCCCCTGATCGACCCTGAGTCGAGGCCGCTGCCGCTGCTGGCTGCAGCACAGCAGGACGGGCCTCGTCTAAGATCACTTTAGCTTGGATAGCTTAGGGTTCGGGGCTTGTTTGGTTTGAGGGTTTAGGGTTTAGGGCTTGCTTGGTTTAAGGGGCCTTCTACAACCCTAGTAGTTCAATTTATGTTTTTGTCTTCGACATGAAGGCATGTGAACGTCATCTTCAGTTTCTTGTAGAGCGCCTCTAACTCCTTGCCTCGTGAAAGTCCGAGTAAACAGTTGGTAACTAGTCTGAAACTTGATGCAACTGAAGCATAAAGAACCTAAGACCTACATGCTCTGGGTTTTAATGGCCTTAAACTGACAGGCTTGAGGCAGAGTTCTGGGATTTAGGGTTGGAGTTTGGGCGTCTACGAAGCTTGGGCCCCGGTAACAAGATGCAGGGTTCGCATCCCCTAGGTTAAACGAACGCCTGCAGGCCCGTACAAGCCTAGGGGGCCTTAACAACTCGAGCGGGGTTTGAGGGCAATATTATTCTCAAACGATACAGGGCCTATCATAGCACTACAAATTTATCCAGACTTCCATAAAAACCTGCTTGCAGGAACGGCCAGTAGACAAGAATGCACAAACTTGCCCCTCCGCGCAAGTGCATAGAAGAAATCTCGGCAAAATCCAAAACTGCAGCAAAAAAACATCCGGAACCTGGCGAACACAGAGCACAAACAGCTAGGTTCGCAGGCTGCAGGTGACGTCGGTGATGGCCTGTCCTGGGCTGGAATCATGGCTGGGAGGGCTGCAGTGGAGGGCTTCATATTTCTGCTATAAACCCCTCATATAGGCCCTAAACTAAAACACCAAGTCCTAAACCCTAAATCCTGAAACCTAAACCTCTAAAGCCAGAATTCCTCAAAATCCTGAGCCCCTCTACAAACCATAAACCCTACACCCGAGACCCCAAGACCCTAAAAACCCAAACCGCTAAAACCTCATTATAAGGACCCCAAAATACTGCACCCCTACTTTTCGGAAACTCCCAGTTCTAGACCTTGGGTCCTTGTTATAATTCTAGTATAATGGGCCCCAAAAACCGGCCCCTATAGTAAACCTTCAGAAAGGGCTCCGTGGGCACTGGCAGCTCTGAAGGCGATGCAGGAGCCGCCTTGGGGGGCGGGTTCGGGCTCTGGGTCCTCTCTTACCTTTGGTTAGTAGGGAATGGAGGGAGCCTTGTAAAGGGGACTAGAAGGGTTACTATAAGGGATCTATAAGGGTACTATAATACAGGGGCGGTTTCGGTCTCAGCGTCCTCTGGGCCGTGGTGAGTAGGGAAGGGAAGAATGGTAGTAGTAACAGCTTTCAAAATTGTACACCATTCCTCCATTCCCTACGAACCCAAGGTAGGTCCTTTGGGGGTGTTTGGGGTTCCTTTGTTTGAGGGTTTAGGGCGTAGGAGGCTTATAGGGTCCCTTGGGGTTCTCGGGGTTCCTTTGGGCTTTGGGGGTTTGAGGGTTTCGGGTGTAGGGGGCTTATAGGGTTTTGTTTAGGGGTTTGGTGTCTCTGGGGTTTTTGGGGTTTAGGTCTAGGTGTTTTAGGGTTTAAGGGCTAAGGGGCTTATAGGGTTTATTTAGGGGTTTGGAATCTTTGGGGTGCAGGTTTAGGGTCTCGGGGCATGTGGCTTCCAGGCTCGAAGGGTTTAAAAGGGTTGGGGGGTTAGCCGTTAGCCCCTACTCTTAGGGGCTCAGGAGCTTCGGGATTTGGGGCTTGGATGTTTCGATGCCGGCGCGTTAATAATCAGAATGTGGTTTTTGGGGGCCCATTTTCAAAAAGGGACCCCCAAAAAATAGTAAAGTCAAATATGAGGGCCCCTACATTAGTCACACCGGGCATTGCTGACCATCCAACTGATCAGGCACCGCTCTGCTGTTGTGTTGATGTCACTGCTGCTGTTGGCAGCTACATGGGACATGTGGCTGCAAGATTGCCATCTCAAAGCTTGACTCGAACAGCTCAACACGATGCTTCGAAGCTGTGGTGGTGTTGTGGGCAACCCAGTCGCTCCAACGGCAAATAGAAAGCGCAGCAGTCTGCTGATTAAGAACGTACGAATGCAACACTTACTCCCCATCATGTGGGGTTTTCACAAATTCAGCTCCCATGGCAGCCCCTTCTGAAAACAAAAGGGCCCATGTACCTACATAGTATATACGGTGGCAAAAGGCAGAAGTTCCGAAAATGAAAATACTTGGTACTGTAAGGCCAAAGTATATACGATATGAGCACATGACCCTTAGGGTAAGCTTGAAGACTGTCGGGCCCGTACAAGTTCTATTCTTGCAGATACGTTAGAGCCCTGACCCGTGTAACATACCTGTATGCTTAAGCCGGGAACGGACTCAGGGTGAACTGTAAACTTTTTCATGCCAAAAGACTTAAACCGTTTAATGAGATCGACCCTCAACCCAGACACCCTTATTTTAACGCTAAAGCAGACAGCCCAAAGCCCCCGACCCATATTTGGCCTCTGTCAACTATTTATCCTAAATCCTGAGCCACACATCCTAAGGTCCGTGCCGAAGACGACACCAAGGGTGCCGAGGCCTTCCGGACAAGCTCCGGCTTGAGAATCCCGTGCTGAAGTTGTAAGGCTCCGGGGAGGTTGAGAGGGTTAAGGCTCGGGGGCTGGCTTGAGGGTTTGGGGTTTTAGGGATAAGGGCTTTGAGATTTGAGATTCCATCGATTCTGGGTTTGGGGGGTTGTGTGGTTTAGTGTTAGAGGGTGTTTTTTGTTGATGTTTAGGGTATTGGGATCCTGATAGGGCTCGGGCTGGACATTAAGATATTCAGCTCAAAGGATTTCTGCGGGTCCACGGTTTTAGCGTAGATTCCTGTTTTGATGTGGGATTTCTGCGGGTTTTGGAGGAGGCTACACTTTGCGATTTAGGGCCAGGCCTTGAAACAAAAACCAAAGACCTGAACCCTTGAACTACAATTCCCGCTTAGGAGCCCAAGACTCAAAAGTTGATTACACCCCCTGACTCCATAGTGGCCTGAATATTCGGACCAGGGCCTTGGGGCATATGATGCAAATCTGGTAAGAGCCCTAAGGAGTAGTTCAGGTAATGATTTCGGCCGTTACATGTAGTTGATCACATTTATCAACTACCACGGGCATTAGGCCCTGCTTCCCTGCCATAACAGGAACCAGAAAGAAACTACAGCTCCTGGACCCTAAAACAGGGGCACAGGCGCGAAGCCCCAAACCAGGTTAAGGAAGTTGACCTATTAGTAAGCTTAGGCTAAAATCACGTCCCCACGGGCGCTGCCTCTGCAGACAAGGGAGCCTCGGAGACACGGCGGAAAGGGATTCAGGGTCTGAGCTTAGGCTTCAAGAAAGCGAACCTGAAACTCGAGAGCTAAGTGATAGGATGTTAGAATCTTGGTCTAGCAGGTACAGGATGCCGCCGACTGAGCTCAGCCGGAAGGCAGAGAGAGAGAGAGAGAGTGAGAGAGAGAGAGAGAGAGAGAGAGCAGGCCCGACGGCATAATGCCAGAAAGCTGGGCGTACTATATGTCTGCGACATATACATGCGATCAGTAGGTTCCTATGATTTCTAATTTGGGGTTTTGGCCAGGATCCTAAAAGTAAGTAGGTATACGTTGAGCCTAGCAAAGCCTACTTTGAAGGGCCCCACCTAGAGACCTAAACGACCTAACCCTAAACCCTTCCTCAAACCCAAAACCCTACCCACAACCCTACCCAACACCCGAAACCCTACCCAAAACCCAAAACCCTATCCCAACCTTAAAACATGAACCCAAAGACCTACTTTGGAAGGTCTGGAGTTTAGGGTGCAGAAGCCCCTTCTTCTTCAGGAACACCCCCAAGAAAGCCTGGCACCCGAAAGCACGCGCCCCCCAACGCTAGGCTTCAACGGTTCAGGTTTCTGGTAATTAAAACCCCCAAACCCTGGGCCGAAGGCTCGAGTGTTCCAAGCTCGTCTCAAATCAACCTTTGTAGAAGCAATACACAATATCCATTCGGTGATATCGAAGTCCGATAAACCGCTGGCACATGCTAACAAACCTATATGCAGCCAGAAACGCTAACAAACCTCAAATACGACAACGCCTTTCTACCCTGAGCCCTCAAAAACCCCGCAACAAACAAACCGCGAAATCTTAAACCCCATAAGACAAACCTTGCAGGACCCTTACAAAGAGACCTGGGTACTCACCTCGATGCCTATTGCGCGAGGCCCCGGCTACTGCAGCAGCTTTCGGTTTTACCTGGGCAACAGAGGCTCTCGGGAAAATGACTCTAAAGTCCCATTGATGCGGCTTTAGGATTTGTAGGGTTTTAATTCTGTAGTTTGATAGAGCTTTGAGGAATGCCAGAACACAGGCATCCTTTCATCGATCCCTTCTCATAGGCCTTCATATTCGGCATTTAGGCGGCAAAACAGGGAGGTACAAGCCCAGACTCAGGGTTCATTGGCTTGCTGTTGCGATGGTTTCGGGTTCTGGGCTTCGGGGTCTTGATGTTTAGGGTCCTCGGACGTTAATAAATGGTCGCCTTCATCATGGGGTACCTACAAAAAAGAGGGTTAAGGGGTTTGCAGACATCCCGCTCTTAACAAGAAGCCCAAAACCAAAAGTCCCCTAAAAGACTCTTCAACGGTCCTTCATAAAAAGCAACGGGTTTTGCGGCAATAGCCCAGTCTCCGAACCCCCTAAGCTCTTGTTGTAAGTTGAGGAATGTTCCCTGAATGTGAACCGTTAAAGTCTCAAAGGTCAGACGACCCAGCAAGTCTGAAAGCACATGTTGAAGTTTCCTGTGGTTGCGGGATTCGTTGTTTAGGGCTAGGCCCAGCTAGGCGCTCAAAGAGGAGAAGTGTAGGACTTCGACCGTAAGTGTTTAGGCTTTTGGGATGCTGGAGGCAGGCAACCTAGAGGTACTGTAGGGGCCTTAATAATTAGAATATGGTTTTGGGGCCGATTATGCTATAATTACAATAAGTAACCCCCAAAATAGTATTACTGCCATCAGAGCTGCAATCATGTCGTCTGCGACCTCTGAAAGCATCAGGATCATAATCACCATCGTCATCATCAGCACCACCATGACCACTACACTCACTACCACCACAAGCGTCTGAGGAGCTCTTCAATTTCACGTAGAAACAAACAAAGGAGTTCCGAAAACTAGGGTTAACTTGTATTTTGCGGTCCTTATAACAAGGATGCGCCTAATTAGGGTACTATATAGGCACAAAAAGCCACTTACCGTAGCTTTTCCGGCAACCCGTTTAGAAACGATGCTAACCCTTTGTCGTAATAGCCAGTGTTGATGGGAGACCCCCCCCCCAAAAAGAAAAAAGGCCATTCAACAGGGCATTGGGGCGCTGCTGGAGGTACCTAGCAAGCACCTTCGAAAAAGAGCAATTAGAATGGACACTTTTTTAGAACCCCATAAACCCTTGATTTTATGGTGTATACCAACCTACGGAGGAGCTATAAACCCTCCTTGCACCGAAGCCTGGCGATATCTGAAAGAGTTGACATGATGTGCTGAGCCAGCGGCCACCGGAGACGTCGGCGACGGCTTGTCCGTGGGCACCGGTAGCTCGCTGGGCGACTGCGGCGCTGCCTCAGCCAAAGTGCTTTAGCAGGTGGTTGTTTTAGAGGGTCTTCGAGGGTGGTACAAACTGTGTCTGGGATGTAAGTGCTTTTTCTGCTAGGGCATGGAAAATACAGGATTAGATCAAAAGTTTACGGACCATGGCGTTCAGGGCTTAAGGCTTCAGGTTAACGTTATGGGTTGAAGGACTTAACGTTTAATGCTTGTGGTGTACCGGCAATACGAACCCTGATATAAGGGGTTCTTCGCCCCACCTTCCTTTGCATTCCAGCACACAAACCGCTCACAGTCACAGACACAAAGACAACAAAAACAGAATCTCTCTCTCTCTCTCTCTCGCGCGGTCGCTCGCTCTCTCCACACCCGAGTTTGCATGCAGAAGAATATGCGTGCTTACATAGTAACATAGTACGGTACAGGAAGAGGACACACACACACACACACACGATTCTCGAATCGCAAGTTCTCCACCCCGAGAGCTTAGGATTTAGGATTTATGTTTTAGGATTACCCTCCCTACTATGGCAGCACCAAGCCCCTCAAGCTGAAGGTCCTTAAGTCCTAATTACAGCCCTGGGCCTCGAACCCTTAAAACACCCTGCCTGAACCAAGAAGCCCTTCATCCTGAAAGCTGGCATCCCCAAGCCCCAAAGTCCCGAACCTCAAGTCACACTCAAACCTACAGCCGTGGATCCTTCGACACCGAATCTTGAAGAACACTGCCTTAAGCCTCATGCCTGAATGTTTGACCCTAAAACCCAAATCAGATTGATTCTACAAGCCCTGTGAAATCAAACCCTAGCCCAGCACTTGCACTAACTTCACCTGAACCCAAAGCCGTGCCCAATCACACAAACATCCCAAACCTGAAACCGAAGCCGCTAAGGCACATGAATGTCCTGAGAAATCATGAACGATGATCTTCACTTTCCCTTTCATCCACACCTTCACCTTCACAGTACATCGCCATCATCATCATCATCATCATCATCGTGAACAACATCGCCATTATCATAATCATCATCATCTGCTTCTACATTGTCATAATTCTCGTCATCGACGTCTTCACAACCGTCACCACACTAAGGAGAATCATGACAATCTTGAAACCTATCAAATCATGGCAGTCCCATTAGCCATGATCATCAACATTCCCACAGTAACCATGGTAGTTAATGTTAATAATTAATAACCGTGACATAAATCATCATCAATGATTTAATAACCGTGACATAAATCATCATCACTATCTTCATCGCCATCATTATACCAGTAATGGAAAATCTCTGGGAGCACCCGGCCGAGGAGGAAACGACCGGAGCCGATGCCTCGGACTTGGAGAGCTTTAACTTAGACGCATTCATTGTTGGAGCAGGGTTTATAATAGTGCATCTAAACCAGATGCACAACTTTTGTAACACGGCTGTAATGTTTGGAATTTAGTCTTGAGCGGCTTCTACCTGAGTTTTGTAGGGTTTTGCATGTTTTGTGGCATTTCAGTTCGTTTCCCTAGTTGCCAGCCCCAAATAACATGTGGTTCCTTTTCCGCTGCTCAGCTGTAAAGGGAACCGCCCACAAAAAAAGGAATGCAGGGTAGTACTTGGAAACCCAGTCTGGGAGTTTAGGGGCTGAGCCTTTTCGTAGAGCCCTTACAGGATCAAAGGATGTGGCCCTAAACCCCCGAAACCCTACAGCCGCAAACTCACAAGAACCTCCAAGGCTCCCCACAACCCCTAAGAAAGAAGTAGGGATCCCTCAAAAATGGAACCCCTCATTCAGGGATCTTGGAGTCACTGGGATCCGGAGTACCAAGAACGCCCCCGAAGATCGAAGAGATCTTGGGTCCCTGCGCTGCCCACCATCTGCGCAGATCCGGCCTTCCATGAATGGAAGGGGGCCTTATAAAGGGGTCTATAAGGGTTACTATAAGGGATCTATAAGGGTACTATAATATAGGGGCCTTAATAATCCTATATCTCAGAATGGTAGTAAATTGTAGTTATACTTGTACCCCATTCCTCCATTCCCTACTGACCAAAGGTAAGGTTTGGGTTTGGGGGCTTAACGGTTTGAGATGTACCAGGGTTTAGAGAATGATTGAGGGTTCGCAAAAAGACCCTGGAGGAGGCTCAGGGGCTTAAGGGTTTGAGATGTTGAGGGTTTAGAGGCTGAGGGTTTAGGCTTTAGGGCTGATGGTTGAGGCACGAGGGATGAAGGTGTTATAGGGCGTAATTATTGTTCCCATGAACATGCAATCAGACAACATAGCCCCACGGACCCAGACCCCTCACTTCCGGAAGTGTTCACATCTCTCAATTCCAACCTGCATTCAGTAATCCTCAAGCCCAAATGCCGGAAGCCACAATGACCAAAACTGTTACGCAAACCCTCAGAATCGCAATCCTTCAACAGTGAGTGTAGCAGTGTAGCAGCGTAACCCTAAATTCCGAAAGCCCTGAAGCCTCTATGGCCACATCTGACATTTACACCGAGCCAAAGACAACCCCGCAAATATCGAGGGCCTCAAATGGTGCGATGAAGGGGTAGGAATAAGGATCCTCTATATAAGGACTCTTTTTGGGATTATCCCCACCTACCTTCATCCCACCCTTGAAGCACTTTGCAAACAGAGAGCACCCTCAACTACCGAGCACCCCCTCCTGGCGAGGTGGCGGTATCGGCTGGAAGGGGATCTGGCAGTACGACCCGCGGACCACCGTTGTGTGTTAATACAGGGCTTAGGGCTAAGAATCTAGGATTTCGGGTTTACGGCAAAGGAATTAAGGGTTGAAGGTTTAAGGATTAGGTGGGTTAAATAGAAGGTCCAAGATGAAGTGCTTTGCGTGCCTCCGGTTTAGGATTTCAGGTTGCAGCATGCCCGCTCATTGGGGACTTAGCGTCTTAGCGAACACCCACACTGAGCTCAATACCTTCCATTGAGCCACATCACTTACCCGTAAGACATATTGCATGGAGCTCAAGGCTAAGGGGTTTGAGACAGAATCACAAGTGCAGTTTCGAAGAACAAACTCTATAGACTCTATACAAGTCTTTATCACTACCTGTAAACCTTAAGGTTTGGGACCTGGGCTAAGTGCTAAGGGGAACCCGGCAGCAAGCGCTTGGGTTTCATATGCGGGTCTGTATCATCCTCACAGGGCCTTAAGATACTTCGACCTGTTTTTGTTTTCAGTTTCCTGGGCCGACGTAGACTAATCGAAAACGACTTCTCAGACCCTGTAAGGCTTTAGGGTTTTGAGGGTGTGCTAATTACCACCCCTAAGCGTGCTAGACGAACATTAAACAGATGTTAAACGACCGAGCGAGGTTTAAAAAGTCTAAGCAGGGAGCCTTGGAAGTGTACGTTGTCAGGGCTTTGGTTTTGAAGACGCTTAACTCTCAACGAGTTGGCACTTAGCCAAAATGCCAAAACCAAATGTCAGTAAAAACAGATGGGGTCTTGCGCAGACTTCCCTGGGAGCATATGTACCTCTAGTATATACGTTGGCCATAAAGTTGCTATGTAGGAGCCCTAATTAAGGCCAACTTATATACTGCGTAGGTCACCTGGCGTCTTTGGCCTTGCGTGCTGAACCCATGAGCCCCATACCCCAAACTTTGAAAGTTAAGGGCCAAAGCTTCTCGGTCTAGGCCACCCTCCAAACACTCATCACACCTCATACAAACTGCTTTGGAAACAAATCCAAAAGCCAGACCCGTGTAAAACGCTCCAAAACCATGGAGTTCACAAGGGTTTTATGAAGGGATATTTGAGGTTGCATTTGCATTTCGAGGTCTTTACACGGCTTTGCAAAGGATTCGAAGGTCCTGTCTAGTCCTGACCCATGTAATAGTACGATTCCGGTTTGGGGGCTGTCATGTTGCTGGACCATTTGAAGGGTTTGGGTTAAGCTATCGCGCGTGGGTTTTACGTCGGTGCACCCCCAAAGCCCGAGTGTTATCAAACAACTCACCGCAAGTCGGGCAGGGAATTTTCCAAGCGCCGTTGGGCTGCCGCACTGCTCCCGATCCAGGACGCGCCAGACGCTGCGAGCGCGTGTGTCTGTTCAATTGCGATGCAGATGTAAACGTCAAGCCGCAGCCAGGCAGCTGGCACACAAAGTCCCCGGAGGATGAGGACCGTGCACCCGGTCTCGCTAAAGCAGGCGGTGGGCCATCCTCAGCATCTGGATTCTGCGAGCAGCGCGCCTCATGTGTAGTGCGGTAGCCCCCCTAGGGCCAGGGACAACCAGGCACACAAGTGATTGACTTGGCAATGTCAAGCACAGGCACGCTGCTGACCTCCTCAGATCAGCGCACTCGGGGCACACGGCCCTGCAAGTGGTACACGGAAAACTGAAAAATCTGATCAAGAAAACAAGTGGTGCAACCGAAATCCTCAAGAGTCCTTACTAAGACCTCCGAAGGAAGCTTCAAAGAGGGTGCTGTATTCCTTAACAGCGGGTTCCAACGTGTTGCGGGTTTTCAGGCAGTACTGCAGGGAAGGTGGGGGGTCCAGGTAAACCCACAAATCCGGGTCTTGGTCCCAGGTTGATTACCTGCAGTCGTCCTCAACCCCACACTTCAACATGCTGCCTCCGTGGGCACCGGCATCTCCTTGCGTAAGGCTTATCGGTTCATCCTTTGGGGTTTCATGGTTCAGCATTGGAGGGGCCCCGAAAAGCCATCCTGATCAATCAATGTACATAAATCTCCAGGGTTCATCATGCTGAAGGTAAATTTGAAGCTTATGCTCCTAAAGCCCATAGACCGGAACCCTGAAGCCCAAATGCATCAATGTGTGTGAATGATTTGTCCGCGGTATTCTCCTATACAAACCCTCTTCGAATTATTAAAACTCCTAAACTGCACTAAACTCTTGCACCTCGGAACCCTCCACTTTCCTTCTCGTGTCCAAGCGCCGAAGGGTCCGGGTTGAGGAACACCCTACTTACAGTGGTGGTCGACATAGTAAGCAGGGTTGTAAGTAAGGTAACTATGGTATGCTTGGAAAAATTGCTATTCATCCCGATTACGGTACCGATCACCTTCCCTACCGAGTCCCCTGACCCGCTGAGTGAAGCCGACATCCTACAGCCCTGAATTGCAGGTCCTGAACCCTCCAGCCGAATGCCCCCCAAAACACGAAAGTCGCAACCTTGCCCACGAAAACTAAAAAACAAACGAACCTAAGCCCGCTGAAACTTCGATGAAGAGGTCACCATCAAGAATACTTGGGGCGGGAGGAATGGCGAGGGGGGTGAAAGGATATTGTTGAGGTCTAGGGTGGGGCAGAAGCCAAAGTGTTAGTCAGAGCCTACGGCTAAAGTAGAATACGCGCTTAAAGGTGGAAGCTTTTGCATAAAGGCTTTATCTCCTGATACATTCTTTGGGTATGTCTACACCCTAGACAGCTTTCATGTCCGTGCCAACCCTCAACCCTAAACCCTGAGGCCCCGATGCCCTAATCCCTAAACCCCCTCAAAGCTCCGAACCATCCTGACCCCCTATACAACCCTTTCAAACCTTGTGGAAACTTCACAGCATCTTCAACCGCCATGCAAAACCTCATACACATGCAACCCCTCTACAACCCTGGAGCCCCCCCACGGAAAACTCTAAACCCTGAGCCCCTGAGCCCCAACACCGTGCTGTCCAAACGCCAAAATCCACGACCCAAGACCCCCCAAACCCCTAGTTCCTAAACCCCTGCTGCAGAAACTCCGTTTTTGTCAGAGCCGAGGTCACCACCGAAGGCGATGACGCCGCCATGGACCTGGGTTGCCGGGTTTTGGGGAACAAAAGCGGCCCTGTAGGGGACGTTCTACCGGGGGTTGTGCAAGGGTCTGGGGTTCAGGAGTTTAATTCTGAACTAGGGCGTAGTTAAAATTTAGAGTTTAGGAGGCTGGGTTTCGGGGGCTCCTGAGCGCTTCGGATTTCAAAACGGTTCAGTACTGTACAGTGGCTCTAGACGGGTTCTTTGAGGGTTGTCTAGGACGTCAAGGAGTTCAACAAGACTAGAAGGCGTGTGGCTAATATAGGGGTCGTAGGGTTCATGTTCGGGCGTTTGATGTGTATGTAGGGCAGTTAAGGAACATTGGTGACTGCATCTGTTGAGTGTCACTAGGCGGGATGCGGGTTTCTAGTGACAAAACCTGGGTTTGATTCAAGGTGCAGGCGTGCGAAGAAACCAACAGTCTGTAGGCAAGGGGTTGTACCTGTACTGCTACAGCGGGTAGAGGTTACTTACTGACTTACTGGTCTCACTCCGATATATTTAGGATTGTGGCGCATTGCCCGGCATGTTGACAATCGCCCCCACCCTCTAAACGCCCATGGACAGGCAGACTTTATCATGTCTGAGATTTTTTTCTCTCCAATCCCTTCTCGTAATCCTACACCCCGAAGCTCCCCTTTCTTCATGCAATCCATTAACCACTTGCAACCGAATGCATTGGGCTCCCTCCAAGGCACCAACTCCTGAACCTTAAAAGATAAAGCCCCAATGAATCACCTCCGCCTTCTCTTAGGGCCTCAATATGGGAGATTCCGAAAACTAGGGGTACCTGATTTTGGGGTCCTTATATCAAGGATCCTAATATTTAGGGTGCTATATTCGGCTCCCCTATTTTCGGAAACTCCCATATCAGAACCCCTTAAACCTAGAAAACCCTTAAACACTCTGGCCTACGACATGCTCCAACCTTCCCCCCGTCCATCCTCAAAAAAACAACAGAAAACCTATACTCCCAATGACCTATGGACCCCTATAACTTAACCCCACCCTTCCAACAACATTGACATGCTAAAAGGCTGAAGCGTCTTCTGCCCGAGCCCCGAGCGACGACATGGGCGCTGACTCCGGCATGGGCGGCGGGAAGTCTGCATCCGGGGGCCTCGTTTGGGTTTGTGTGCTGTAACTGAGGGTTTATGGGGGAGGAGTGGTATGTTATAGTCTGATTATATGCGAAAGATAAGGGGATGTTGAAGGGCTTACGATTTTGAATTTGGATTTAGAGGTTTAGAGCTTGAGGGGTAAAGATGGTAAAGGCCTGAGGAGCTTAGGATTTTAGCTTCAACTTCAACCCTTTGGATTCCTGGTTCAGTGGCTAGGCTGCAGAAGGCGGGTTTAGATTTTAAAAACTGCAGATTGGGGGGTCTGCGTCAACCTCAACTCCCCAAACTACCTACGACTTCTAATTGGGTCCCGAGTCTATTTTCTTCTGAGCGGGGTTTGTACGGCAGGCCTGGGCAAATGCCTGTTGTCACTTGAGGATATCCAGGGCAGCAAAAACGCTGAGCCAGTCTCGAGGTTCCTTATTTCCTGGTATATTCGTTTCAGTTGTAGCGGGGGTCTCGGGCTACAGCTAGAGCATAGGCTTTACAAGGGAATGCTCATAATCGTATTCTAGCCGCGATTCAAGCAAATGCCTGAAACATGTACACCGCATCTGATCAACGACCGTGGCTCGGAACAGTGCACTGCATATCGTGGAAGAAACATGGGGTTCTTGTAGAGATTCACCACAAAACTCAACCTTCTATAGCAGCTTTTGAGTCTATAGACGGCTACAGTAATCCGTTTTTCGAGGCAGAAGGAGTCGGATGGAATTCTGAGAGGTCTGGATACCTTCAAAGGACCGAGAGAGGGGTCTCCAATAACAAGGGCAAAGTTGGTGATGCAGGCTAAGGAAGCAGGGTTTAGAGGCTACAGGTTTATGGTTTGGGATCTCATCCCAGGGTCTTACTGCGTTTTTGAGCCTGGAGCACCCAGCCCAAGGCCCCAAGCCCTCTTCCGAAACCCATGAACCCCAAAACCTCGAGAACGTCCATCCTTCCTGGAGTCAGTAAGCCCTTGGAACCAATGCCGGCCCCTTGCGACCGTGTCCCGGACGCTTCTTCCACGAGGGCCACCGGAGGCGCGGTGGGTGGAGGCGCTGTGGTCGCCGCCTGTGGGTTTGGGTTAGGGTCAGGGGTGTTCCGGGGTACTAGGCGGTTTGGGTTTAGGCCTTAGGCTCAGTGTTCCAAACTGACGGCTCCTGGCTTTGGGGTTTAGGGTTTGCGAAATGGGAGGTGAGGCGCATGTATACATGGGAGTTTCCGGGGTCCCTAAATAGAGTACCCTAAAGAGTAGGTACCCGGAATTTTCGGAAACTCCCAGAGTCTGACTGAAAGGAGGCCTTGTTGGGGCTCCAGGAAAGCCCAAACTCGAACCCGCAAGCAGCCTCAAGCGCTATCCCAGCCGGCTCGGGGTGAAGAGCGGCATGCCAGGGTCTAAGGCTTATAGGTTTAAGGTGCAGGGTTTAGGACTTCAAAATGTGAGCTTAGGGTTTAAGGTTGTGTGGCTTGCATTTCTGGATTCGGATCTTACTGCTAAAACGCTGAGGGTGCGGGCCTTTGGCATGCAGGGTGACGGGCTTAAGTTCAGGATTTTGGGCTTCGTGTAATAACTATCCCCGTTCTTTAAAGGCGTTATCCATAGGATACCAGGACACGGTCCCACCCAGGCCCAAACTGTACTGGACGAGTCCCATGGTAAGCTTAGAATCTAAGCCTGGCGGCCTCAAGAACTCGATTAGGGTTTGTTGGCTGTTTCAAGGAGTCTTATACTATACCATAATTTTTGGGGGGGTCTGAGGAGTAATGTTGTTCACAATGCCGTTTCGGCCTCTTCTTCCATGACCGTGCGTTCCTCACCGGCAAACGACCTCGCAACAAGAGATGACTTTAATTGTTTAAGGCTCAGGAGTTTAGGGTGGTTTCGGGTGCGAGATTTAGGCGTTGAGGGTCTAGTTTTAGGGCTTGGGCATTTAGGGTTTGGGGGCTAGGTCTTGAGAGTCTAAGGTTTTTCAGGATGTTCGGTAAACCTATCTGATAGTATCGGCAACGGCACGGAACTGAACTAGCTGGCGAAGAGCTATTTCCTCATGACGTGAAGGATGATTGCAGTTCGGATAAGGCAAGCGGACTTCAAGCTATGGGAGCAAAAATCGGGTCATACGAACATCCCAAACCTCGGAACCCTGCAATCCTGTCTGACATGCTGGACAGCAAACTCCTAAACCCCTACCCTGAATTTCAGTAGCCCAAGCGGAATTGAGCTAGCAAGGGACAGCAAGAGTAAGGGAGAGACATTTCTAGGGCTTCGTGCATTTGGGAAGGGTGTCGAAGGTTTAAGGCAAAACCTGAAGAACCCTAAAACCCTAAACCCTCGGGTTTAGAAGCTCGTATACTCAGTACTCAGGAGTGGACGTCGGAGACGGTACATCCGTCGGCACCTGGTGGCAGCAGAAGCTCGGGGTCGAATGAACACCCTTGGATGTCTAAGGTTGAGCTGAGGTCTCTGTTCTATGGGGCAGCTAAGGGTTGTGGTCTCGGGATTTAAGGTTCAAGTTTTAATGAAGCTTCAGGCCCCCAAGCCTAAGCCCGATCCCCATTCCTAAGCTTCAAAACTGAGCCAACAAGACCTCACCCCAACACAAAGGCCATGTCCGAAGATGAGACATGGACCTTGTTGATGAGGATAGGTCCTTGGCGTACATAGAGACTATAAAGAGATACCATGACATGCAAAACCGGATATCAAAGGATCGCCAGCATAAAACTTACGGCCCGGCAGGTTCCTTGGTGCATGGACCCCCAAACAAAAGGTTTACTGGAATGGGAGTATCAGGCTGCGGCCTCAGGATTTAAAGTTGAAGATTTAGGGTAAAAGCCACAAAGTTGGAATATGATTATCCTAACCCTTATATGGTAAATTATAGGGTATCCTACCATGAAACCATATTCCAACTTTCTAGAGCTCCCTGTAGGGCTTAAAGTTTAGTTTGTGGAGAAGGGCGGGGTATGCAAGGAGTTTGGTGGTGTCTCTGCCCGGGTGAACATGAGACTTAAAGCTATAGCTACCTTGCCTTTGCAGTCTACGGGTTCAGTACTGACTAAGTCCTTTGATCCTGCAGCTTCTGTACAAAGCTTTAAGAAGTGCATGGGAGGGGCCCTGCATTCGACTACACCTTTGCCCCTAGACCTCATCCCTCAAGCATTGACTCCAACAGCCTCAACGCCGCATTGGACCCAGAAGCAACACACGAAAGCTTTAAACAGCACAACGTAGAAACCAACACCGAAATCCGGAGCTACAAAACATCTCAAAACCCACACCCCAAACTCGAAAGCCCACTCTGGAACTCCGCTGCAAAAGTAGGTGTTACACCTTTTAGATAAACTCCAGACCATCAACCCTGGGTACAAAACGAAACTCCCCGACCTCCAAATCGCCTTGGGATGCCAGAAGCAAATACAACAACAGTTTACCACCATACAGAAACTGAAAGTCACAGACCCCTATACGACCGTATCGCAAGCCATTTCACGTTATGCACTCGTACTTGAAAGCACACTCCCCGAACTGCTCGGCAGCCCACCGGCATGTCTGTGGGAGAGCGCGGCTCGGGTGCGGACTCGGACCTTCACTGGATGGATTTTTGCATCTTACAAAGCTTGTAGGACATCAGGGCTTAGGGTTCAGGGTGTAGGGGTTCGGCTGTAGGTCGCAGGGTTTGAGGCCTTTGGGGTTTGGGGCTTCTCGGGAGCTGATCGTAGAGGTAGACTGGGCAGAGGCGTGCAAAGAAGAAAACCCTGGCAAACATGTCTGTGACTGGCTGAAGTGGAGTTTGGAAGGTTACGGAGAAATCCATTTTCGGAGAGCTGCATGGGCTCGTATCACGGACCTTTACCGCTTTGCGGGGGAAGTCAAAAGAGGAGTCCTGTAGTTGGCGTCCTCTTAGCAGAACTGCGGCATCAGAGGTCCAAGCTGTGGCCGCTCGGCGTCGGTGTTCTGCTCCGAAAGCTTCGGTCGTGGTTTTGTTTGCTCGATTCTCTGAAGTAGGACATGCCAGACACGAGCTGAGAGCCTGTGACTTTTTGATCGATGGATCAGCTGGTCTTTCAGCATAGAGTTCGTCGGAACCAAGGTGCTTCTCGAGGCATAGGGATGCATGGTAGAAGCGCATCATGTGCATGTGCAGGAACATCTTCAAGACTTTTGCAAGATGCTGTGTGTGACGCCCCACTATGCAGGGAGCAACCCAGCTTCACCGATTTGTCTGTCACCAAGAGATGCACTACACCGGCATGCTCGCTGGTCGTGGCTCTACACATGTCTGCAATGACACCCCTTCGAGCACGCTCTCGCGGATCTGCGACAGACGCAGGGCTTCAGCATGTTGGGGTTGGGGGTCTACAGGTTTTGGGTGTAAGGTTAAAACATCATGGCCATAGGATTTTATGGGCACGTATCACGTCGCCTGATAAGGCCTAGATGCTTCGATTAGGATGTTGGAGGGGCGTCTGCACATCTTCATCCTGTAACTACAGCCGAACATAAGGACCTTGACAACTCGTGTAAGGTTTGGGGGGTGTCGAAGTTTTGGGAACCTGTCCAAGAATCAACTCATCATTCCTTGAACGCCCTGAATCCTGACCCCTTAACCCCTATAGAGACAATGTCAAGCTCACGGAGAGTGCAGGGCCTGAAATGCGACTCCCCCAACGACCCTCTATTATACCCTAAATACCCACTACTAAGGATCATAAGGACTCCATTAAAGGGCACTTGCCTGGATACCAAGGAGTCGGCAATCCTAAGCTCTAGAAGCCCCCAAAACCCAAACAAGAAAACCCTACGCCCCCAAATCCCTGAAGCCCCAAACCGCAAAACCCTGAACCCTAAGGCCCAAAATCCCCACACCCTACAGTGCGGGGTTATAAGGGGACCTGAACCCTAAAACGGGAATAAGTTCCCACTCTAGGTCCTAGCAGCCCTAGTACAGCCCACAACCCCAAAGCCCAAGGCCGCAGCATGGCTGCACTTTCCACGACCGCCGACTCCTGGGGAGCTGGCACCTGAACGACAGACACTTTTGGGTGGTTGGTCAAAATTAGGGTCCCTTTTTGGGTACCCTAAGTAATGGGTGCCGTACTATAATAGGGACCCCAAAAAGGGACCATAATTTTGACAACCACTCATTCAGGGCTGAGGGTCCATAGGCTTTATATAGGGCGTACATTGTGGGTCGGTTGTTGAAGAGTATTGTAGCGCTTCAAAACTTTTAGAATGTTGCTCTTTGAGGATCTTTGAGGCTCTGCAAGATAAGGTCGTTCGTGTGCGATCTCAAACTCCCAAGGCCCTAATAAGCTCGAAAGCACACGGTTCCTTCATCAGGATCACACTAGGCCCAGGCACCGGAACATGAGCCCAGTATCAGTTCCATGTATCTTCACGAAGAAGCTCGATTGCCCCAGAGCTCCCACCCTTAATCGGGAGTACTTTGCAAGCATAGAGGATCCTCAAAGTGGGGATGTTGCAGGAAGAGGTTCACGAACTTCGGGAGGGGTGTGGGGTTCAGGGCTCGTGGCAGTACTTGAGAAGTACTCCCGAGCCATAAATAAAACTCATGTCGAGTTACGAGCCATCTTCCGTAACAGTCGAATAATCCCAAACCCTAGACGCTGGAATGTTCTGGCAGCACGTAGAACTCGAGCAGAATTTGGGTATATACCCTTAACCAGATCATAAGGCCCTGAGTGTAAACCCTAATTCGCTCCCAAGCCCTTGATCCCTAAATTAAGGGCTCACGGGGTTTACTGTTTAGATGTGTTTGGGGCTCTAATTACTTTAGCCGTTTGGGAAGTGCAGGGTCGATGTTTGGGAAATCCTGGCGAGATTGCAACGGCTCAGTCCCGAGGATTGTTGTCCGACCCGTTCCACTTCTCCGAACCCTCACCGGGAAGGCAATGCAGGGAACCATGAAACCGGACATGTTGAAACCTTAATGACAACTACTAGTAGGGTGGTTGGAAGTTGGGGTATTCCACTGCATCTTTCCATAAATGTTTTCCGTTCCCGTGCTGATCCCGCTAAAAACCTCCAAACCAAGCCAAAACTCAAGTGTCTGAAGGGTCTCGGGTTTAAGCGGCTGAGGGGATGTTGGTCAACACTCTCAAGCCCATACAACCTTTAACAACTCACATTACGCCAACCGCACCACACTAATGTGCAAATTTGTCTTAATAACAATAACAATAACAATGATAATAATAATAATAATAATAATAATCGTGGGAACATACATGTTCCACCGGTGGGACAAAACTCAAGCTTCATGGCTCGACAGAGCAATGTTGCAAAGCTTTCCCTGGCATTGATTCCACCGCCGGCAATGATCATCTGCCTTAGCACCTTCTTCAACTAAGGGCTATTTCTGTTGCAAATAAATCCAGAATGTCTGCCCCAGCAGTTCCTGAGCCCCCCGGCATCCAATTCCATATGAGCCGAGAGCACGGCAGAGTCGAGGGCAGCCTGAATGAGTACCAGAGTGACCCCATGAGTCGCGGCTTGGAGTCTAGGGTCTAAAGCACAGGCGGCGGTCAGGGCGCTTGGAGTTTAGGGGTTTTGGGGTTTCGGGGAACATGAATCAGAAGAAGACGCTTTACATGATCTGGGGTATATGCCTTTACCAATTACTTTCACGGAAGTTGGGAGATGGGGCGAGTTAGGGTCTCTGGGTGTAGACAGGGTGGTCTCGTTCCTTTGACTTCCTCCTTTGCTATTGGCTTTGCCCTGCGAGTGTGAGTCAAGCGTTGCAGAGAATGAACCCCGATCGGCGACATACTTGAAGGACCAGCGGATGTAGAACATCAGCTTTCAAACAATAAATGACTACTCATTTATAAGCTGCAACTTCAACAAAGTAGCTTACAAACTCACTTGCTGAGTCCCGATCCTCCAGCTAGCACCATGCTTCTCGCTCGTATGTCTACCCTATACCTCAATGAACTGTGACATCATGCTTCTCACCGCGAAAACGACGGCCGCGATTATCATCATTACTCTTACGAGGAGAACGACCGACGACCACTTCTGCGAGTATTTCTATCATCATGATGAAATCTCACGACTCTCGCTGCTTCTCATGCCAGTTCGCTATTTCACCATGGAATCACTGCAGTCCTCCTTCATTCTCTCATTGCATCTCGCAAACCTTAGACCAGGGATGGCAAGCAGCTAAGGGCTAAAACCCTGGGCCCGCCAGGCCGGGCCTGAATATGAATCAGCCTTACAAGAGAAAAATCTGATCAAAAAGGGACATACTGAGGTTCAGAACAAAGCGCCGACACGACATGCTCGTCTAATCCCTCTAATCCCCTAGCCTCTGAAAACTGAAAACCATAAAAGGCCCAAGACCCCAAAAGCCTGAACCTCTGGAACCCCAAACCCACAACCCCCAAACAAGCCACAACCCTCACAACCCTAAATCAAATGGCCGAAACCCCGCAACCCTAAACCACAAAACAAAGTCCAACACCAAAAACCGTAAGAGGCCCTAAACACCCTGAACCCTCAACCTGAAGGCCCTGAACCCTCAGAGACCCGGCCCTGCCGCTGAACCCTACCCTCTGTTGCCTCCGGTGCCGGCTCCGCCAGCGTCTGCGTCGGCCTCAGGGGCGAACAAAGCACTTCAGGGTGGTCTTGAATGAGCGCGATTGGGAGTTTACGGTGTAGGCAAGGGCGTTCGGTGTAAGGTTGGGGTTCGGGATTTCAAGTTTCAGCTTCAGGGCTTAACGGATCTAGGGGTTTGGGTCTCTGCCAAATTTCAGGTCTAGGGCTGGGCAGCTCGCTTCTGACGTCCCTTCTGCTTGCCTCCGAGCTCGACCTGAACTTTGGCGGTTCCAGTACAGGAGGTGCTCCGTACGACTGCGGTGCGGTGAACCGCCGAAAATGCCTGTGCGCTCGCTCCGTGCGGGCACGGTTGTGCTGCACTCTGCGGTCATGAAGGCGGTCCGCATCTGCAAAACTGTACCGGTTCTCCCAGCGGCGAAGGTCCAAGACAAGATCGAGATGCTTCTTCTCGGCCCTCTTGACTTTGCACAGGGCCAAAACCTGCTGGATATCGGTAAAGACCGACTCCCCCAAGTCGGAAGCCACTTCACAAAGCAGCTTGTACGCATCTGGCTCCATCTGAAAGCCGCGTTTGCTGTTTTGACGGATTTTGCTGATTTGCGTCCTCGCTGCATAGGACAATTGAGGTTCTTTGACGATTTGCTGTGGCTAGAGCACAAAATACTGGTTGAGGGGGCGGGTCTGACCAAGGTCTGAGTTCTCTATGGAAAAAGAAAGGCGCAGAGCTCGGGGGCTCAGATTTGGAGCAGAGGGTCATCAGGGGCTAAAGCTTCACCCTGAACCTGACAGGGCGAAAGGGCTTAAGGTGTGAAAACAAGGTTCTTGGGTTTTCGTGGTTTAAGGCTCATGGTTTAGGGCTGAAGGTGGAGAGTTGATGGGTTTAGGGTCTAAGGTTCAGCTGTTAAGGTTAGTTTGGGATTTCAGGATTCAGGCTTCGAGGTTTACGGTTCAGCGATTGAAGAAGGCCAAGGAAAGTTCCAATTGTGGTTATTCGGACTATTGTAGGATCTTTCAATCAAGGACCGAAGCGTTACGCTTTCAAATCCTAGGCCACTGGATAGCTCAAACAGGGTTCTTGTAGGTACTTAACTTGACATGACAACAATAAGACAGGTAGGTTTTTTTGACCATGTACCTTGATTTTTGTACAAGTGAGTTTATATGTTCCTCGGGAGTAAGCTGGAAGTACCAGGCCATCCCGTGCGAAGCATGCTGGGATCCGCGACGGCAGAGCAGTCGCTGCCACGACGGTTTCCGCCTCAGGCACATGCAGGGTTTAAGGTTCATATACCATATATAGGGCTTCAGAGTATCAGGGCAGGGCCCCTACTTTTAAGGGACATTTGGTCCCGAAGGTTGTCGGGGGCTTGGAAGTAGATTGTTGGGGAGAGACAGAGGTTGTGCCTTGGTTGGGGAGCTGTGATGACAGTGCAGTGGCGCTGGAATCCAGGATACTTTACCAACAATCGCCTTAAGCAGTTTTTGGCCGTTTTGAGTCTCAAGACGAAGAAACTGCATCCCCATCGCCAGGTGCCTACTCCTTCTCTGACTCAATTCACCTACTCAAATCTTCATTTCCGGGGCCCTGTAACGACTACAGGGTCTTGGGGTGGAAATGTAAGTGTTTTCAATCAACTCAACCCATGTGATCTCCTTTGAAGGCCCTCGCTCCCCCCCCACCCCCCCTCTCCGCAGCTACACGAAAACACAAGAAAGACACCGAGCCCGACACTCCCGACACAGCTCCACTGGGGGGAGGGGGCTCTTCATGGCAGAACACATGTAAATGAACAGCTTGGGGTACAGTGGTGTTGCAGAACAAGGCTGAAGGCTTAAGGGTGCAAGACGTTTGGTCGAGAAGCTGACGGGTGCTGAATTTTGGATGTTTCCGGGGCCAAAGGATCCAGCCTATATCTAATGAGGGATGTTGGGTATGGTCAGAGGCTCCCACTTCATCTTCGTCGCCCCAGGGAGATGTCGGAGTAGGCACTTCCGTCGGTACAGGCATCTCCTGGCCAGCAGGGATCGGACGAAGGCCTTGGACTTTGAGGGTTTCAAGCAGGGGGGCCTTAACAATTAGAATAAGGCTTGCGGGTGTATGCTATAATAAAGATTGAAAGAAGGAGCCCCCGATTTTTATTGGTAACTATTTAAGCTCTTATAGTAGGGCGTTGAACCCCCCTTCCGAAGATCTGCGGCTCGCGGGTGTCATGAGTTCATTCGATATGCAAGTGGGTCCTCTGGGCTGCAGAGCATATATATATATATATATATATACATACCCGAAGTCATCGACCGCATCTTTGAATGCTCCGGGGGTCTTATGTTCGAACTTTCTACAGTTATAAGTGAACTTAGAAGAACCGTCAACCCTCACCTAGAGTGACTCAGAGTGCTGATAACGAAAGCGATTAGGTTTAGAGTTAAGGGAGAAAGGTACTCACCATACTGTCCCTAAATCCTCAACCCTAAAACTCCAAAACCCTAAACCTGACAACCCTACTTACGAAGTCACTCGAGCCTTTCAGTCAAGCAAGCAGGCAAGCTTCAACTTTTGCCGCAGCCAACACCCGAAAATCGTTAAGACAGCATGCAGTTCAGGAGTTGGCTTTTAGGGTTGAGGGCTTCAGGAGAAACGAAACCCATGGGGGTTTAGGATTTGACGGCCTTAACGGCCTGTAGCAGTTGGGGGATTCAGGCGTTTAGAGACGCTGGACATGCAAGAACCGGGCTTCGGGATGGAGGGTCGGGACTCCCTGATCCATTGATACACATTATACCCTCCGACACCCGAAACGCTTGACGGCACTTTTCTCCGGGCAATCTGTATGGGTGCAGTTGTATGTGTATATATGCACATACACGAACACTATACAAACATATATGTAAGCGTGAATCACGTCGCTTGAGGTCTTGAAGGTCAACGGCCAATGCCCCAAAATCACAAGCTGACTCGCCCTAAACATCGTAAATCCACAAAACTCTCAAGCTCTAAACCCGAAAAGCCACAACACTAAAACATCTGCACTACCTTAGAGCAAGCCCTATATAGGAACCCTTAAACGAAACCCCCTTGTCGCTCCGTGGGTGACTGCTGGCCGGCACTGCTGCTCACCATCCTCAGCATCTTAAAGGCAAAATATGCGGGACGCTTAGCAATCAAAATGGTGTGGCGCATATGAGCCGACCAACATATAGGAAGCATAAAGGGGGCATTCCGGCTCTTCGCATTCTCATAAATCATAACTGCTTCTTCTTATGATTGTGAACAGGATTATGATTACGTCTACTCCTACTATAACAGTTACTATAAATTTTACTAGTGCTCTTGTTGCTGTTGCTGCAACTGTTCCTGTTATTGTTGTATGCGCACCAGGGGCAACCCTTGCGTGGGGCTGTGGAGATGGATCCTAAACCCGCAGAAGGAGAGCCGCTGCAACAGGGCCATCAGCTATGGCATTTTTTCTTGCCGCTGCCGAACTTGGCAGGGCGAGCCGTCTCCTGCGACTTCCTGCGGATTCAACCACAAATTCGTGTCGTCAGCAATGCGAGTGTAGACCATGTGCTGAATTGGCCGCTCCAATAGAAAGGTGAGCAGGCCAGGTCACAGCAACAAGCTGGCGCAAGTGCTGAGGGCTCAGATGGGGATTGTCGCCACAGAAATACTCGAGTCAGAACCAATACGTTCCTAGCCAATGGTATGCAAACTAAAAACAGTATGCGTCCAACAGCACCCCGAATGACTAGAAACACCATCAGTTTTGCCTTTGTTGGTTTTCTATAGGTTTAGTAGTACTATTGAATAGTAACCAAACCGATATGAATTGTGATCGATTCTGTCGACCACTATACTAAGGGAAGCAGACCAGCGGGTTCCTTCGTTGGGCTTGCCGGGGGGTGGATGGTTTAGGGTCAAGGTGCAGGATTTAGTTGGTCCGTAGAGTGGAATGTACGGCTATTCCAGGATGTTGAGGTTGGAGGTCAAGCTTTTGATGAAAATTGTATGGTTTCCAGTTTCGATTGTCGCGCCGAAACCCTAGAAAGCCACAATTACGGCGCAGACTGCTGAATAAACACACGAGCCGACCCCCTAGATAATGCTTGCAGGCACAGGACAAACAAACGCCAACATAATGCATATCGAAAATCACAAACACTCAAATCCTCTCAAATCCTGAAGATCCATCGAGCCCTCAAGCTGGATTGACAAGAGCCACCGGCCCGTTGTTGCTCGTGTTGCAGCTGCATGAGGTCTTAAGCCCTGGAGCACCAAAGCCCCCACACAGACCACACTGTCCCCGCGAAGTCTTAATACCCTAAACCCAACTCATAAACCTCTCAACCCTCAATCCACAACTTCGAGCCTGCAATCAAAACCCGACTAGAACCCCTGCACAAGCCTTAAAACTCTCAACCCCCCCTTCAAAAAACAATCACACCGGTGGCCAAGAGCCGTGCTGCATCGATGCCGAAGCCTTACAGAAATCAAGCTTCGCGAGTTTGTTGGGGTTTAGAGTTTACAGGATTCCTTAATGGCTTTGCATAGGGGATCTTAACTGCGTGTTGGGTTTTAGGGGTTCGGTGCTTGTCAAAGGACTTGCATATGCATGTGTATATACATAGACACATATATAAAGATCCTTTAATACAAAACACAAAACACTAAGAGCTTTTGCCGAGATTTATATGTAGGGTTGCAGGAATCTTTATAATCAGGTTCGATCAGCAACCCCCTGGTCTTGGGACAAGATTAAACTACGAGTAGCTTATGTGGAATATTATCGAGACAATTTCTGCCAAGCATTCAGACGCCTATCTCAGGGTCTGGGGATTTACAGGGTGTAAACTGTTTGCAGAAACTTCCGCCCAGTACTAAAGCCGGAAGCCCCCGATATTGAATACGTTTTCGGAACTCTTTTGCGTTCAGAAGTGCCCGGAAGGCTACTTTTGATGTAAGCAAAACTTACGCAGCTTGCAGCTAATTTACGGGTCAGCTATAGAGGCCATTTGAAGAAGCTGAGGGATAGTAGCCTCAACTTCACCCATTGATCAGCACTCTTTATGTCTCTTTGCCGTGGGCTTGGGAGGGATTTACGGGTTTAGGGCTTTGACAACTGATTTGTTGGAAGCTTCTGTTATAGCGCATCCTAAAAGCCTTACATTGCTCAAATCTAAGCCTGACGGCTGACGGCCCCAACCCACAACCTGACGCCCTCCATGCTGTAAACCCTAAAGTAGTCCAATTAATAAAGACCCTGATAGCAGGCATTCGATGTGATTAGGGTTTAGGGTTCCGGCTCTTCAAAGGCCACAACTCCTGCGATCCTTCAGTGCACCGAAACCCCATTAACTTGAACTAGAACCTTTTTTTGGTGGGGTTTAGGACTTGTAGGACCTAGGGTTGAACCTACTCTTGTAGGATCCACGTATATTGTAACCCCTAGACCCAGGAAACAAATAGAGCATGAAACGACGTGCAACAAAATGGTCATAGAAAGGTTACATTAATTTTACTGCCCACCTCAAACACGAACTCCCACACTCTGAACCGTCGGTCGATTTGACACGAACCAGTTTGATTTTGCCAAAGCCCTCCAAGGAAGAACGTCCAGATGCGTCGAAACTAAGCGTCGCGCGTCTACCTGGCTGCCTCGCCTTGCCGTGACTCGTGTGGGCACCTTGCGAGAGAGTCAGAGCTATCTTAGAACCAAAGGGATCTAAATTTCTCTTGTGAGGTATAGAAACAGGTGCCCTTATCCTCTTCTTCAGAGTCTTTGGTTTGGGTGTCCAATTCGATTTACGTACTTCCCTCATGGGACCTAACCAAATATTCACCCAACAAAGGATCCCAGCCCATCTTATCATCTTACCTGACATCCTAAGGACGTGTACTTCAACAGAACCTAAAACCCGCAAAAGCAAGGGGAACAACTTCGATATGCAGAAAGCCTCTGTGCTAAATACTGCCAAGCTCCGGAGGCGTGCGATACGACCCCCCAAGTTGAATCGCGATGTCCCTCCTTAGTAAAGCCTTGCTGTCCGTGACATTGACTATATACCTCATATGGCAAAAAAGTCTGAACAACTAACCTGAGCGCATTGCGTTGTTCTGGTTTTGATTCTCAGGCCCCTGCAACTATGACACGCCCTTTTCTTTTTTATTACTGTCGATCGCTCTTCACATTGCTTCTCTGGTTTGGTCATAGGAGGGGGGCAAAGAAACCCTGTAAGACTCAGTAAGACCTCAGCACCGCCCAAAACAAACCGCAAAATCTGCTGAAATCCTCAAGATCCAATGGAACACGCTATGGAAAAAACGGCCATGAACCCGGTGCCAGCAATATGCACTAGCGCGACTTAGCTCCAACCCCACCTTTTGCGGTACGTTATAGAAACTGCATTAGAACAGCAGTGTAACAAACTTTCAAAACCGAACGAAACACGCGTGAATTTAAAAGCACCAAGGCAACAGCTAAACAAGGAAAACAAAGAACGAACCCAGCCTCTTCCTCTTCCCTGGTCAGCGTCGCCGTCGCCTCACGCGTTGCTGCCGTCACGGTGCGAGCCTCGGCTTCGTTGCAGGGAGCCCATTTTGAATCCGGGAGGTTCTGAGGATGGGGCTTATGGAGCTTCGGGCTCCGGCAATAAGGGCTGGGAGGGCGTAGAGGTGGGGAGGAGGGGGGTCGAAGGATGTATCAACCGAGGGTTTAGGGCTTATGATTCAGCCTTTATGGTTGTAGGTCCATGCGGTCTGTGTATAGAAGTCGTACCTGCAAGGGGATGTAGTTATAAGTATACTTAATTCTCATCTATCCTAGTTTAGTTTACTTCCGCTTGAAAGTAAGGAAAAAATTAAAGCTTTTAGAGGTCCCTAGACATATCCTAGACCCCGTACCCCTGAACCGCCCCCAAACCCTAAACTTCCTAAAGCCCTAAACCCTGAACCTCTCATCCCATAAAGTCTGCAGCAACAAGATCTACCTATGCAAGTCCTCAACATAAGGGATCTTTCAAGTCGAACAAGGCTTTCAGGTAGGTTATAGTACAATGACAAAGCGGCTCTAAGTAGGGGTATGTTACTTCTCCGAAACATTCAGACACCTGTACGAAGCACCCCAAAGCCACATAAACTCACAACATACACCCGAAGGCCATGAAGCCCCTGTAGACCACCGCAAAACCCGAGGGGTTTAAAGCACTTGTCATAACCAAATACATATTACTTCTGTATCTAACGATTCATCAATACATGTATGTTAACTTGCCTACTTATTTATATGTGCATATGTCTATATGCATGCATGCATGCATGTATGTATGTATTGCTTCCTCAGCTTTCGGCTGCTGCCAAAGATGTGGGCGAGGGCCGCTCCGTGGGAACCGGCAGCTCGCTGGGCGAGGCAGCCTCTTGTTGGGGCTTAGGGTTCAGGATTAAAGGCTTTAGGGTGTCGGATTTAAAGTTGGGGGGTTGGGGTTTAGCGTTTAAGGGCTGGGGGTTATTTAGGGTTAAGGGTTTACTGTAGGGTGCAAGACTTGGGGTTTAGGGTTGGGGCTTTTCGCTGTGTTCTATTTCAGGGGGATGGATTACTTAATGACCTAGTCTATACTTTAGGCCTCTGAGGCTTTAGAGTTGGTGGTTCTATCCGATGACGCACGCTTTCGGGGTTTTGTGTAATATAGGGGCCTTAATAGTTAGAACAGGGTGTTGGGGGCTCCTTCTTATAAGCATAGCATCATACACCCCCAAACCCTACTCTAATTCATAAGGCCCCTATATTAGGGTTTCACGTTTAGCTGTGTTATCACTTCAATGGTTTCGTAGATTGCGACTTTAGGGGTTTAGTGTCTTTGGCAGAAGCCTCTGTTTAGGATGTTTTTTTTGAGGTCCTTTTTATGTCTGCCCGATCTGGAAAGCACAGGATGGCTTAGGATGTGGGGTTTTAGCTTTGGCGTTGTTCTTGTTTACAAGGACGACTTCAGATATGGTGCATGTTTTTGCGTTCTGGGGGGGGAGGGTGTTTGCGTTCTCACTACTTCCCACCTGGCAGGCTTCTTCGAAAGGTTGTCTCGCACTATGATGTTAACTGCCGGGTGTTTGCCAAAACCTTTTGCAGTCTATACTATAGGGGCCTGAATAATTGGAATAGGGTTTTGGGGCCCATTATACTACAATTATAATAAGGCACCCCCCGCAATAATATTGGCAATTATTTAGGCCATATAGTAGTCAAGCCGACGCATCGGGCACTTGTTTGTGATGAGTGCCGGTGCCGAGTCGTTCGGTGCCATTTAAGTTTGCTGATTGCCACTGCTTGTGATTAGCAACCTTCTAGACCTCCTTGTTGGTTTCCTGCATGGCAGGAGCAACCTTCCTTGTTGCCGGGCAGGTCAGAGAACGACCAGATCGGCGATCCAAAGTTCAGCAGCGCAATCCTCGGACCTAAACCTAACCCCTGAGCCCCGATACCCCCAACCCTCAACACCCCGAACTGATGGCCTGCTGCCGCTTTGCAGGTCGTGTTGGCACAGCAGACGGGGGTGGAAGCGTCTCGGCACGACTTCGGTAGACCAATTTGCGGTGTAGGGCTTGGAATTTCGCAATTCTTCATCTACGCCCTCGGGCATAATGCGGGCTTACACACAAGTTCTGAATCTTGGGCCTGATGGGGGCTGGGAGGGCTGGGACTCGGGGTTCAAATCAAGGCAATGGAGACCAGAAGACAGGGTGCATTGCGAAATGTCTAGAGTTCAACTCCACAACTGACTTTTAAAGCCGTGCAGGGATCGTATGAAAATGTGTTTGTTCTTTACAGTTTCCGGAAAGACACGACCCCGAAACAAGCCCGTGATTCCCAGAATGGTGCACCCCTTTTGTAGCCCCAAACAAACAAGCCCCGATGTTTCTCCTGTGTATAAGATACCGCTTGAGTTGGATCTTTTGATCCCTCAAGAGAATGCCGAACCAGACATGTGCAAAACTGAAATAGAGCCGAGGGATCGTTGTGGTTTCTTCGTTTTTGTCTTTGTTGGTGGGAGTGGGGGGAATCCTTATACTAAGGATCCTATGTAATATATAATGTCTATAGTAGGGTCTGCAAATTTCTGAATCTCCACTATGGAATCGTATGGAATCGTAATTTGAAGCTCCCAACCACAAGCTAGCTTCCAAAGCTTTTGGTGTAGGGCTTTAGATTTAAGCATTCCGGGTGCTTATCTACAGTATTGACTGTAATAAGCATAATTACGCGAGTTTTTGCAGAAAAGCAGCTTCAAAGCTAAGCAGTCACCGTGCCTAACAAACCACACGTCCGACGGTCGACCATGCTGCCCAAATGATGAACGGGTCTCCGCGCATTCCATCTCGCATCCGCTGGGTTGCCAGAAGGCAGCCTAAAACCCTAAATAAAGGGGCGTTAAAAACCAGAAAAGGGTTTTGGGGCTCCTTATACGATAACTATAATAAAGAACCCCCCAAAATAGTATAGGGGCTAGATTAACCTTGCACAGCTTCACCCCAAGCCCAACCTGTTCCCCAAACCCTAAACCCTACACGAAGTCGGGCCTCGGTCTCCGAATCTTCGGCCGCCCGCTTCCTGCAGAAGCTTCTCAGGAGGGCCGCTTGTTCTGTGGTTCAAGGGATTAGCTGATTAGCTTAGGACATGTATAAGTGTATATATATATATATATATATACATACATACATAAAGAGAGAGAGCGAGGCTGTTTTACAAACACCCTCTTAGCTTAGTGTGGGTATACATACATACATATATATATATATATAGAGGGAGAAAGAGAGAGAGAGAGAGAGAGAGAGAGAGAGAGAGAGAGAGAGAGAGAGCGAGAGAGAGAGAGAGAGAGTGTGTGTCAGTCTCACCAGGTGCGGGCGCTTAGGAAAGAAGGTTAAAGGATTTGAGGTTGATCTGCTGTGCACAATAATATAATAAATCCCAAGAAGATGGACGCTGAAAGAAGGATGATTAGGGCTGGTATTCCCATGGTTGCCATGGTTTGTTTCAGGGAATCAAGACGTTGAGTTTCCAGCGAGCCAATACTGCTCCGACTATGACGTAATGAATTAAGTGTATTCCTAGTTAAAGCAGTACTGGGCTCTGTAGCTAGTGTGATTTGTTTAGGGTCTTGGGCTTGCAGGTTTGGAGGCTTCCAATTTCGGGTCCATGGGGCTTACCTTAAAACATCCAGGAAAATGAGACCATGAAGCACGACACACTTCATGAGGAATCCTCAATCTAAAGAAACTCGGAACGAAAATTATGGAACACAAAAACAACCAAACAGGACCGATCCCTCTATACACTGTGACTATGATTCTGATTGTGTCATTCTTACTATTACTGTTAGCATTATCATCCACCCTCCGGGTCTGCCAAACCTGGAGGGCGCTGTCATCAGGGTCGCCTGAAGCAAAGCTTCGGCGAAACCCGGTGTAACGGGGTCGGCCTTCGATTTTCAGCACTTCTTGGGTCGATCTAGGGTTTGGCACTACTACAGCGTCATAAGGGAGTTTCCGAAAATTGGGGGGTACCTTATTTTGGGGTCCTTATAATAAGGATCCTGCTATTTGGGGTGCTATATTAGGGTCCCCTATTTTCGGAAACTCCCATAAAGTTAGGGCTTTGGAGAACTGTCAGCTCCGTTCTTGTCCCGATCTGCTTGTACTGTATGATCTGGCCGAGATTCTGTCAGTGTTAACACTTCGGTTTATGTCTCAGGGTTCTGGGGTGTAGGTTTTGGGGGCCTAGGGTGTCGGAAGCGACTTCGACTTCCAAGGGCGGTTAAGTCTTCTGCGAGCTTCATAGTTGTGTAAGGACTTCAGGCCGGGACTTGGGGTCTCGGGATGCCTGACATCGGGTTTATGTTCCAGGAATTGGCGTTTAGGGTTCCTGGTCTTGGGCTGGGGTGGAGGGCCAGCGGTGGGTTTGGTGGCTTGGTGGCTTGTGGGCTTAGGGTTCCTCCGCAAGGAATATTCTTAGAGGCCAGAAAACGGAGTCCTGCAACGCCCAGCTGCGCTAGACTCAGTGGCCAAGTTCCTCAGCTCCTTTCAGAGAGAAATGACGACTGCCGTCAGGGCACTTCAAGACATGCTAAGCCGCCGCCTGATCTGAAAGCCTTAACCTAAAAACCCCGAAGCCGAAATCCTCAACCCTATGGCTCAAGAAAGCCCCTGACGCCTTACATGATGGGACCATAGGCCGTGTAAACCCTCAACCTGAAATGCTTCAAGGTTCCTATAACCGTATCTACCTGTACCAAGTTCTCTGATCCTGTAGACCCTATACACTTCAAGTCCCACTTCCCAATCCTGAACCCTAAACCCCGAAACCCAAGCTAAACTGCAAATCCTAAACACTGCGTGCCGAACCGTAAGCCCAACCCTTACAATGAGAACCTGACAAAACCCCTGACAGAACATGTGGCCATGGTAGCCCCAATAAAACCCCTCAAGGCGAACAACACTAAATCCCTGCACTGCTAAACCCACCACCCGAACCCCAAAACCGACGTTGGCCCTGAAAGTGACCCCTGTAGCAACCCTCGAAGGAATGCTTTAACAGAACCCTTCAAGCAGCCCTTAAAGGAACCCCAAGGGTCCAAAGGACCCCAATAATTAGGTACTTGGTTTTAAGATAGTAGTTATGTAGGTTAGGATTTTGGAGAGAATACGATTATTGTGTACTTGGACCCTTGGGGGAACCCTCAGCCCTGATTCTGAGGGCCACTGCCGGCACAGGCAGCTCTGTCGGACTTTTCTCAGCCGGCGCCTCCGTAGCAGCAAGATGCGCACCCATGTTTCGAGTGTAGGGCTTATTGGCTTGAGGGTTTTGTCGATCTGATGCGTAGGGTTTACCTAAAACCCATTAGCAGGTATATTAATGACCCAGCAAATAGCCGTTATTCTAAGTCTACATACTTTTGGGGTCCGGATAAGGGTTTGGGGGGCATTGCGGGTCCTAACCCTGACCTGTATAGGTTGGTGCGGGGTCGAACCTGTCATTGGTAGACGACTGTGACTGTACTGTGGAATCTGCACTGACCCACAGCCGTTTAAGGCGAAACATCTCGAAACTGGGGGTTAGTTGGTTGCGGTTTGGTGGGGGCGTAGACTTTTGGCTGCCATCTTACAGACTTTAAACTTGGCCACGTAGCCTGAACCCCCCCCCCCGAGCATCAGCCAGGGATAACAAATGCTAAGGCCTAAACAAGCTTTCGTAATTAAGTCGCAACAGACCCCAGCCAGACACCCGGAAATCGAAACTCTGGGTAGAAATAGATGGAGCTGGTCATGGTAGCAAGAAGATTGAGAACGGTATCCTGCAGCATTTCTTGCTGCTACTGTTTTTTGGATTGCTACCATGATGGAAAGAGCGAGTCACTGGCCTCCTTCGTCACCGTCGGCGATGCCGTCGCCTCACCGTTGGCTGACAGTGCATACACGAGTAGCACCCTTGAGGGTTCCTTGCAATACTCTATAAGGGTTCATTGCAATACTTTACAAGGTATTGATGGGCTTGATAGGGTCTTTTGGGGTTTACAGCGTTTTGGTTGTGTAGGGCTTTTCTAGGGTCTTATGAGGATTTTATTGGGTTTACACTGTTGTGTTCTCGTTTAGGCTTCCAGTTCAAGGTTTTAGGGGTAGGACTGTTGGAGTTTCAGGCTTTTGGGGTGTAGGGTGTTTGTGCATCCAAGGACTTGAAAGGGCTTCAGGGGTTTAGGGTTTAGTATCGCTGATGGATTGAAGCTTTTGAAGTGTGTAGTGGTGTGGTGGGTTAGGTGTCACGCAACCTGCATCTTTAAAGGCTACCTGAGCCTTCCCATAACGGAACCCTTATAGATGCCTTAAATTAAAAGTACCTTAACGGAACCCTTGAAGGAAGTTTTGAGGGCCTCAAATACGCAGGGTTTTGCACAGGAGTAGTTGTAGGTTAGCATTTTGTTCGCGCCCTTGGGGTTTTTGGCTGTGCCGTACGGACTGTTGCCATATTGCTGCCAAAAGGTTCAGACTTGCCCACTCGACTACGAAGGTAGCTGCTAGGCGAGCTTTGCTTTGCGGACAAGGCTGTATGCTGCGGGTCTGGAGCCTGACGGTTCTGTAGTCTTCCTGCATCTCAAGTTCAAAACTCTCTACGCACACTCGATGGGACCTGCACCCGATATCTGATACGTCCAAAGCCTTTCTAAAGCAGTGGAGGGAAACTTAACCCTACTTAGTACTACTCTGCTAAACCGTTAACCCGAAACCCCTATATCATCCATATTATGCACCTAGAGCCTTCCGGTCGTCTGGCTGCCCCAGATTTCCCTGTTCTGAAAAGTTACCGAAAAATAACGACCCTTAAGCGAAGCTGGTTATCTTAACCCTCCGTACGACCTGAAGCCCAATGAAACCTTGGTGAAACCCTTGTACTTCCCTCATAGACATAAGTTAAACAGTCCTACAATCGAGTTTTGTTGCACATTCGAAACTATGATTGTAATTAAGCACTTTCAAGGGAAGTATATCACCACCCAGCGCTTAAGGCCCAACGGCATTTCAAAAGAGTTAATCTCCATCCCTGATGTATTGTTTCATGTTATACGGTATAGTTCGATGATATTCTCGAATCATTCGGCCCTCTGTACTTACTACCTATAGGCTCCATAGTCCGATGATATTTTCGAATCCTTTGGCCCGCCGTACTTACTAAACTAGACGCAAGAGTAACCTGGGAATAAAAAAGGGTGCCCTTTTTGGTGTAAAGGGGCTTATAGGGGAACCTGAACCCTAAAAAACGGGAATAAGGGCCTACTCCAGGTCCTAGTAATTAAGGGGTATTAGAATCCCCTAAACCCTAAACCCTATAGATCCCTTTAAAGGAACCCTAAACCTAGTAAAGGCTCAGATTTTTTGGGCGCGCCAGTCTGAAATCCGCTCCTCCTCTGGCAGCGGGAGATCAGCCGGTGAGGTCCTGAGCATGGAGACTAGACCTAAGAGTAACCTAGGCATAAAAAGGGTGCCCTTTTTGGTTTAAAGGGGCTTATAAGGGAACCTGAACCTTTAAAAAGGGAATAAGGGCCTACTCCGGGTCCTAGGAGAAGGCTTGAGGTTCAGGGCTTCGGGTTTTTGGGGGGATTGGGTTTTGGGTGTTTTGGGTATTCGAGTGTGGGATTTTGTGGATTTGGGGCTCAGGGTTTAAGTGTTAAGGTTGGAGGGTCCAGGGAATCTACGGGTTTCGGGGTGTAAGGGCTAGACACGGATCAGCTTTCTTGAAATGAAAAGTCTCCTGTACAGGTTCTGATGAGTTTTATGAATGTTTGCTGCGCGGGTGCTAGAGGGTCACGGGTTCCTTACTCAGGGGTCTTCTGGGTCATTGAACTATCATGATGTAGGAGTTGGGGTGCGGGGCTGGGTGTCAGGATTAGGGTGCAGGGAATATGATAGCCTTACCCCTGAAGTTTTCGTTTTAATGCGGGTGGTATGGCAACTCACAACAGATGCGGACTATGCACAAACGAAGCTCTCGACCCGTTCCCGGCCTAGGGTCTAGACACCCTGTGATGATTTTCACAAGCATATTCAGAATCTTTATCTTTATGAAAACCATGTATCATACATACCCATAGTATGAATACGGAAGCCTGGGCAGTTGGACCTGACAAGGGGGCGGCTGTATTCCCGAATCATGTCTGAGGGACCTCCAAGGGAGAGCACCAACAATGCACGACTGAGTTTGAACCCTAAACCCTGAAACACAAAAACGAAAACTTTAAAACCCCAACCTCTACGCCCCCCCCCCCTAAACCCTATCAATCCTCCTACTCCTTTCAACCGTGAAGCAGTCGCCGAGGACCGGACGCTTGCACAGACACCGTAGGGATGGGTTTCATGTCTGGCACCTTCCGAAGGCTATGTTTTACGTAATAGGTTTAGGATTACCGTGGCGTTTGGAACCTGGGTTTAGAGCTTGATTTAAAGTTCAGGATTTAGAGTGTTAGAGCTTCTGAACATCATATCTGGCACACCAAGTGCTGGGCTGTCGTGGGATTTATGTCTTTTGTTCTCAGGTATGCGTTTAGGGCTAGGGGCCACGGGTTAGGATTTAAGGCTTGCTTGCCACCGGGTGTGTGTGTAGAGTAACCAAGGGATTTGTTTGCAGTTCCTTCGGGTTGGTCCAGCATCTGTGGCACCGTTCGAACAACCATGGGTGGGTCTATGGGTAGGTAGGTGGATGGGCGGGCGGGCGGGCGGGCGGGCGGGGGGGTGGGTGGGTGGGTGGGTGGGTGGGTGGGTGGGTGAGCTTTGCATCATGTTTACAACTCGCCGAGGTGGTGGCTCAGCATCGGGGCCTACAAGTACTTTATTAAGACCTGAAGTTTAGGGACGTAGGGGTTCAGGGTTTAGGTTTGCGGGTATTCAATGTTTTGGGTAAGGTTGTAAAAAAAGAAACAAGCTAATTAAACCAAGAACTGGAGCTTGTCAGATCTTCATATTCTGGGGCATCTTGCATACATTCCTTTACAAGGGATCCAATGAAGCCTTATCCTGAAATCTTAACAGCTGACCCCTATTCAGAACCCAAGCCGAAAAGGCGAACCACTGCTTAGCTTCTAGGATCAGGGGCTTGGCAGTAGTAAGTATCAATGGCCGCTTATACTACCGCCAACCAGGAGAGACTGTCGAGGTAGGTCCACGGCCATACCTGATCTGTCAGTGGTTTCGTGACTAGGGCGCAACATACGGCTATCTGTGCGACCACTCTAAGAAGGTCCCCTGCTGGGACGCCCTTGGAAGAGGTAACGGGCGTGATCAAACTCCCATGGAACAAAGCAAACATGTTCTCCAAGACACTGAACTGCACAGCTAGTCTATGCTGGTAGCCTCACATGGTGCAGGAGGCATTTGAGCGGCAAACGGGGCAACTGATTAAACACTTTTCGATGACAACTGAAAAGCCACCAAGAGGGATGCGACGGAGGAGTGCTTCCTCGGTCATGCACTGTATGGCAAAGGAGACATCGCGGACACCGCGTCCCGGAACACGGCCTTGGACTCTTCCGGTAACCATTGCGCCCGGCTGCTCCACGCGTGTGTCCGGCACACCGACTGGACGCATCAACTTGCTCCTGCAGCGCGGAAGCTGGGGCGGTCCCAAGGCGGATGCTCTCCATGAAGCAGCGGCCTACATGTGTAAAACATGAAACCGAAACACCATAGAACCACAACCGCAAACATATCAGGACCTGGGAGAATGAGGGAAGCCTACAACTTTACGTAGCCTTGCAAAGTCTGTAGTTACTACAAGACCCTATACAACCACATAACAACATCATGATGAAATCCTTGTAAAGCTTTGTTAAGCCACCTTGTTCAACGCCAGCTAGCAGCCTTTCAAACTTTGTCTCACTGTCTCAACCCTACGCCCTAAGCCTTGAACTCCAAACTCGAAACCCTTCCGTACTCTTCGCGCCTCCAGCTCACCTGGGGAAGGTTCGACCTGCTCTGCAGCGAAAGTCTCAGAAAAGATAGGGCTAGGGTTTGGAGTTTAATCTGCGTGTTGCTCGGGCTAAAGAAGCCTCATGGGGTGTAGGGCTTATAGTGAGAGGAGCTCCCAAGCGCACAAGTTCCTTGATGATGAGAATAGGGCTTTGGGTTATAACATATTATTCAATTTATGCGAAGGAACCGTAGTACAACTGTTCAGGCTTTCACATTGTTTTACCTACTGGCAAGGAAATGATGACGAAGTAGCTGAAGCTCTCTTACTAGAACTACGAAGACATGGACAACAGCACTCGCATAAACAACAATGATGTGATGAGAGCACCGACAATGATAAGAGCAACGATACTTAGACAGAGCGACGTCATAGGCCGGAGTGCACTAGCTGTTTATCACCCCAAAGATCTAGACTCTAGATGTCGAACCTACGGTTGAAGGTGTACCGATCACAGCTTAACATCTTTTCCCCTTACCCTAAACCCGAAAGCTATACCCCAAAAACAACCGCCCCATGACGCGCATTCAGCTTGGGCAAATTGGAAGTTGAGTCAAAGGTTTAGGGTTGGGGTTTTAGCTTGTATATAAGGCCTTGGGTTCTGGTCATTTTACACCTGAACCCATGAACTCCTCAACCCTGATTGCTGAACAGCACACACCCCAAAACTCCGAACTCCCATGTGCACAACTATAAACCACAAAACCGTTCGACGGCGCCGACTCTCCTACAGAATGAAAGGTCGTGGGCGGCATCTAGGGTTTGCATAGGGTTCAAGTTTTCGGGTTTAGGGATTGAGGGTACGGGTTTCAAGAATTCATACTACATGTTTTAAGGGCTTAGGTGTTTGGATTTGGTGCAGTTGTCGAATAAATCTACTGGATTTTGAACTTTGAGGATCGGGAACTATGGATGCGGGGCGAGAAGCTTGTGCGAGGTTTCAAGTTTGAGGTGTCGGGGGGTTTGGGTTTAAGGACTTGGATTTTGAGGGCCAGGGTTCAAACTTTCGGATCTTGGGCTAAAGGTTTCAAGGGTTCGGGGAGTTTTGGGATTTGGATTCGTTGAATCAGTGGTTCCATCTTTATGGCTTTCGGATGGTTTTAGTTGCTTAGATTTGGGGGTTCAGGGTTTTAGGGGCTTGAGGTTTGGGGTTTAGGATGACTGGATTTAGAGGTTCAGCATGAACCAGGCTCCGGGTTTTAAGGTTTTTGGGTTTGAGGATTTGGTTTTGGGGCTAACTGAGGTCTTTGTTTCAGGGCTTGACCTTGCAGGTTGTGGTGTCCAGGTGTCCGTCGGACCGGCAGAAATGCCATGCATAGCACAGGAACCTTCGCAGTCGGAGCTGACGCTGTGTGTGGTACTTTTTTTTGATTTTTTTTGTCCCAACCATGTCGCGCTCGCGTGTGCTGGGCCAGTTCCAGGAGAAGGCACGACCAAGGGCGAGCCCGTTTGGTACCATCACGGCTCGACTGGAGAATCCCGCTATACTTGTCCCACTGCGCCAAAAAGTGCAACTGTTCCAAGAGTGTTGGCAGCCAAGTTGAGCAGTGCCGCAGCCCAACAACGTCAAGGTCTTTCTGAACCCTACCCCAAATCCCTCAACCCTACACACCTAAACCCTAAACCCTACACCGCAAAAAACCCTAAACCCCAGACCCCTAAATCCTACACCCCTAACCCTACCCCCTACACCCCAAACCCCTCAATCCTACACCCCTAAACCCTACACCCCAAACCCCTCAATCCTACACCCCTAAACCCTACACCCCAAACCCCTCAATCCTAAACCCTAAACCCTACACCCCAAACCCCTCAATCCTACACCCCTAAACCCTACACCCCAAACCCCTCAATCCTACACCCCTAAACCCTAAACCCCAAACCCCTCAATCCTACACCCCTAAACCCTAAACCCCAAACCCCTCAATCCTAAACCCTAAACCTACACCCCGAAACTCTTTAATCCCCGGCCTTGGCCCTGAACTGCGAAAACTGAGCTCTGGGCTCCAAGCCCCAGCAAAACCCCGCGAGTGCTAGACTTTGGGGTTTAGGGTTTAGACTCTGGTGTTTTGGGTTTAGGCTTTACAAAGACAAAACCTAAATGGACGAAATGACCTTCATAATGAGCAAGTACAGGGCTCTGTGCAGCGTGAAGGTAGCTCCTCCCTCACCAAAAAACGACAGCCCTAGGTCGAAAATTTCAAATCTCAGGTCTTAGGGCTTTTGGGTTGCAGGGTGTTCCTACGCCCAAAAGTCCATCCGAAGACCGCAAAGCCCCAAATCAGGAATATAATGTACCCTAAACTACAACCCCAGTGCTCGCGAAACGCCAAACCCAATGCCCTAGAACCCGAAACATACCCCAACCAGTAACCACTAGATCCTCGGACCTGAAACTAAGTCCTAAAGGCAAACAACCCAAAACCCTGAATCCCAACCTCCCCAGTTCCTAACTCCAAAAGCACCCAAAACCTCAAATCCTGCACAGCCAGCTCCGAAGACCACAGCTTCTCCTGAACGGCACATCCTCAACCCCAAAAGTACGGTGTCCGAAAACACAGAATACCAAAAATCTCAATCCCTAACCCGAAATCCTAGATCCCAAATGGATGTGGCAATGGTACCTTAGTTTCGAAAGGCCCCAGATTTAAACCTAAGCTTTTAGGCTATTTGTTAGAAGGACCCCTTCATGTAAGAAACCCCCACGTGGGTACTACGAGCTCCTGACCGATACTTGCAGCTGTTGTGATCAGAAAATAAATAACAACATTGCATTATAACATGCCCCCGAAGCCCTATCCTTGTCATCATGGCCTTCATACTAAGCCATTGAGCCCTAGATAAGTTTTGTGTGAGCTTCAGTCCGCAAATTCTGAAAGCCCTCGTAATTAGGCACGAAAAGCGCAAAGACCTCAAAGGCAGGTGAGGTTGGCGACAGCACATCCGCCGGAACCTGCGACGAGGAGGTTTGGGCTTTTCGGGTTTATGGGTGGGAGGTTGGGCTTTAGGGTTTGCGGCGGAGGGTTTAGTGCTCTGGGGTTTGGGGTTTCAGGTTGAGTGTTTCAGCTCTAGCTTGTCGTTTATGGGAGTTACCCGTAGAGTCTTAAGTAATGGCAACGTTCAAGCTATAACTTCACTTTCTACTAACGCGCCTAAGGTTACTACCTCACTACTGAGGTCCCTCACCTTCCCATCCTCCATTCGTTAAGTTAAAGGCTCCTAGTGAAGGCTTTAGGAGAGTTTGTATAAGGGGGCGATAATGGGCATACCATTTGGGCCTTGGGCTTGGGCAAACAGCACCCCCTGTCAAACTCCCTGACACCCAAAATCCCAAGCTCTTATTTCGTAATTTATAATATCTAACTCATTATATAACCTTATCAACACAAATTAACAAAATTGAACAACATAATCTCGTGTTAAAAAATTTACTAAATTGTTCACTCATATTCAATAATGGTAAGCATGCAAACCCCTTATCAAAAGTGAAACATGAGGCGCCAGCACCCTTAAACCCTGAAGCCCCAAGCCGCACCGAGCTCCCAGCCTCTAGCATCCCAGCTGCCTTCCGGCAAGGGTTTATGCTTGCATCTTTTTGCTTTCATGAGATGCTATGGGGTGTCCACACTTAGGTTTTGTTTGCATTATCCATGTGTATATTAAATTATATGTAGTTGCATAAAACATGTGTATGTATACACATGTTGTTGTATATGTATGCAGATTTACGAAGAACTAAATCCATATATCAACAAACAAACATACAAGCATACACCGAGCATACACAAATCTATCGCTCTCTGCTCTCTCTCTCTCTCTCTCTCTCTCCCTCTCCCGCGTGAGTTTGAGTTTCATCGATTATGTGTGCCTCTTAGGGGTCTTGGGGTGTGATGGTTTAGGGTTCTGGCCCCAGGCTCTGGGATTATGGGTTTAGGCTTGCGGGCTGCTGCATTTTACAGGGTTGTACCGGTTTGCAGCAGGTTTAGTACCAGGAAGTAATGGCTTGGTGACGATTGTTCACGACATCAAGGCACGTCTCAGTCCCTGTTGGCACCTAAGTCTGATTTGCGACCTGTTGCTCCGTGGGGACCGGGACATTCAACCAAGCTCTTCTTTCAGCTTCCGTGGCGACCGAAGATGCTTGGATGTGGGGGTTTCCGAAAATAGGGGACCCTAATACAGCACCCTAAATAGTGGGATCCGTATTATAAGGACCCCAAATAAGGTGCCCCTAATTATCGGAAACTCCCATGTGTCTCATCAATCGGTCAGCTCGTCTCACCGCGTTTGCTTCTTTCGGCAGCAGAACGTTGAGCACTCGACTGAAATTGTCAAGCAGTTCCCACGAGAAGTGCTCCAGGAACCGTGCAAAGACCGAACCGTCGACTCCCATGGCAATGGTCATCGATGACACTGACGAAGGCTTGAGCGGTCGTGATGCGTTTGTCGTTTCTGGGCCAACAGAACGCACCGGTGCCAGTCACGATCACGACGTGACTGAGTTCCGCGTGCTCGCGAACTCCTGCTGGAGAGTAGCATGTTTCTCGGAGGACGGCTTGTCCGCAAGCTGCTCGAAGTCCATTCTGAACGTCTCGTAGTAGCAGAGCTTCTCTGGTATCTTCCGAAACTCAACACGTGCGATTGCAATGTGTTGGATTTGGGCTTAAGGCATTGAGGATGTTGTGATCGAGGGAGCAGGGATTTGAAGAGTAAGGAGGGCATAGGCATTTATTGGTGCTTGAGGTTCATGGATTAAGGACTCGGGGATGTCGGTTTTGGGTGAGAGCTTCATTGTCCTCACGCCCAGAAAGCTCGGATCAGGGAATCCCAGCACTTCTCATCCTCATAGGCTATGACTCATGGGGTTCAAGCTTTTCTGGAATTCTCTGTGCAACTCAAATAGGGACACACCAACTCGACTAGTTCTGGGGGTCGACTATAGTACAAATATGTATGGGAAAGCAAAGGTGATATTATATTGATCATTTTGCCAGACCCCCAAAAAGCCCAGAAACGCTACTGCGCTAGACCCCTTACGTAACCCCAAAAGCCCAAACCGTAAACCGTAAGTTCCAAGGGAAGCTGAAAGTCTCATTGCACGTGGCCAGCTGGGGACCGGGCCGCGGTCGGTATCAGGAGAGGTCGGGCCTGGCTTTCGTGACTCGGGTTTAGGGTTTAGGGTATTGGGCTTAGGGAACTTTTGCTAATTGAAATGCCTTTAGGGTTTCGTTTCGATTTTTTGCACCGGGTGTAGAGTTTTCCTACGAGCTTTATTGGTTTTTTTTCAGGATTTGCAGCCTTGAAAGGTTTTTGCTTAAGACGTTTTTGCTTATGGACGGCACGTTTACAGGACTCAGGATGCAGGGCGTGTAAAGTGCATCAACTAAAGGTCTGTAAGGCAGCCGAGCTTTACCGTGCCCTAAGCCCTAAACCCTTAACTCCAAAATCCCAGAAAGTTCGGCACCTCAGCAGCAGTTGTCTTCTCGTTTGCCGGCAGCTCCATATACGTTTTAAAGTCCTAAGTATCCCTAAGATCCAGACCCGCACCTGGACCTAACAACTACATTGCTAGGGCTCCTGATTATGATTTCCCTATACATAGGTTTTGGGCCGGTTCAGGCAAATCCTGATTCCTGAACCCTGAAACCTCCACTTTGCTGCCGTAGGATACTTCGGTGACCTCACGTGGTGTAAGTCAGAAAGGGGAGCAGGGGTTCAAGGGTCCAGTAACCGTGGCCTTCAAAGGTTCCAACTCTTGAGTGTGGGCTGTCAGTCTGACCTCACATTTAAGGTATGTCCCTTCCAGGGCACATGTTACTTGCTGGTCTACTTTACACCGGAACCCTGAACCGCAACTCTAAACCACAAACCCAAACCCCAACCTACACATAAACCCTTATCAACAAGGCAACTCCATAGACATCGGAATTGGAAATGATGCTAGAACCCTGAAGGTGAATGTCATCCAGTTCAACATAAGGGGTCGGAAGAAGGTAGCTGGGTCGCGGGCTGCTGGAGACGTCGGTGAAGGCTTGTCCGTCGGCACGGGCAGCTCACTGGGTGATCGCGGTGCGGCCTGGGAACTCTAGTTTGGTTTGCCCTTTGGGGCCAAGGACAAGGGTCCTATGCAAGTTACTGCTAGGGCAGTCAAAGAAAGGGAGCAGTCAGGCTTGTCCCACCTTTGCATGATGCGCCTGTGGGACTTTTGCGAACAGACTGCATAACTTCCGGGGCGGTACCGCAAACTGCGTAAAGCCTGTGCTTATAATTACGTTCCAGGCGGCTTCGTACTTGCGTTTACTTAGGGACTTAGATCCAAAAGCACTGATATGCGAACGACTGGAGCCCTTAACCTTAAACCCTAAAACTCAAGCCCGCAGCTTACCGCTCAAACCTGCGCTGGCACTCAACCCCCTAGACAGGCTTAGTAATCAGATTGGGGTTTTGGTGTACATTCTACTATGTGGGACCCCTAAAGCCCAGGTTGCATTTGCATCCTGCGGCCTTGCAATAAGCGAAGCCAGGGTTTTTTTTTAAGATAAGAGTTTAGGTCTTACACTTCCTACCGGCCGCTACATTAAGCTTGCCGAACCCTGAATCTGAGATTCCGGCGGACGAAGAAACCATCGGTCCAGATGCCTGCCAGGCACGCCGGAACTTAGTAACAGCTGTCATAGTAGGGAAAGCACCTGGTTAACGTGGATTGTGGTTTTTGGTTTAAGGGCATCTAGCCTGTATCCGCGCGAGTATATCCGGTTGTGGCCACTGAGCTCCTGAACCCTGACAAACTACACTCGTGATAGTCGCTTACGGAAAGCAGCCACCGAAATCCTAAATTACAAACAGAGTTTCGGGGTTTAGGATCTCCGGGCTTGTGGAACGGAGGCCCCGAGGCTCCAAAACTCCGTGAATTCGGGAATGATATCGGGGCCGCCATAATTCGGATAGGGTTCTGGGGCCCATTATACGATAACTAGAATAAGGAACCCCAGACAAAAGTACAGGCAAGTATTGAGGCCCCTATAGTATTGCTGAAACCATGATCGGGGTACTCCACAAGAAACTCTGGCTGAAAAGACGATCGGGGGTTTGAGAAACTGTGGCAGCTGTAGGACTTTCTTCTTCTCGGATTTCTGCTCTATGCTCAGCCCAGTGAGGCTCACCCGGCAAACGGGTTCCTCTAGGCGTTATTAATTTACGGGTCTCTTACACTTACGGTGTCCTTCTATCGTTCCCCCGAGGATTCTTGAAATACCAAACACTCAAGCCGAAACCCGCAACCCCAATCATTTGACTCGAGTTTGGGGGAGTTGGAAACTGTAAGTACGTTCGGAAACCCCTACGTAAGCTTTCGTATCGGCGATTCGTCAGCCCACTAAATTTCGGAGAACCAGAGGACCCATAACCCCTACAGCCCAACGAAACTTCCAAGACGAAAGATTGTCCCTGTATCCACTCCGCTTTATGAAAGCCGCTAACACACCTTCACCTTTAAACTCTGAGCCAAAAATCCTGGAAGGGTCCTTGAAGCTGCGACAGCGACTAAAGCCGAAGCAGTTGTTCAAAAACGCTCCTTGCACGGAAACCTTCAAAGTAGCACTTTTCACCTCAGGAACCCTGAACCCTTAAGCAAAATACCGCCTAAACCCTAAACCCTAAACCCCCAAACCCTGAACCCTACATCACAAAGAGTGACCGAGGCCCCGGCAGACATCCCCAGCTGCGAGGATCGGGCCTTGCCCCGGCAACGCTTGTTGTTGAGGGTCCAGCCCGCCGGGTCCGGGGCTTCAGGGCCCTGTTTTCAGTGCCCGTGGGGATTTTACAGACTTCTGCAGTTCGTGTGGGTTTTGAGTCTAGACAGCGATGATGTCGGACAGTTTCATTGCAGAACGACAAAAAGACTTGGAAGAAGCGCTTGCTGTCTGGGTTTACGGATTGATGGGCCCAACCGCCTGAACAAGACTTGCAACGGGCTTTGAGAATACTGACAGAGGTGAACAGGGAAGTACGCGCGAAAACAACACAACATACTTGCAACAGTGTAGGTACTGTAGCCACTGCAGCTGGAGACACCTAAGTTAAACTCACCAGCTTCCTTGAGAAGCCTTGTATAAACTCATCAAACACCGAAAAACACCGACTTGACCTTACTTACCAGCCCTGTTGATCAGGGACGAGCGGCCCGAGTCTTCGCCGACATC